TCGCCTTCGACTTTTAGCCTTCATTAGCTTTCAGCCTGTGAAATTCTCACGGCGTGCGTGAATTCCTGCTAAAACGAACTCCCCATGAAAGCCAAATGGCCAAACCCCGCGAAGACACGGAGGGTCCCTTCGTGTCCAGCAACGCGCACCCACGTGTACATGTTTCGGTTCGCATCGAGAGCCACGTCATGATCCTTTTTCTTTTTTTCCTTCACTTTTCTCTTTTCTCCTTTCCTCAACTCAGTGTACGCACATAAGAACAGCGTGAAGTCCTGTCTACACGACCGAGCAACACGAAGAGTCCCCTTACCGATATCCCGACATGCTCGCCATTGTTTCGGGTTTTCATCCCCATTACAAGACTCGTAAAAGGTGGAATCCCGCAGAATGATGACCATTAAATCCGCAGGGAATCGTATCTCTTCTTTTTTTCCCCTCTGTTTTACAATTCAACCCAAGTCTTCCTTTTTAGACATCCAGATATAAATCCCCATTACCCAGGGAAAATATATTTTCTGCGGCTGATGCTTCCGAGCATTAAAGTACCGTTCAAGACCACGTTTAAGTCTAACGTGCATCTATGCATCCGTGCAATTATGCACGCATGATCGCGATATTCTAAGAGGAATGTCGCCTACGCATTGCGAGAGTCTTTCCTTGCCCTCTTGACGGTGCTCGAGACTGCATACTTACCTTTAAGGTTGTAAAAGATGAGTCAATTGAAGAAGATGAGAACGCAGAACCGCGTCGTTACGCACGTACCGAGTATTGCATCGATGGGGTCATTTAACGTCATTGTCGAGGTTTCATATGACCAGGAGCTACCCCATTGCTCGTTACGGGTCGAGTGGGTGCATGGAATGGCCAAGTGCAAGAATATCCGACATTGCCGTCTCGTTACACCCATCTCACCCTGGAGCCTTCTAAAATTTTATCAGAAGCGTTGTTTACGAGCTTCTAATTAGGGTGTACCGTAAGTTCGTACGTCTTTTATTCCGGCATAATATTTTTGGCACGATTTCCATCGTTGCACGGAATACAATTCGATGTCGGTGGTCCGATTGCTTGGGACCAGCTCAAAGTAGATTGTGCCCTCTTCGACGACCTGAACATGGTTTATCTTCGACGCTGGTGTTCCCATCGTGGAATATTTTACACCACTTGGCTGGAAGAATTGCGCCGTTCCTTCACCTTCCACTTTGGGTATTTCTCGCGCCGCTTCAGTTGCTTTAAAGTCTTGTCTCCAATAAAACCACAAAGGTATCCGAATTTCGAAACTTTCCGTAGCTTTTTCTAAATCTATTTGACGTCTACGAATAAGTAACTGAAATGAAGCAATGCGGTATATCAAAGAGTACATCAAAAGCTTCGAAATGGTATGTAACACGAGATGAAAAGAATGAATTTATTAATTCGAAAAAACCACACAAAAGTGATACGAATAAAAATCGCACGAACGTGCATAAGTATGGGACGTCCTAAGATTAATTTTTGTAATAATACAAATTAAATAACAAAGAAAGGTGTGGGGGGGAAGGAAAGCGACTTGTAGAGAGGCGTAAAAGGAAGGAAGGACACGGTTTTGCCGGTGGTACCTTCGGCTTATGTAAGGATGTAAGGACCCTAAGGACGACCGGATTCACCTGCCGAGTTTTCGCGCGCGATAACAGCGGGACAGCCAAAGTGCGCCTCGTCAAAACAGGTTCGCGCTCCCAGTATGGATGGTCCTCGATCTTCTGTAAACGCGACAAGCCGCATAAATTAACCTTCCACGGCGAGGTAGCCGAAGGGGCCTTAAATAACGCGGCCACTCCGGGGTAATAGCCATGCGACATTTGGCGCCCCTCGGCGCTTATTAAGCTCGCGAACACCTTCGCAGGAGGCTCTTTTAAATCCTGCCGCTACCTTAAACAGCGGTTTCAGGATTCTTTTCTTCAAGGGCGAACGCGTTGTTTCACGCGATTAACAATTTAGGAATTTTCTCAGTAATCAAGACGCCCTCGAAGGAACGATGACGCGCCAGTCGCGGATTCGGGGGAGGAAGAAGAAAATACAAAGTCTTATCGAAGGAGTCCTTCGAAAATGCAAATATCGATATCCTTGGGGAATTGGAGTGAAAGTAAAATCTTATAAGGAAGCGTTGGTGATGGCACAGATGAACGTTGACCTCAACCGCAGATGTATTCCTTTGGATGAGTTGCACTCTGGTTTTTATCACCGAGGATCTGAACCACTGAGGTCCTTCGGGTCGCTCGTCGAACTACCCCGATTTGCTCGTTGGGACGCGATCGAATAGTAAGTTTGGATGTCGAATTCGCAATTTTGGAAGTCGTGCCCAAAAATCATCCGCGCCCCTTCCCCTCCGGCGAACAAGTGTACGGGGGAGACCTGATGTCTCCATCCGCGCGAAATGGTGGTCGATTCTGAATAAAAGATGCAGCCGATGGTCCTTTTGTTTCCGAGGGGGCCGCAAATGCGTGTTCTCGCGCGGTCTCGGCTGGACCAAAACGCCGACCGATGTTATATTCATCGGCTGGGGGAATTTTTATTTCGGAACTCGTCCGATCCACCTGCACGCTCCCTTTACCTTCGCGGGGCCTCCCGGTGGCTCTTAATGCCAGCACGTGGATCGAATGCGCGAATAAACGAGAGCCTACCCTCGGAATTCCGCGAATCTCGAAATATATAACGCCTAACGAGGCTGCGAGACTATTTTCGCCCGATTTCCACGTGGCCGGTTTCGTCCCCCGAAGAACTCTCCAAAAAATCGACAGGAGCATAGCTCTACCGCCGTGCGTCACGTATTTACGTAGAACTACATCTAAGTGGTATAAAAAATGAAACGTGGTTACTTATACAACCGTCATTTATTAGGTGATAAATCACGACACTGCCGATTCGGTGCGATCGTATATAGCAAGCAAAGGGCAATAAAGCGAAAAGTACGACACGAGCCACCACCCAGCGAAGTTCTACGTAAATATATGCAGCATGGCAGTAAAACTATGTTTTTTCCTGACATTTGCACTTTTTCGTGACATTCATTTCCCCAATGTGCATCCCATATCTCGACATAAACGATCGGTGAATACGTAGTGCTGCGTGAAAAAGCTGACCGCTGATTACATTCTTTAGGCACCAGGAGTCGGAGGAACGGCAGGTGAAACGTAAATCCATCGGATCTGTCATGGGTGTATGCACATCGGGCATCGGCTCTGCCACCTAGACCACATACGATTACCACCACGTATGCACGCTCTCGCTTTGCGAGTCCCGATTCTTTTCGCTCCAGGATTATCCTTCCTGCGAGCTGTCGTCGATCGTTCCCTGCGATTTCTGCGTTTTCTCCGGACCTCGCCCGGTCGCCCGTTAATCTCCAGGCGACGATCCTTCCTCGAATCAATTCGCTCTCGGTGCTTTCGCAACTGGCATGCGCCGCTCTGGTATGCCGAGAGTAAAGATATCCGAAGATTATGACTTCCCGTCTGGACCTCGAGAACTGGAAGAATGAGCTCCAGGTACTTCCCGTCTGGCGTCGGTAGTTCGGACTCTGGAGCGATCGGAAGAACTCATGAACTCGAATTTCTGGATTTTTTTTTTTTAATTGATTTCAGAAAGTACGCGGGGAACAAGGAGCTTGGTCGCAGCGTCGTAGGAAACGAGTACGCCGTCATACCCGTAAGGGGTCAATTACGAAGAGGAAGGGGAAATAGTGACTCGTAACGATCCATCTCAGGAAATGGCGAGCTGACGCACGTTTATTCATTTTTCAACCAGGGAGAATTTCTTCCCTTGTCTTCGAGGTCTTCTTGAACCTCGAGATTCGTTGTATATCCCCAAAGACAGAGCAACGGACGAACATGTAGAGGCGGAAAGACGCGATCGCAAACGAATGCCCTAACTCTATATACGGTGCTACACAGGAGCCGACGAAATCGCATCCCGATTGGGGCTTCGATCGCCCACTCTTTTTTCCCACCTAGGCCCGCTCTTAAATTCACCAAACAATGTGTTCGACGACCCGCTCTCATAAATCATACCAAGGATGATAGCGTCGTGTCGTTCGTCCCACGAGAAGAAACTGGTCGATCGGTCTCCTGCGAGGCCGTGATCGATCTGCGTTCTTCCGAATAAACCAAACCTCTGGGCTGGTGTTCGATGGAACTTTGAAATATTTATTGCCGCAGCGATTGGTCTGAAAAAAGCCCGACAGAGGGAGTAACAAATAATAGAGACGTGTGATTTCTTGTACTGGAAACATACTCGGAGTCAATCTTCGGGCTGGGGATGAAAACCTCTTACATAGTTCCTTCATATTTATATATTTTCTCCTCGAGCCATTCACCAGTTTACCAGCCTCCTCGTCTATGGAAGATAAAGGAAGCCCCTCTGGAAAATACATTTGAACAATTCTAAGACATGATATTTCTTTTACTGGAAAGGTACTTCGAGGCACCCCTCTGGCCGGAGACAAGACCATGCACTCCTGAGAGTCCGTCCTTTGTATTTTTATTTATTTTCTCTACAAACTATTTTGCCACTTTTTCATCCGAGGGAAATAAAGGGAACGGTTCTGAAAAATGATTTCCAGTTTTTCTAAGTAATTTTCTAAGTAATTTCTGTTACCAAAAACATGCTCCGAAGCACTTCCGGGGTGAGGGATGAAAACCGAGCACTCTTGTAAAGTTCTTCATTCATATTTATGTATTTTCTCCACGAGCCACTTCACCACTTTATGTATCTTTGCCTGTGGAGAATAAAGGGGGCATAACTTCGGAAAATGATTTCGAGTTTTTGTAAGACCATCTTCGACAGGGGTTATTTTATTTTCTCCTCGTTTTCCCTAATTTTGGCCTCCCGTTTGCGATTTTCTTCCGCGGTTTATCGCGTGGGGTAATGGAGGTTCGTTCGCGAGTAAGGGCTCTTCTGGGGCGAGCTTTACGACCCCGGCCGACTCGAGGGGGACCGAATTTAACCAAAAAACCTAATTGACGTTCCAGAGAGATGACGAGCTCCAGAAGGCCGTGAGGTTGACCACGAGGGAGCGGAGATTCATCAAGTTCGCCTCCGTCGAGTACGATGGACAAGTCTACATGACCCCCCAGGACTTCCTCGACAGCGTCATCGAGTCCGACCCCCGACGTATGCATTTCCATAAACTTAAACATAAATATGAGCGTAAACAACATCTAGAACCCATCCACATCCCGCTGATAAATAAAATTCCTCCGCTTTTAGACCGAGCCCCATCTCGCGCGTCTCCGAAAGCACATCAAAAGCTCCGCCTTTTTTTCCTTATTTTTTTCCTTCAACGTTGAACTCGGCAAAGTAGGAATTCCTATCAGTAGCCACAACTATCAGGAGTATATTTTTCCCGAAATGACGAGATCGCGCCTCGACGATGCGCTGCTTTCAGCGAGGCTGAAGAGGCGTGTCCTGACGAGCAACGACCTGGAAGCCATGAAGAAGTCGACCCCTTCGCTTCGCCACGGCAGCCCTCACATGTTTCGAAATTTGCGTGATAGAGGTGAGTCCAGAAAGTCATCCAGAAAGTGTAAGTTTCGATTAGTTCAGATTTCGCTTGTTGGAATTATTCGCATTTCTATGGTCGAGCTGGAGCACCGAGTAGCACCGGGAAAGCAGTCGCCACGTCCGCAGAGAGGGGCAGAAATTAGCTCGATTTGGTTGAAATTCGCTCCTTGGAAATGAAAGCGCAGTCCAGGATTAATGATAAGGTGTCCGCGTGATACTCGAGGTTCGCTAGAGGAGATACTTCTGCTCGGGCACCTTTATTACAGACATTACTGGTTTTCTCGAACGTATCGTACGTCTCCATCGTATACGCAAGGATCGCGGCGGCGGATCCCGAGGATGGTGGAATTTCCGCGAGGAATTCGCCACTCGAAGAATCCTTTCCCCCCGCGTTTCCAGCAGGAAGACCGTCGAGGGGAGCTAACGGAAATTGAATTCAAGCCGGTTGCCAGGCCACGTCCAGAACGAAGGAAACCTCCAAGACGGAGCCGCGCTAAGACCCTCCAGCTAATTTCTTCTAATTTCGTTGGTGTCGGTTCGGATCTCGCCCTCGATGAACTCTCGCTAAGAGTTCCTTTTCCGCTACTTCATTTCCTTACTCTACCGCGGAGGTACTGGAAATCAATCTCGGGAATTGATTCAATTTACGGCTGAGTTCTGAGGGAAAGACTTTTAACCCTTTCGGTGCTGTGAACTTTTCTCAAGATGGCTGATTTCGCGAATGCGTACCAATTCCATTCCGATGTACAAATGCTGAACGCGTTCACGACCTGTACCACTGTAGGGAGTAAGGGTTGTTACAAGAGGGTGAAGAGGCTTCGTGAATAAACGAATAACCGTTTCAAAAGAATGAAAAGACCACACTTGACTTCTGTTAAGTAGAGGACGGCTCACTTCCCCGTACAATTCCCTCAAAATGTCGCCTGGGGTGAAATAAGGGTCCAAATACTTATCCAACTACGTATCCTCTACGTTCTGAATTTCGCTTCCCATTATATTTCTCCGCTCATTGAGAAAATTACTCAATAAATCGATATTACGTCGAAGGTGTGTAATTACGCGTCGATTAAAAAAACCGGCTTAAAATGATCGTTAAATGGAGAACTCGCTATCCATGACTCCAATATTCAGCCAATACGCTAAGAGCTGTCGCAAAATAATCACAAACTATTACAATGACCAACATTTGATTTTACTTAACGAGTGACTGACCAACTTCCACTCAAAATTTCATTGAAATACAAAATATAAAAAGAGAGAAACGAGGCTAGATTCCCCGACTACTTCGCATCCTGCTACATCGATCATTCAGGTCTTTTTTACCGACCGACGTAAAAATCGCTTAATAAATTGGTATCACATCGAACGCATATAATTACGGGTTGATTAAGAGCAGTTTATAGCGATCGTTTAATGAAGGCTTCACGATCCACTGCTCGAATAATCAGGACTAGCGCAAAAAAATGACATATTATTGAAAAATGGATATTTGATTTCACTTAACGAGTGCGTGCAACCCACTTTCGCCCACAAGTTCTCGCCAAAGGTAAGAATGGTCCTAAATGCCCAGATTATTTTGCGACTTGGTACATCTATTCAGGACTTTTTTACCGTCCATCGTGAAAATCGCTCAATAAATCGGTATTACATCGAGCGCATAAAATGACACATCGATTAAGAGCTGTTTATAGCGATCGTTCAATGAAGACTTCACGATCCACGACTCGAATAATCAGGACTAGCGCAAAAAAACTTACAGACTATTGAAAAATGAACATTTGGTTTCACTTAACGAGTGCGTGCGACTGACTTCTGCCGATAATTCCTTCAAAGTAGCGCCAAATTTGAAAAACGAGCCTACAAGAGGATCCGACGCATCTTCAAAGTTCTGCGTTTTCACGTCCCACTACTTCATTTTGCGCCGTTTTTTTTTCCCGCCCAAAGTGAAAACCACTCAATGAATCGGTTTAACGTCAATGGTGTGTAATTACCCGTCGATTAATCAGAGCGGCTTGAAAAGATCGTTCTCCCTGGTCCGCGACTGCTGTAATTATCCGGGACGCGTTTCCCCTCGTTCCGATGGCGGTCTCGGCCCGTTTGTCGCGCTAATGGAAATGCAAATAATGACAGGGCCAGTTTCACACCTTCGATGTTTAATAACGAGCTGCTCTCTCGGGCGGTTTCTCTATCTCGGTCTCGCTCCTTCCTCCCGTGGCGTATCTTTCTCTCTCCCAGAATCTCCTTACTCTATCGGCTGGACACCTCGATCGCGCACGCACGTACCGAGAATTCCAGTGGCGAGTGAACCGGCCAAGTACACGAGGGTTCGGCTCCGCCCTTTAAAGACGTTTCCTGTAGCACCGTCGATCCTTCCGAGAGATTCGAAGGCCTCGGCCAGGAGTTATCCCACCGAGCCGAAGGTGGAAGTCGGCTGCCTCGGCTTTGATGCCCGCGAATTACCGCGTACTGCCGTCTTAAACGAGAAAGGACAGTAATTGCCTCTTCTATTTCCAATGCAACGGACAAATGCATTTATGCGTCCCCTAAGCGTGGGATGGTAGGAGATTCCCTGACAGAAAGGTGGAAACTAAAACCCGGTATATACTTACAATGATACAGTCTTAAATAAATTGTTCGAACCTTTGATCAAGCTCCAAACGAAAAAATCACACTCTAGGAGGAAAGAACTTCTTGTATCAAATAGATCTTTATTGGCAACTGACGATAAAATAAGATCGAATGAAATGCAGGCAAAGTACAAACGATAGTCAATGTTCTTAAGCTCAGTTTCACCAAGTCCGTTTGTCTCGTTGTTATATTTTTTGGGCATAAATTGGACACCACCACGGCAGGGGGAAAGGCGAGTCCACCGGGAACGTAGACACGGCCGTTCCCTATGTGCTGGAATGATTCCCGTGGAAAAAGTGCCCAGATTGAGAGAGAAAAAGGCCCGAAGTCGTCGTCTCGAATCACGATGTCCACCTTTCGACGCGGTGCCTACCGCTGCCTTTCTCCGCTTTCGCCGGTGATAAAATTATTAATTTATACGTCGTCGTCAGGACGTGAATGAGAATTCGGTGCATCGGGTGTATCGGCCTCTTGAGTCGGCGCGGGTCGCCGAAAGGTTCGGGGCTCGAATAACCTCACAATGCCCCTCAAGACGAGCATTAAATTCTAGCTTATTGTCGCGGCGACCTCGAGGGTGAAGATGTTCCGGGGTAAAAACGCCCCTTGTCGAATCGGCCGTGAAAAACGTCCGGTGGCCCTGTCTCCTGGATTCGTTTCGGGGATTCCACGGGGCATTTAAATCGTACATTTTATTCGACGTAATAATCAAGCGAGGCTCCAAAGTCGAGGGAAAGATTCTCTTTGAATAGCCTGACCTCCCGAATGTATATTAATAAGGCACGGCGTTAAAAAATCGCTGCTGCGCATATACCTCCTGACGTCTCCTTAAGACATCATCTTTTTAAAAAATGGCATCAATTTTTAAAAAACGTTCAGGTAAGAAATAAAGAGAGAGGAAAAATTCCAGAATTCGATCCTTTGAACAGAACCGCGATACCAACATTGTACGTAGAATTACATATTGCTTTTGCCTAGCTCGCGTCCCTAAGTGTCCGATTTTCGTTACTGTGGAATTCTGACTCGGTATCTGCATTAAAAAAAAAAAGGGAAAAAGAAAACAAGGACGTAATTCTACGTCCAAAATTAAAGCGATCTTAATTTCGCGATGGAACCTCCCTTAATGGTTCAAATGACCGATGGACAGCTCTGTGAGCAAGCATTCCTCTCGCTGTTTCAGGGATCATATCCTACACGGAGTACCTGTTCCTGCTGTCGATCTTGACGAGTAAGTACCTCGCGGAGTGCGTCGATTTGTCCGACAAATTACGACGTTGGTTCAGCAAACCTCCTTCCTCGAGTTGCGCCTTCTCGTCCGCACCGGAGCCCCGTAAATCTTCCTGGACGCCTTGGAAGTTGACCTCGCGGGTCGCCGCTGCTCGACTATCTTCCTTTTTGACGCGTGGTTCCCTGTGATTCCCATAGACGCGATAGTTATTAAAAAGTCCAAGCTAAGCTCGAAAGCCTCTAATGCCGGCGCGCCATCGAGGCCGCTGCAGCCGTGCATCCGTGCATTCGTGCACAACCGCAACGGGAGGCGCATGGCGTGCAGATACCAGGGGGATTCCCTCGGTATCGGGAAAAAGAAGGGATCCCTCTGCAACCAGGCTACACTTCGCGAGTATAGCGTGTCGAGACGTTGCAGCTTGTACCAAAGAAACAAGAATCGCGGCTTCGAGAACCTCGTGTGCACGTGAGCGAACCTCGAGGTCATACCGTGCACCATAAGTGGGCATTATTTATGGCGCATGAGGTGTGCGCCAAGTGTGCATGCGCTTGAACGAGGAGACAGGCTAATGGCACTAATGGTCGTTTTTAACGCCCTGTCGGGATAAATTCACTCGTGCTTCCTTGAGTTTATCTTGGCCGGTAGCTGGCGAAGGACACACCCCCTGGAATCGAGAAGTGCCAACCCATTGTTGAGTTTCCTGATGTCGTTTGTCGTCCTTGCAGAACCGCAGACGGGCTTCCGCATCGCCTTCAACATGTTCGACACGGATGGCAACGAGAGAGTCGACAAAACGGAGTTCCTCGTGGTGAGTCTTGGTCCTTCTTCGCTGTCCGAAAGGAACTTTTAATCTCCTCGGTGTTATGCAATTATACCATGTATTATATATTAATCTCTTGTTTCCATTCATTTCAATTCATCAGAGCGCCTCCGGAAACGCGTTCCCGTCGAATGCCGACCTTGTAGTTTCGTACCGTCTCTTGTAGTTCGGGCCCTTCCGAGAACTATTGGCGGCACGATAATCGTCGTTGTATTTAACGTTATTATTTTGTTCTTTTGCATGGGGTTTCCGCAGATCCGGAGGCTGTTGGGCGGCATCATGAAGGATCGAGATCTCGACGAGCCTACGAGACGCACCGTGAGTTTTCGCACCTGCAAAAGCGACGACGGAGCTCCTCGATTGGTCTAACATAGATCGTGACCACGTTGTGCTTGCAGGCATACCATTTCTCGTGATAGCCAACAACCGTGTCGATCTAATCTCTAACCGAAGCTGACCTCATTGTCGTGTGCGTTACCAAGATTTCATTTTACTACCCCATTTGACTAACCCATTCGCTCCGAGTTTGCTAGACTAATTCCACCTCACGTGCAATATTGCGCGGTCCTCGAATTGCGTACAGAACCCAGACCATGTGACGAATATACGCCAAATCCCAGATAGACAATATGATGCAAAATTTGCATCAAATTTGCCTCATAAAAGATCATGAAATGAGTCATGAGGACCCTGCTTATGAGTCCTTATTCGGAACTCATATCCGCAATACAGAATGACGAACTAAAAATACTTAAATATGAAAAGATGTTAAGTACATGCAATGTCTCCATGTTTGTCCGCATATGTACAACTAAATTAATCTCACGCATTGCTGATAAACAAATGCAGCGTCCGTAGTTCATACTTGAGCCATGGCGCGAGAAATTTACCGCAAATTTATTTTGTAACATTTGTAAATACATATATAGCAGACATTTCATGCAGCAGGTGGTCTGAAAATTATTTGTAAATCGATTTTCCTCGTCATTCGATGATCAGGAATTTCTATCTGGGATGTTAGTTTGCTATTTAACCTGAAATTTATGGTGAAATCGAATTATTGATACTTAAACGAAATTAACGAAAAATGTTTTTGTTTTTCCAACATGTCCAGGAATTAGTTTCCATTTTTATCCGTAGGAATGCTTACCTCTGATATTGGGATAGGACTGTAGTCGATAGTGCAAGGAGTGTATGACCAGTAGCCGCTTTTGTTTCGTCCGCTTGTTTGACTTGTGGATTACTAAATTCGAATAGGAAATTAATGTCTGGTTTATTTTGGAATATTAGTTACGTACTTTGCTCTCACCAAGTGACGAGGGTTTGGCGAGCAGGGCGAAGCTTCGGGTAGCAGAGGCACCGGAGAAGGACGAAATCGTCTCGAATTCTTACGTAAGTTCACGATATTGGGTGCAAATAGTCAGCCTGATGTTAAAATTACCGGAGCACTCCGTAAACTGAAAATTAACACGTTTCAAAACCCGGGACTGCGAAGCACAAGGAATAACACTCGCTGTATTAACGATGCCGTTTATTTCAGAGCCATTGGTGTTGGATGTCTTCGTTCTTAATATTCGTCATTTTGTCTTATTAAGGGAACATTCGATTCTGGTCATGAAACGTGCGATGAAAGTTCGCTATCCACCGTGCACAATAATTACCGGTGTTTTTGTTAATTTAGATGGAGAAAATCTTTAGTCATGCTTGGAGAGATCGCCATGGCGGTGATTGCAAGGATGACCTAACTACGTATCATAAATCGCCAGAAGACTTTCAAGCTCATTTCAAGGATGACCAGGTTTTTAATAAGTTTTACTTAAAAATGTTAACTATATTTATTATCTTCCTTATTTCTTTGTATATAATTTCGTTTAGCGAATAGTCCCACTTATAATTTCCATTTCTCGTTTAAGAAAATTATGTAGTAAATAATGGAAGTATGGAATGTTAGAGCTTACTCTCCAATCTGCTTAAATTACCCAACTTGACTTAAATGAACCTTAGCAGATAACTATAATGTAAGGAATTATTTAACAGGGTTTGCAACGTCGGCACTCCGTGGATACCACACTTATGTTGCACTTCTTTGGTCAAGATGGTTCGAACGAGCTCAAGTACGAGGGATTTAAACTGTTCATGCAGAATTTGCAATACGAGGTGCTGGAGTTGGAATTTCACGAATACAGCAAAGGACAAAATGTCATCACCGAGTTGGACTTTGCCAAGATCTTGCTAAGATACACGCATCTAGATACTGACGAGTAAGTTCCTCGTCTACTTTTGCCTCAGAAGCATTTTATCTTTTATATTTAAGTAATATCTACGTGCTACTATAATATATCTAAGATATATTACATGAAAATGGCTTCTAATGTGGAAGGAGCACGTACATTTTCTCTAAAAGTCAAATATCATCGTTCAAACATATCAGAAAGTGGATTGGGTTACAGCTACCGATTGTTCTGATTCTATTGCAGGTACGACAAATACTTGGACAGATTATTAGATCGGAATGACGCACCAACGGGAATCACCTTCGAAGAATTTCGAGTGTTCTACCAATTTTTGAATAATCTTGACGACTTCTCCATAGCCATGAGAATGTACACCCTCGCCGATTACCCAATTTCCAAAGGTTGGTTTCTTTTCTTTTTCACATCAGTTCCCCGATTGTTTAAAAAATATATGCCCGAGATATCGTTGAAAAGAAATCATTATTTTACATCGTTTCCAAGTCTTTACTAATATTCCACTCCTTAAATGATTTCTTTTGGGCACAGAACTTTTCTTTCTCCAAGTCAACACCTCCCACCAACACCCTGGAATGCGTTCTTTTCTCAGACCTCGGTATCACACGCCATTACTTTTCTCATAAGAACCTGATTATACCTTAAGCCAACATAAATATGCACAGTACTTTACAAATTCCCCAACTGTTTGCCAAAGTTGTCAACTGCGCCTTCCTTAGCGGCAAATTCTCCCGTCTCGTTGATAACTCAGCTGATTACCGCGAGCGCTGGTTTGCTCCACAGGTCGAAAAGCGTAATTACCAGTCGACTCGACGTACGGCTGACATTGGTTTATTTGCACCGATCGACCCGCCGTCCCTATAAATCGTGGCAGAGCGTCAAACCTGTCCGCCCTGTCGCGAAGCAATTCGAAATCGCCTCCTCCTTTGCTCGGAATTTGCCGCAAGGCTTTCACCTGATCTTCTTGCAGATGAGTTTCAGAGAGCCGTCAAGATTTGCACCGGCACTTATCTGTCGAGGCACATCATAGATACAGTCTTCGCTATATTTGACGTCGACGGGGATGGTCAGCTGTCCTATAAAGAATTCATAGCGATCATGAAGAACCGGCTCCATCGAGGATTTCAGGTAAATGGTATTCTGACAGCCGTAAGACGAAAGATGTTTCGCGTTTCGTTGCTATCGCTGGCTCTATCAGACGCCTGAAGGCAGACTTGATGTATGACCCGTCGTACCCGCATGCACGACGGGTTGTCATTCTTTAGGGGCATATGGTATGATTCCTCGCAATCGAGCACCTGTTGGAATCCAGATAGTATCGTCTAAAGTTGAAGACGAAAAATTGTACACATGGTGCAGATTAAATAACAGTTATTAATAATATTGTTCAATGTTTAGTCTCAGCAGAGGAGGCAAGGATACGCGGCCTTCAAGAATTGCGTGAAGCAGGAAATGAAAGCACCGTGAAAGAAGAACCTTGCGTCACAAATTCTTATCTGAGATTGCTACGTATTAGTTTATTTATTATTTAATGGTTCCTTTAAATACCATAAAAAGCATGGCAATCTCCTATCGATGTCCACAGGGATATAAGTGTGCTGTTTTATTTGTAAAATGTTTCATCCTCCTTAAATATAAACTATTTCATTGTTCCTAAATAATAACGTTGACCCGAATGCAATTTAACGCATTATTGTTTAAGTTTGAATGATTTTATACGATAACCTCAGATTTGTGATAGCACACACACATTGTTCATAATGTTCTTCCCAAAGAGTATGCCATAACATGTTTGTTATAAGATCTCTTTGTACAAACTAAGAAGCTTCGTAGTTGAAATTTATTATCTTTGTGTCGATAATATTAGAAATACGTTGTTAATAATATTAAAAATATTAAGGAATAAGTTTATATGCCAGCCAATTGAGCCATGACTTTTGTTAATAAAATTATCGTTTCGTTAAGATATTGCAACTCCAACATCCTAAAATAACGTATCTTATTCCTTTGTCCTTTAATATCGTCCCGGGTCACTTATTCTTTTTACAATAACTTAAATAATAAGCCATGCCACGTGTATTTAGCAATTATACCATCCTCTCAAAGAATAACATTGACGGCCCGTCAGTTCGAATTACGCGCCAGGTAGAAATAAATACATAGAGTGACTTTGTGTCCAGATTTAGCAAAGGTGAAAGTCCTAACGTCCTGGTTTACCAGTGAAAAAAAATCCAACGACCACTTACACAAATCCACCAACCACTTACACGAGCCCACGACGTCTACCGGTGCCTCCTAAACATCGAAGACATCAAATCCAACAGCCATACTATTTCCTCGTCTCCTCGTGAACATATTAAACCCATCCCATTGGCAATCCATCCTTAAACGCCAAAGTTTGCAAGTATCACTAGACTCTATAAAAATTCAATGTTCAATTCCAAGAAGGATATTCTCCCCTGAGTACTTCCCCTCGTGCCGGGCCATAAGCTCTTTAAAAAGAAACTTTCAAGGTCTAGCAACCCGCGAATCTGCAAAGAGCCAACTAGTCAAGAAGTTCTTTGGAAGTCTAACAGTTCGGAAACTTGAGAAGTCCCCACGAGCGGATGTGAAGATTTCGGAATTAAACGGAACGATTGGCGACGCCGGTCTCGGGGGTGGCTTTTTCCCTATCCGCACCCTTTCCTTGTTTCGGCACCTGCCTCGTTGGGCATTTCGACTCAGACCTCGAAGAGGACCAGAAGACCTTGAAGAGGACCGGCCGAAATGGAGGTGATGTACCAGGCGAATCTCGACGGATTGCTGCAAGTACTCCAGCACCAAGCGAATTACGGTACCATGCAGGAGGGTGGGGGTCGTACTTCCTTGAGCATGGTCAGCCAGCCGGGGGGTCGGCTCGTCACGAGGACGAGTGCCGGTACCATTTCGAGCCATTCGAGCCGCGAAAGAGAATCGTACGTCCCGGGAGTGCGCGTCGACTTCGCGGTTACCGCCATTCCGGCCCTCGGCGGTTACATCCTCAAGTCCTACATCAGAGTGATCCGCCGCTGTGCTACGTGCATGATGGGGATGATGGGGGTTTTCAAGTGGCTCAGAAAGTAAGTCTTCGACCTTATTTCTTCTGACGTTGATCAAACCGACAGGTTCTTCATTTTTGAGGAATCCAGGGAATCGATGAGTGAACCGGTGGACCTGTTAGATCGACCTAGAATGTAAATAATTATCTTAGAATACGTATTATAGATCTCGATATCAGGTTGGATTCATTTTTGCCGAATCAGTCAATGCAATGGGTGTCTTCGAATCGTCCTAAAAGTCTATTATGAATCGACGTTATCGCTTTTTGATTATTAATCACCGTTTGTTCCTGCGCTACATGCATGGTGGGAATTACGGGAGGCTTAAAATGGCTTGGAATGTATGTCGACGTCCTTATTTCTTATCAACGCCATTGATCAAATAGGAAGGTTGTGTCAATTATTTATGGGATCCTGCGAATCGATGGGTAAGGCTCTACCTAGAGTGTCAATTATTAAGACGTCGTTCACTTTTGGTGTAATACACGTACTCGACCTCGGTATGGGGTTGCATGAATTTTTGTCGAACGAATGAATGAATGGAATGAGTGTTCGAATTGTCCAAGAAATCAGTTATGAACTGACGTTATCGCTTTAATTATTTGTAAATGTATAAAGTAACTACTGTGTCACGTGCATGATGGGAATGATGGGGGTCTATATATGGCTCAAAAGGTACGCCCTCGATCGACCTAATTTTTCTTCAATGTCCTTGATCGAATTTTCGGGTTGTATCAGTTTTTATCGAATCGGGGGAATCGATGGATGGGGGTGTTTAATCGACTTGGAATGCCAGTAATTGGCAAACAAGTTGTCTTTTGGTACCTTATGTACAGATCTGTGATTAGCACATTGAGCTGCCAGGTGATCGCGTTGATAACGTGAAAGAATATTGAACAGAAATTGAATGATCGTTGTCAGATATTATTTCCCCGACCTCGTGTTAGTTTGATCGATTTAATGACAAGATCGGTTCGAATATATATGGTCTCGATTTGAAGGATATTTTTGATTGATTGTAATTATGAATTTTAACGCAGGTTAGATATTTGGTAATGTAACTCATCGTAAAGGCCCACTTGAAGAGAAAATATCTAGAAATCCCTGAATAATTAACACGTGGCCAAAATTTAAATCGTTTCGCGTACAAATGGCACGTATCGGTTTATTATTCCGATCCAGATACGATCGCGTTACATGAGGTAATAATTGCTACGTGTTCGGTATAAAATGTTAAATAGTGATGCGGTCAGCTAAATCCGAATTGAAAACATTACATGTAACTCGTTCGCGGAATGTTTTAAAGAAAGTATACTAAGTATATACGACCGAACGGAATGATCGATTCTTCGAGAACGCTAATTTATATATCGAAATATTTCGACATTAAATTAAACAGTCGTTTAACCTACCGAAAGGGAACCAGGTTTTGCGTGAAAGCGAAAGCAACGTACATTAATTATTTCTGAAGAATTTCGTCCATTGAAAGTACGATCTATTGCGTGTTTCTAATATATCCTGATTATCCCGTTTTATTTTGACGATATACTCGGTTCACTTGCGTGCGAAATCGATTCTTCGAATACTTTCCGTTTTCTGAAAGGTAACAAGCGTTGAGCTCAGTGGCGGATGACGCCTTCTGGGAAATGTAAATAATTCCAAATAAATTAAAGAACACACGGAAAGGAACTATTAACTGTACATAGGAAATGTAAATAATTCCAAATAAATTAAAGAACACACGGAAAGGAACTGTTAACTGTACATAGAACACCATTTTTACGTGGTCGGTAGTGGGGAAACAATACCGTACGTGTAATTACATAATTTCCCTAAGTTCTCCGATTCTGATCTCTCTACAACCACGAATCATCTAATTTATTTCAACATTTATTTATTCAATTATGAACACGAATTTCGACTGTTACGTACACGTAATGTCTTATTCTGAGTCAGATCTGATGGTCAGCGGTGATTATGGCAGGCGAAAATAGCGTTATCAGAGGGTTTATGTAATTTATTGGTGGATATGTTGCGCTGAAAATTCTACCGGAGCGGATAACGATATTCGATTTTTCATTATATAATAATAATTTTCACTAAATACTTACTACTTAAGAAATAAGTATTTTGTCCACGGCATTTTAATTTTAAATTAGTATTTAGCGGAACAAAGTTTCTTAGAAGTAGGTTTAACGTAAATTTCTAAACCCTCGTTTGCCTCTTACCATAGCTTCCCATTTTCTATGTAGACATTAACTTTCGCCTCATTTTGAATGTGCTGCCTCGAAAACTTCGACTTGTCCGTTGAGCTTCTATTCAGAGCTGGAAAAATCAACGACCTTGTCATAACAAGCCGGCATTATCTGACCTTCCTCGCTCACACGTAACCGTCTCCGCGATTACATCTGTAATATTCAGCCATCAAGTTTTTGCTGCTCCGTACTATGGCAATATGTAGTCGAAGAGTCAAGTGATTCGAACAAGCAAAATTCCTGCAAAAAAAATGTAGCATTCAAATATTCCGATCTCGATGGATTCACTTGATCAGGGAAAAATTAATTCATTTCAGTAATGTTAATTTCTTATTCTTCCCTTTTCCAAAAGTGAAGAAAATAATGAAGAAGAGCGTACCTCAAATGATTTTACTACCTAGAACAGCAAACTAGTGTTTCTATGGGCAGGTACAGAGTAGGTACCGTTAAGCCGGCTTTACTCGGCGGCATAATGACATTTATTGCTCGGGGAAAAAGGATAAGTTTTGGAATATCTAGGGAAGTTGGGCTCTACGCAAAGTAGGAGTTACGGTTAAATCCATTGTCGTTTCGCGACCTAATCTCGACCGATTGCTATAATGCTGCCTTGTTCGATTGTTATTATGGGTCTGCTGCCCCGTTCTTGAGAAACAAGAAATGCCAGCGCCAACAATAGGTATAGGGCCCTTTTACTGTCTCGACAGAAAGTTACTTCTACAGGTAAAATCCATTGCTCTAAGTGAAGTCCCATGTACGTGACTCCATTCACGGAAGCTCAGATTATTAACGATTTACTAATTATTTCCCGCTTTTATACCAATTATTTCTCAATGATTTCAACTCATATGTGAAGCAACACTCTTGATTCGACGGCCACTGATAGGGTTTCGTTAAATGCAAAATTCAATTAAAGATTACATTCAGGAATGCCTAGACAGGTATTAAATGACTTTCATACAGCGGCGTATGGATGCGCATCTTTCTGTAAAATTAAATTATTCCAATTATTATCGGTCATCGCCTGGAATGATCAGCGGTAAGTTCAAGCGTAAACCGTTGCGAGCTTCCTGAAAGTCATTCCATCGGAACACGCTGTGCAGATTATGCAGAAGGAATAAAATGCGGAAATGAAAACGGAGCAGAATGTCTAGGTCAATCGCGGACCCCTTTCCCCATTACTTGGCCGATGCATTTGCATAGAACTCTAACGCATTTAATGTGGCACCTGTATATTGCTTATGTGACGTCACCGAACGAGCTGGAATGAATGAATGGATGCACTCGCGAAAATAGACATGGAAATCGAGCGCTAGTTCAAGCCAAGCACCCGTCACTCCACCATTCATTTCGACTCGATATTGCATGATTAATTCGCACCGGAAATAAATGGCGAATTTCTGGTGGCGGCCCTAATGAGTTCAATCCGGAGAAGCACACGGGTCGATGCACTCGTCTGCCGAGAAAACAAAACCGGTCTACTTATTCCAATTAAACGAAAGCATACCGATGAAATTAGCCCCACGGGAAGCGTACGGTACTTCGTTTACGAGTTGCTGATCTTCTGGGACATGTAAATAAAAGTCCACGCTCTAGCGCCTCCGAGTTAAACGCGACTCTCTGGACAAACTGTATTTTCTGCGCCAGGATGAGCTTATCAGTGCCAAATCCCTTGCACGGTAGGATACTTGGACTCGACCTCAGTAATCGATGGTCAGAGGTACTTTCAGCTTCCACCTGCAATTCATTCATCTTCTTATTCTTCTTACAAGTAATTAAAAAAAATCTGAGGTAACACGTGAAAAGTAGTTCATGCCGTACGAATTGCTTACCTGCTGAGACACGTGAAAAAAATGCCCACGCTTTAACACCTGACTCAGTGTGACTTGGCCCCACGAGCGCACTGTATTTTGATCACCAAGGGATGAGCTAATCGGTGCTAAATCTACGAGGTCGAAGAGAGCAATCTATTCGAGGGATTGCGGTTTAAATATAATGCCGTTTCCTTTCCCGACGTACAAAAGTCGATAGCGTACCTTATCCTGCCTCGTTTCTCCTTTTCGAGAGTCGGAGACTCTCGGTTTTCTCATTACCGAAGGCCAAGGGACCTTAGCGGCATTATTCGTGGGCAAAGCGCCGTTTCTTTTTTCGGGGCAATATCGGTCGATCGATCAGCCAATTTAGAGCAGCTCGTCACGCAGCGTGCACAATAACGGCGTTATTACAGAATGGTCGGAGCAATTGGAACGTCTGTTTTAATTCGCGGCCACAATCATTCCTCACTTTCATCCCTTGGACCGCTCGATCCGTCGTTTTCGTACCGGGGACGCGGGAACCCCCTAAAAAAATTGTGCAAAAATTAATTATTGATCCATGGGAAGAAATCAGTCCAATTCGCTTTCATGATTCCCTTCTAAATTTTGATAATCCATAATGACCTGCTAGACTCCACTCCATCGGAGCCTTAACGAAACTCGTTTCGTCCTGGAGATCGATTCCATAAAAATCCTTGAGGCATTCATTTCACCCCAATAACTCAGGTATTGATTCAGATTGATTGTCCCAATTACTTCCGCAGGCTGAGCTCCGGTTGCATAATTATCTCTGCAACAGGATCATGTATCTCGGTGAATCCCGCGCTTGCGAATACGCAACAATCCCTCGCCGCACGCTTTCTAGGCAGAGTAATTACGATTTATTGCGAAGCACGGGAGCATCTTTATGCCGAGATAAATAGGAAACAGGGCTGGAAGCGTTCCTAGGAAAAGACAGTACGAGGTAGTACGTGAACTGCATTTCAGTAGTGGTGCAATCGTTCACGGGCCCGATGTCGATCGTGACTCAAGGCACGGCACAGATTCTCGTGGATCGATTCCTGCTCTTCGAACCTGGAAGCGATCAACCCGAGGCTTAGTTCAGTTAATTAGAAAATTCATTATTACATGTTGTCAAGAGTTTCTACTCTTGACAACGTGTAATACGCAAGGTATAAGATGGGAAGCAAAGAAACAATCGTACGCTTTCATGTTTGTACGTACAATCGCCCTCTTTATCGTATCAGATCCCTGGTAAACGATTGTTCTCCATAATGCTAATACAGTAATTTTTATTGAGTGTCAGAGAATACCTTAATCTACTCATTGCATCAGTCTATTTACATGTTCATTACGGTGTACTTTCATGTCCAAGATCGTTTGATAAAGAGAACAGATATATGTACAGGGTGTAACAGAAATCGTTCCCACGGTATACGCTTCTCTATTCTTCTTGAAAATGGAGTCGAAAAGTCCTGCACTATATTTTAATTAATCATTACAGGTACAATTTACCCATTTATTTATTTTATAATTATTATTGTTGTTGCTGGGATTGTTGCGTGTTTTGTTGTGTTGTTAACTCCTTTATTTGTGGCGCAGGAATAAGACAATTTAAGGGTTGCCCCTCAATTAGCGCTTTGCTAATCGACGCGCCCATTAAGCTACTATTCAATTAATTACTACATGTGAATTATGTACCGCAGAAAAATAAAAATTGTGCGCCACTTTTGACTTCATTTTGAACAGAGGCTAACATCGTGTAAACCGTGGGCACGAATTCTGTTACATCCTGTACAACTTGATGACAACAGCGTGTGAAAAGAGAAGCATTGTGAATGCGTAATGTGGCGTGGGATTTTTTTTCTTTTTTTTTTCTAACACTGTCCTACTGCTGAGATGCACGGTAATTTTTAATTTGCAAAGGAAGTTGCTTCGTTACCGTATTCCTCGCGCAATTCCGCGGCAGCAAAAGAACCGTTCTGGCTTTGAATCGGCAACGGTCTACGACCATTCTTCTCGGGATTAATCCACTGATTTGCATAACGAGAATCGATTATGCTTTACAGGGATACCTTGAAGAGGGAGCGGAACCGGTGGAGCTCGTCACTTGAGAGTCCCGGCCTTAATAAGTAAGTTAAAATTAGCTTTAGTAGTAATAACTGGAACTGTGGACATGTTACGCGGATCAGGGGACGCTAAAATTGAAAATTCAAAGGACTACCTCTGGAAATAAAAGAATTGCATTTAAAGCACATGTACCTCGCGTTGACCATAATAATGCAACATTGGACATATGAATCGATAAATAAAATTAGAGAAAATTGAATACGACCTCGGTGTTCTCTAATCCTTAAGCTACCTTTTTACGTGCTGCTTTGCTGCAAAATTGCATGCAACAAAACGCTCTGGATTGGCTCGGAATTCTTTTGGTCATTCATGATGGTTGCTTAGTTTCAACAAATCGGAGCGTTTTACTGCATGCCATTTTGCAGCAATGTAGGAATTGAAAAGGTAGATTTTGTTCGCTACCTTTAAATTTTTGGTTGCTAAGCATGTTTAGGCCCGGGCCCACAACTCGAATTAACCGAAGTTTAACTGATTTACCCCCATTTTAAACCTGCGGTGAACCAACTAAACTCAGGTTAACTCGAGGGTGGAACCGGGCCTTACACGTCCTATCATATCGGTTTTATAACCAATGTTGTAAACTATTGGCGTTAAGCGTCGTGTAAACGCCGTTTTAAGCCATTGTTACTGGTAAAACGACGTTACGTTCAACACCAGTACTTATAACATCGGTAGTTGTAAAACCGATGTAAGATAGTACATCAAAAAGCAACTCACTGTTGTGCAGGGTCTCTGAAAGACGATTTTCTAAAAATTTCTGTGCTTACTGTTGTGACCTTTATTGCCCACCACTACGTAAATCAAGGAATCGACTCTAGGATTAAAAATTGAAAAACTTACCGCCGGTAATAAAACAATTGCGCCGGATATGCGTGAGCTGGCGACTCTAAAAAATTGCGACTTATTGTTTGCCTCCAGCCAACTTCAGTCGGAACTTTTTGACAACCGTGGGCGATCACCGACGCGCATTTTGTTTCGTTTAACAATGTATTTCTAAGTTTTTGTTTGTTGCATAAAATTTGATGGAAATATTAACTACATTAAGTGACGTAATGTGTAATGTTTAGTAATTTCTAAGCTTACCGATTTGGGTGGGCTAACCTCTTGACGGGGTTAGAAATTGGAGGTTAGGTGCATTCTCCGTGCGACCGCGAGGTGGCGCTGCGGCTTGGGCGCGACCACGTGCGTTCTGCTCTCTCGAGCAGACGACAACAGGACAAAGGTGTCCTTTTCTATGGATTAAATAATCGAGCGACGCGGCGCTTTGTCGCTCGCGGGATCCGGCATAGTTCCTCGGTAATTGGGCGCTTCCGTAACCGGCGTTGGCCAACAAAAGTACACCCCCTTTTCCCTCGGCTGCGTTTCCGTGGATACGAACAATCGGCGCCACAGGTCGTGATTCATTCTCACTAACACTGTTGTCCACGCCACCTCGTAATTGCGTTTCGGTGACGTCACTGGTCCGGGGATAAATGACGAACGCCGCGTTCGCCATGTTCCATCGCAGGTCAAATTCGCCCAGAAGGTAATTTTTTCTACCAACGGTTTCTCTTGGTGATCTCAAAATGGCTCGATCAAAGCGAGAATTAATTCGAATTTCGCTTAACTGAATCGAGACTAAAGGATGAGTTTTATCATTAACTCCGAAAAGTTTCCACTTTTCGGAGTTTCACGGGGACTAATCAGCTTCGCGCAGGAACAGTGACGCACTGTCGACTCGTAGCTCTGATTGGTCCGCAAGTGGCGGGCAATGAAAATTCAAGTTATCTACCCTGTCAAGTATTAAACGATCAAAATCGGTCTTGGTTTTACTTGCGAGACTTGCACCTTTTGATTGGACCGCGCGAAACCAGTACTCGATTGAGCGAGACCAAGATTCAAATATATAACCTATACCAAGTCCAATTTTGTTCATCATTCCTGCAAATGATACATCATGTCCTCTCTTAATTTATAAACGAAAACTAATTTCTTTGATAAAACTTCCCTTTAAACGGAGGTAAAATCGTTTAAATTATCTTAGCCACGAAGAGTGTAAAAATATTGCAACAATATACTAATTTCCATTTATTGTTTCCAGCGAAGCGTACAGAAATGCGCTGCAGGCGTTCATAGAACGACGACGTACTCCCAGCGGGTCGTCACTGAGCCCCGAGAAGCAGAAGATAGACATTTTCCTGAAAAACATCAAAAACAATCGTCGGGACTGTTACACCATTCCGGGCGTTCCGCACGTACAAGCTCCGGATGTCTTCGAGATCGGTTGGGTCCCAGGCACAGAAGATCGCTACCTCGAGCTTATCTTCGCCGAGTGGCAGAATACCCGAGTCTCTCTGAAGAGGCACACGCACCCGGAATGCCAAGACGCCGTCAAAGCGGACCTCGAAGTCCTCACGTGAGTGAGGTCCTACATTGATAAAAATCGATGGAAGTTTACATACATTTTCATACACCTCGTAACTGGTTTCACACACAAAAAAAAAAAAGAAACAAAAAGAAAGTGGAAGAATTACAAATCAGAAAATGTATAAATATACGTAACGTTATAAATTTGCCATAATTGTGCATTTTTACTTGAATTAAATGTAACATTTCGTTATAACTTTCTTTAACTTAGAAGCTGATTGTGACATTGCTGTGACAATGTAATTCTACTGCTATTTATTGTACCAACGAAATAACTAATGATTGAGTATGTAAATTTACATGGGTATTTTTATCGGGGTAGTTATGTGTAGGTTAACCGAGTAAAAATTACTATGTGGCAATTATTGGGGATTATAATACTAATAACGATAATACCTTTCAGAGAGATTCGTCATCCAAACGTCTTGCTACTGATGGCCACGACCCAGACGGATGACCACGGACTCGTCGCCATCTTCGAGTCTGTGGATTGTACATTGTACAATTACATGCACGAACAAGGGGAGCGGATTTCTATCCAAGGAGCTGCTAAATGTGCTGGAAGACTTGCGGATGCTCTAAGACACGCGCACATGCGTGGTTATATCCACGGTGCGTTGAGCTCGCATTGCGTATATCTGGCTTCCGGGAACGTCAAGCTTGGCGGCTGGGAACTTGCTATCAACGAGGATAACGTAAGCCCGTTTAAAATTTCTTAGACGTATATGTGTTCATTTTAAATACGTTTATATTTTCAGTCATCGGCCAGCTGCAAACGTAATATCGATTTTATCACTCCTCGTTGATGAACGTTCGATTGCTGTTAGGTAGTGATAATCGAATCGCCAATTCATTCGTACCGTAACAAAAGCTGTAAATAAATTCACGATCAAAGGTATATCTTGCGGAATATCCGTGTACGGTTTAATCCGGGAAACGTGTCTTCGCGACTTACACCGTAGCTATGTTTGCGAGGCGTTTCACGCAACGATGCGTTTTATACGGAAAAATCCTCAGTCCGTGTCGTGACTTCTAAGATCAGGGGAGAAAGTCTGGCTCCGTGTTGCTGCTCCAAGGGCTTCAATGGAGAAGCCAATTGTAGCGCAAAGGAAGTAACCGAAGCCAAAGTTTCCTGTTTAGGGTACAGTGTTGGTGAATGGATGAAAATTAACCAACTCCGCTGATAACCGGAGCGGTAGCTTTGCGCGCGATGTAACTAGTTCCACGCGTCTCATTTAATTTCTTCAAAATCGGTTAAACGTGGCAGACATTGATAGTTTTACCCGCCCGTGCATTGTACGCAACGTATGAATGCGCTTTGTAAGTTATTTCCATCGATTACTTTTCCCTCTTTCAGCACATTTACCCGGTGCTCGTTCATCCGTACAAATGATGTTCCGGAACCAGGAAATTGTCTGCTTAACCCTTTTGTTTGCCAATCCTTCATTTCCGACGTATTGTTGTGCTTAATACGCGCATCCATTTTGTCTGGAAAATGGTCGGAAATGCTAATAGTTAATATCAAACTAGCTAAATGAATCAACTGAGTTTACTTTGGAAAGAGCCTTTAATGCGTGAAACTTAATTCATGGGTAAAGAATTTGCACCTTTTTTGTCCTCATAAAATAGACGAGACCTGACCGCATGTTTGAAGAACGTTTAAGAGCTGAAATCTTCAAATGGAAACCTCCTGACATGTTCTCGGGACAGCCGCCATCCAAAGCTAGTGACGTTTACGGATTAGCTCTGCTGATCTGGGAAATGTGCACTGGTAAGTACTAGTTATAAGGCGTGAGAATAATTCCATAAAATTGGGCTTTTATGTTAAATGTATTTGTCCGTCAGGTAATATACCCTGGAACAATCTAACCGAGCCAGAAGTGGAAAGACAGTACGTCCATTGGGAACGTGGTGTCATTATTGACTTGTATAATTTTCCACCATTGCTCAATAATTTATTGGAGGCAGGACTTCAGATAGACGTGACGAAACGAACTTTAGATATGAACAGAATGCGTAGATTTCTACAAAGACTAGAGGTATGTCAAATTATCAATTGCAGTAAACAATTGTGTTAATCCTGGTTATAACGAAACAACTTAATTTTACAGTCTTTTCCGACGTTTTTCTTAACGAATACTTCAAATTTTTTCAGATACAGTACGAAGACGAAGAACCGATCTACATCGATGATTTTACAAACAGTAAAATTCACCAGGGGAAAATAATTAGTGCGCCCGTATCGACTTCGCCGGTCACCAACGCTACTACTGTTCCAAAATATACGACTGCCGAAACTCCAAAAAGTTCAAAACCGAAAAGGCTTTTCGATTCAGATAAAATCTACTATAATCGAACTGTACGATCAGCCTCAAAGAAAGATGTATACGCGGAACGCGTTAACGTCTTCGATGATAATAAGAATCAAAAACAGAAACCCGCGGATCAAGGTGGAAAAAATACTAATATGTTCCTGGAAACGCAAAAAAACAATAACGAGACACATATTCCTAAATGTACAATTGTCGATCCATTGAGGGAAGAAAATGTGTATACAAGAGTCAGCAGACAGTCGAGATTTATGGATAAATTAGGCAAAGCAGAAACCAAAGTGGATGAACCGAAGCCTGTCGTTACTTCAGAAAATAGTGCTTCATGCTCAACGCATACGGAAGACTCAACGGACGATGAGTCGACTGACGATGCCTACACGAATTTGAAAAAATTAAAAGAAGTTATAGCTAGCAGAAGAGAAAACTTTTTTTACGGAAGCGACACTTCACATGCCTCTGTTCCTGACATAAGTAACCAGATTTCATACTATAATGGCATTAATATATGTGATTGTAAAATTTGATATTAACGTGTTTACTTTATTTAGGTCCGAAAACAAAAAGTAGAATACTGACAAAAGCCAAAGGTCAAGATTATAAGCCACACAAACCAGCAAGCCATTTTACTAGCTTGGAACCCAAATTGAACAAATCACCGCTCCAGTATGATCCAACGCTAATTAAACCAGCAAGTCATCAAAATCAAAGAGTAAATTATTGATTAATTTAAAGTGCACGATGCGAATTTGTTACGCACTGTACAACATTTTGTAAAGGAACGGAGATAGCAAAATTAATTATTGTAACTTATTAAGCTCATAAGACTATGTCTTCTGTTGCAGTCTCCATACTCTAACGTACCAGCAAACATCAGAGATGCTGTTCTGCAACCTCAAGTCCTAAATCCTGATTCCCAAAGTTTCTTCGAGTCATCATTATGGAGGAAAGAAAAATCGATATGTTTATCGAAAATGGGAAATGTAAATCATAATCAAGTAAGAATTGTTCGTCACTATTTTATAATTATACTATACGTACCTCGATACGACATAGTGTAGAATTTTCCCTAATTGTCAGAAAAATATATTAAACTTATAAAATAATTTCCTTCAGCATTTGACTAGTGACAAGGAAAAACCTGAAGGTCAATTCGAATCGCCAAAGAGTGACAATACGTATACCATTCGAGGTGAAAATGAAGGTGCGTATTAATAACAATAATCTACAACATAAGATTACATGTTAATAATTCTTTAATACACTTTCAAAACGTAATCTGGTTATTTGAATTATTAAAAGATTTTGTTTCGTAGGTAATCGTACCAAAATCATCATCAGGGGTTCGAGCCTTGAGAAACTAAATCATGATTCTGAGGGTAGTTCCTCAGAGTATTCTATACCTCGAAGCAAATCGTTACAAGCGCTTAAAGATGCTTTAGATCGAGCAACTGACATTGTACGATCAGTAACACCAAACACAGAAGATTCAACAGATTCCGAACATTTTTCACCAGAAAAGACATTTAGTCATTCAGACCTTGCATTGCACAATACAGATCTTAACGAGTCGATATTTGAATATTTAAACCAATTAAAATCTGGTAATAATGCAATAGATGAAGAAATCAAAAGCATCGAAAGATCAACAGACACTGACAAAACCTATTCAATTGTCAACGATGCGAAACGTGAAAATGTTGAACATGAAAAAATGAGAACAAATGAAAGTAAATTTCAATCAAAGTCTACTGCGCGTAGAAAATATACATATGTATTGGTTGATCCTGTATATAATAACCCTTACGAATCCATCGTAGAAAACTCACTTTATAATTATCCAACAACAAACTCAAGGACAAGTCCGGGAACAAACATTTCCGAAATGTCAGACAAAGTAGAACTTTCAAGTCAGATGATAGGTGAGAGTACTTTCAATGCGGGTCTTCCAGTGGGAAATGAAAAATGTCAAAAATCAGAAAATGAGAAAAATCAAGCAAAAGAAAAAAATGGTGCGCCGAATGTTACTTTGATGCTTCTTGGTGATAAATCACGAGATAAGGGATGCAGATCTTGCCGGCATAAAAATATTTTAGCGAGGAGACGATCGTTACCTGCCGCTTTGGGGCATTTGAAACCATTTGGTACTAACCTCTCACTTGGAAAGCTGCCCATCCGCAGAGTGGTAAGATTTATTTCCTTCGTTTAATGCATTATTTATTTCCTTAATTTTCGAATATGTACGTTTCCTTTCCTTCCGTATTTTTTACCGTTTCATTTAAAACTGATAAATAATATGTTTATTAGTATGACATTGGACTCTTAAGAAGCTAAGTAGATTTGTCTACAGCTTTATAAAGCTAAAAAATGTACTTTCATTTTCTTTGGATTTTATCATAATTAAAGACTTCATTTTCCCCTCAGATGTCAGAATACTAATATTGTCGCTCTATTGGTGTCAAAGTGGAAGAAAAAAAAATGATGCACTGATTAATCGAGTTAGTAAGTTATCATAATATGCAAATAAATAGCAGGATCTATTCATGTGCTCCTATTCATCCTATTATTTAAATCAATGATAATGAAGTATAACAATGTTATCTAATGATTGATGATATTGTCTGGATTGTTTCATGCTCTTCATCCATGATGCTGACCAAGACGACATAGTATTAATTATTCAAAATAAATTTTAATGCATTCGTTTTGTTATCTAAGTAACGCACCTAAACGAACAAGTAACACTTTTCTAAATACAATTCCCTTTTCATTCTTGATGATTATTTTGTCATTAATAACAAAGTAAAAACCTTCTAAATAAAAATCAAATTATCCATTTTTTAAATTATATTTTATACGTTTGTAATATAAAAACGTTATTATTATACTTGTTTCAATTGCAGGAACTGCCAGACAGCACAGTGGAAGATTTATACATTGACGATGAATTTGATGACAGTTTAAATGTCAATATGCTACTATTAGGTGAAAGCCTACAACTTGACGAAGATGACTTCTTACCTGATTTATTAGAACTATCAGAGTCATATATATATTCGTAACAAATTGACTTTATTGTATTCAGTGTTCAACATTATTCTTCTTTTTAACAAGGCTGAATTTTAAATAATGTTAAACTCTAAAAATTTCAATTTTATGAAAACGTACTCGTTAAAAGTTAAGCTTTAAAGCTTAAGAAAGACGCCATCAAGTTTATGATAACTTGATTTCTTTTTTCTATCGCCATTTTTACTTTTATAAAACGTTTTAATTTATGAGACCTATGTCATATTTAAAATCGAATGACAAAGTGTGCAGTTTCATTTGTATTTTATAACGAAGATTACATGCTCTTCGTTTTGCCCATCTACTACACAATATTGTTCGTTAAAGAACTGCAGGAATTAAAGTATTAAGATGCAGTAGCAGCATTGTTCATATTATGACTCCCGTTATTACAAAAAATGAAAATGTTCTGTAAACTAATTTTTGTCTAGAAAAATAATCATTATTTTATAAGACAGAAAAGAATCGTTATTTTGTAATATTATTAAGTCAACACATTTTTATTAAGAAGTTATAACTGTATTTCAAATTAAATGATGACTGCATTGAAAATATTTGTTTACAGAACTTTTCATCTTTTAGTAACACTGCCCAACATTTGAAAGTATAATGTAAATGTGATGAAAAAGAAGGTAACATGTAACTAATTTTTATTTCTGACAATCCTATAATTTAGTGGAAAAACGCATTCTACTGCTGTGACAATACATATGTGTCGACACCGAATAGGATTACTGTGCCTTCGTACTTACTTTAATGTTTTACATTTGTATATTAGTTAAGTAGAATAGTGTCAACTTTACAAGTTTAAACATAATGTAAATTCTACTGCTGTGACAATACATATGTATCGACACCAAATAGGATTACCATACCTTCGTATTTACTTTAATCTTTTACGTTTGTATATTAGTTCAGCAGAAAAGTGTCAATTTTTACAGGTTTAAACATAGTGTAAATGTACATTAAATCTGTTATATATCAATGTATAAAATCATCTTTCATATAAAGACATGAAAAAAATAAATACAAATATTTTGTTTCTTAAAATTTAGTGTTCTGATATAATTTCCTAACGTTACATCTTTACATTCGATTCCAAGCAACTTTACTAATTTAAATTAATCTCAAGGCATGAATCAATAGAAAAATTTGTAATAAACACAATACCATGTTTTTTAACAAATCTTGTTATTCCAAAAAACAACCATTTTTAGGTGCAGAAACTATTTATTTGATCAATATAGGTCAATTATGTTAAAAATACACTTTTTTATGGTGCTTACTAATTTTATAGAAGAGGCTTACAAACTTTCATCTGATCTTGTTAAAGAAATCTTAATTTTAAATACGTTATATTTTAAAAGTAGCGATTGATGCCAGAGGCGCTTGTCTTTTTTTATTAACTAACTGAACATTATAGCAAAAGCATAATTAACCCGTTCGGCAAGAATGTTCTCATCATAGTGCACAACTCTATATTTTTGTGGTTTTTCACTAAAACATTAATTAATAAATATACACACTTAAAGTATTAATGACATAATTAATGTTTGACAACTTAAATAAGTACACTTACCAACCATCTTATTTGTTTCATATTTTAAAAATGACACATGATACGAAAAACATAATTACTAGGCCGAAAGAGTTAATTATAAGTGTATCATGTTTATATTGCTGATAAATAAAAATTCGATCAAAGAGTTCCTACTAACAAATGTACTACATCGTTGCTTTATTACGTTGCTTCCACTTTCCGTTCAACATATTCTCATCCACGTAGAGTTGGCAAGAAGACAACAAAGCTTTGATTATGGTTCATAAAATATTTACATTTTTACTTGCACTTAAATAATCACTGGGAAAATAATGACAATAAGAAACTAATGTATAATGACAAAATCTTCACTCATTACATGCTGTTGTCTTATGCAAAATTAATGAATGAGAATATGCTATATCTTTTGATGTACAGTGTATCTGAATTTAGTGTAAAGAAATAATGATGAACAGATAAATTAAACTGTTGGATTGAATTTCTTATTTTGTTCTTTTTTCTAATCAATAAATTCTCTTGCTCTAACAATCTTTTCTGTATGTTATAATAATTATAGTGAGAAAAAATAATATTTAAACATAACTCAAATACACTGCACGGTTACATATATTCGTTGTTAATATTGACACATAAATTCTACAAAAATTGGAATGAGATAAAAATCATTAACTTCAAAAATGTGTCTTAACTCATGTCAGTAGAAGAGCACCAAATGTTTTACATTAATATTTAACATATTTTATTATTTCACATGTGAAAAATAATTAAAACATATATGTATATTACTTTTATAATTTTAGAGCGCAAAAAATATTCCAAATCAGATATTATCTTCTAACTGCTCTTTCATCACTTACTGTCTCCGTTCTCATACTTCCCCAAATAATATCATTCATAAGTTATGATACCTTCCATTACTTTGATTCATTGTAGACTAGACCCATTATGATAGGAAAATTTATATCGCCAAGCCAAAGACAGAAACAATGCAATACATAGTTTTGTTCTCCCAGCGAACTGTACAACTGCCATCAGTAGCATTATCCCAAAAACACGAACTAGCTGTATGCAAACCAGCTCCATTTTTTTGCATAATTGTACAAGTTACTGGAAAGTAATTATTAATCATGCAATTTCAGTACATACAAAACATCCTTGTTAGAACATGAAAAGTACTTATATCGAAAGAGCATTCAGTTAAGAGGTTCTCACCGATATATTTGTATGGTTTCTGCAATTTCGTTAGATTTCCTAAACATCCTTCCACAACATTCGAGGTCCATTGATTCACTTTATTATGTTGATAAGCATTTCCTCCGATCGATACTTCAATTGCATCCTTGATAATTTTACTAACGTCGTCCACCACAAATTGTGTCTGGAACATTTAAATTGTTTTAAGATGCCGATGAGAGATAAAGTGAGACAAATTCTAACAGTTTCATTAATAAGGCATCAATTCCGACAGAAAATATTTCTGGCTTCGAATAAGTTCTTTTAATCTCAGATAACCTCTCTAAGATAACTTTTGAAAAAAGTGTATAAATATGAAATTGATAAAAACCATACTAACCTCTTCTTGCATATCCTCCATGGTGTTCTCGTAAAGTGGCAATTTATTTTCAGGCGCAGTAAAAGTTATCCTTTCGAGACAATTCTCACTTGAACGAAAAACGATTGACTCGAGCTCCGTTACAAAAAAAAAAAAATATTAAAAACACTGAAACGATGAAATAATTTTCACAGATTTACATACGATTATGTAATATCGTAATTCAATTTATTAAACGAAAATTGCTTTATAATGCAGAGTACTTAAGTAATGCTTCACGGAGACGTAACTTAAGAAACGACCATGACAGGTTGCGATGTTATTAGCTTTAAATGGACATCAGGTGCCGACCATGAACTACCCGGGAAGACAGATGATCAATGCTGTGTACGCAATCGAGTAGTTCCTTGGTACTCTACCAGAGAGCGCTTCAAACCTAACCTAATTCTATTTTTATTTTTGAACAATTATTACTCTTAATATTCAAATGCAACAGTACCCCTACATTCGCTAGAAAGTCTATACATAACAAACATTTATTGTACATTTTTGTATCATAAAAATAAACAATGAATCTTCTTAAATGAGGTTTCCTTCGGTTCAAGAACTAAGTGATTTATATATCCACTTATAATTATAAAATCATTAACTTTTATTGGTAGTCAAGTGTCGGATCTTATAAAAATGTTTATTATGGCGACAATCCCCACATTCTGAGTAGCTGACTTCGTTCAGTTAACCACAGATTTTCTAAAACCACCCATCCAGTTTCCTGCAATTCAAATACATATTTTGGATCATTACATTGATTGTAGGTGCCCATCACCAGACACTGAACAAATCGTGCACAGACGACAGTCTTGAGAATGTTCCTTTCAAAGTCTGATAATTTTTTCACACTTTCGTAGCCTTCTATGACGAATCTTCCAATTTTAATATCTTGAGTGTGATGGATGACATGGGCCAAAGCTATGGTCAGTTCGAAAATTAAGAAAGCCTTCTGAGAGTCCCCGAAATCAATAATGGCAGTAATCTTTTCTTCCGTGTTGTCCATTACAAAATTGTTCAAGTTGAAATCACCATGTATTATTCCCCTTTCTAGCTTCCCAGCATTGGCGAGGACTTCATTTTCGAAATCGAGGATAACATCGCAAACCAGATTCCTCTTCTGCAAATCTTTCACAGCTAACGTAAATGGCTTTAGCTTTGGTAAATTAGTGAGCATCCAGAGATTGTCATGAGCATCGTAACCAGGATGCGAGAAACCTCGCAGAAGATTTCCTAAATTTGCTGCACGACGACCAAGTTCTAATAACAAATCTTTCGTGAGATTCTTTGCGCTCAAGATGGTTCCTGGTTGGTAAATTAAAAGCCATACGACGTGTTTCTCTGTATCACAGTTTTCCAAGGTCTCCAAAGAGTAATACGAATTATGTAAATTTATAACTGGTGAAGGACAAGTGATCCCTTGTCGATTTAAAAAATTCATGATGGCATTCTGAGCATCAACGAAATCCGTTTCCTTAGAGTCTGCAGCATTCAGTACTTTTAATACATATCCAGCTTCATTAATCGTTGCGACATGTGGGTTTTTTATATTTTTTGAACATAAGACATGAAACACTCTGTCGTAATACGTATTGAGCTCTGTAATTTTTCCCACTTTCAGTCCATATACACTTTCCACGAGTTCTTTCGCTTTGTCAGTGTCCATACGAATGGGGACACAATAATTGAATTGAGGAAAAATTTCGTCTACCATTTTTTTTTTCTAATCACAGTCAACGAGCTTGACGTCAATTGAATGAAAACCTGATCGCTCTAATGATGATCGTTTCCACGGTGCAAGACGAATCAGTACTGACGATAAACAAGTCAATTTTCGATCAAGGCTACCATTATCGTGCAATCGAATGTACTCACTTATCTCGTATTATACGGTGCAACCATAATTTGCGACAGAACAACGCAATAAAAATCTGATCTGTACATTCTTGATAATTGTTAATCTCATATTGACCAATGTACTATATCAATACGCAACAAAAAGTAAACATTAAGAAATAAACTATTTTAACGCCTCACAGTATAGAGGATATTTCAGGTTATGATTCCATTCTAAAATACATACTATATTATCTAAATAAAACACACGAAACGTAACAATGTCCATTCCTGCAATTTTTAACGTTTGTTTTAACTTTTCATATTTGTTAAGTCTAATAATAAGGTAAAGTACGGACAGATGCCACGTTTCCCAGATCTTTGAGACAAAAACCTTTCAGCGACCTAACATCACTCCTCACATAGCCCCTCTCCCTGGCACTCCACTTATTATGTAACATCCACGAAGTGTGCACGCGCGTAGTGTTAAACGCAATTATCTCGAAAGTACATTTTCAAAAACTACTCGTGCTGTAGCCCAAAGAGTTATTGATCGATCTGGCTGATATTTTGGGAGGTTTCTGTCGATAATATTATCGGAAGGATGTACCTAAAGTTTGAAGGATATCGCGTAAATAAAGTACTTTTTTGGGGTAAAAATTGCTGAGAAAATAGTTGAAAATTTGAACTTTTTATTAAAAAGGCTACTTAACTTTTAATTTTATACTTTTTTCTAATTTTATAGGTTTATCTTTCCCCTCCAGATGTCAGTAAACGGAAAATATTTGTTTTCTGTTTCAGATCAATAGAAAAAGTATGACAACTGCAGCACTTTGCGATGTCACGCAAAAGACGCCTAAAGGAATACCCTATGACGCCGCCATTTTGTTTTGTAAAAAGGAAACAAAAATATTTTTAAACACTTAAAAGTTGCAATAAAATAATGTTACATTTTTAAAATGATGCGATTATTTTATCCCCATTACAAAAATTCCTAAAAAATGACTCATTTTCGAGCGTCTAAAGGGTTTGCTCACTTTAAGATCGCCTAAAGAAATTAGTGCATCAGGTTTATCCGTAAAGTTTTTCTCAATTCGGAGCAACTGTTGCAAAAGTAGAAAACTAACACATAAGCTAACATATTTACCTCATTTTTACTTCATAAATATAACGTTTATTTTTATATGTACGCAGGCATCTTTCGGCACCCAGAAGGATAGGTGCTTTAGTTTAAGGTCCGAATAGTCGTCTATAAAGGATAGATGCCTAAACCATCACATTTTTTGTACGAATGGATGCCTTTTAGAGATTATTTCATTTTGCAGGTTTTTTTTTGTGTTTTGTATTCAACACGTAGTAATTAGTGATATTTATTCTAAGTAAATATATTCTATTACAAACTGCCTGTTCTCGGCATTTTGTAATAGAATATCTTCTAATCAAAACAGGCTGCAGAGGCAGTCGAATAAAAAATTGAGAGTAAAGGAAGTGAGGATAAATTTTGGTATTCCTCCCCGCACATTACGCAGACCTTAAGGTGACGTGGAAGTGGCGTCAAAGAGGTCTCGTTTGTGAAACCTTTCTCCGAACTGGGTGTACCGAATCGTTTTAAATTTGACAATGTGAATATAGAGGCTACAAGGTAGGTCCCGACGCCCATCAAATTTCATTTCTTTTCTTCAACTTGTTTATAGATATTTTCAAAATTTGGTATACAAAGTGAAATTTCATGAGTGTCAAGACCTTCCTTATAGCCTCCATGTGTACATTGTAAAGTTTGAAGCGATTCGGTACACCCAGTTCGTAGAAAAGTTTCATAAACAAGACCTCTTTGAGGCCACTTTCACATCCGCTTAACCATTAAAAACTATCTTTATTAATTTTCCAAAGTTTATAGATAACTTGAAAACTGTTTTCGTTAACTTTGCTGAGATTAAAAATACGATTTCTTCAAACAAATTGATTATGATTTCATTTATTCTCCCTTAGGTCATCTATCCGTTTACCCAAAGGAATCTATCCTACCCGAGTAGGATAGATGTGAAATCGAGACCTTTATTATTTTTGTTATATTATAATAACTATTGATACTAGGCAAATCATTGCAGAATAAAATGAAGATAAAATATAACAGTTTGATATGAACATGGAATTGTTTGGAAACAAAAGCAAATAACGACTTTAGAAGTACATGTTGAAAATTTAGGCGTCTATCCGTACTTTACGCTATAGGTTGTATAATACTGATGTACATTTTTTTTAACTCATGAAATCCGAGGTTTCTTGTCATACGATGAACACAGATGAGACGGAGTCATTTCAACACTAATGAGAAATCGTTTAGAAGCTTCCCCCTTATTCAATATATAATTGAATACAGTCTAGGAAGGCGCAAGTCCCCAAAGTCTCAGCACTTCGGAACCGTCGATGGAGTAAAGAGCTTGGAAAGTCGTCCACCCAGTCTTTTGCATCTCGAAAATATAGGCATTGGCCGGGTCATTGAGATGAGTGTAAGCCCCCGTTATCAAACACTGAGCGAACCTAGCGCAGACGGTGATTTTCAAAATGCTCTTCTCAAATTCTGGCAGCGTTCTAACGCTCCGATAGCCATCGATAACGTGTCTCCCCGCGGAAACATCTCGCGTCTGGTGAATCATATGACAAACGGCGATGGCCAGTTCGAAGATCAAGTAAGATCTCTGCGAGTCCTGGAAGTCGATGATGGCTGCGATTTTCTTCTCGTCCTTGTTCATCAGGATATTGTTCTCGTTAAGATCCCCGTGGATGATTCCCCCCGCGAGCTTGTCCAGACGTTCCAGAACCTCCTTCTCGAATCTCTCGATGACCTCGCAGGCCAATCTCTTCCTCTCGGGGTCGCTGATCGCGAAAGTTAGTCCTTGCAATTTCGGGACGGAAGTCAGCATCCAGAGCGTCCTGCGGGAACTGTATCCGAGATGGGAGAAGCCCAAGAGAAGGCTGTCTATCCTGGCTGCTAAGTGGCCCACTTGGTACAGCAAGTCCGTCGTCAAGTTCACTCGACTCAGCAGAGTTCCTGGTCGGTATACCAAAAGCCAGATTAGATTCTTCTCGCCACTGCTCGTTCCTAGAGTCTCCAGAGAGTAGTAGGCATTTTTCAAATTTTTCACGGGAGAAGGGCACACGATTTCGCGCTCGTTCAGGAACTTCATCACCTCGCCTTGGGCCTCTATGAACGTTTCGTTCCGCGAATCCAGGACGTTCAGCACTTTTAGAACGTATCCGCCAGGGTTCAGACACTCTATGTAAGGATTTTTGTAGTCACTCCGACACTCGACATGGTAGACTTTGTCGTAGTACGCGTTCAACTCCTCGACCTTTTCCACTTTCAGGCCGTACAAACTTTCCACGATGCTTTTCGCTGCGGAAACGTCGATGTTGGGTCGAATGCACTGACCGTGTTTAATGTAAATCCCTTCACTCATTTTCACCCCGACGCTGTTTTAGGCGATTCAAAATAGAGAGTCGAGTGCTTAAAGTTTCCGCTTCCTAAGTTGGATAAGCACTGGCAGTGATTTCTAACTCGAGAGAAGAGGCCGTTCAGGAAATTGAACAAATTAAATGTATGAGTAGTCGGTTATCGGATTCGAGGGAGGGTAAAGAGTAATGACTTGGCTGTGAAATACGACGATAGATTACAGCTGACGATAATGCCGTTCTTGGAGAATTTTAGAAATTTCTCCCGGAAGACTTTAGTCCGCCAGCCGTACCTTTACTTCGTTGATTAGATATTGCCGATGGTGATTGTTTATCTGGAGTACTCGGGACAAAAAAAAATTGTATTACTCTGAGAATGTGATTCTCGTCGTTCAAATTCTCCAATGGAAATTAGCGCTTCGGATCTTTGAGGTTTTCGGAAAAAATCACAGCGATCTGTTTAAGAAAAAATATCGTGACTTGCGTCTTTCCCCTGTTCTGAAATTGAATTCTTCTTCCTGATAAGGAATGGAACAAGAAGAGCAACTCTCTATCAGTTTGATATAAGTCGTTTGTACACATTCCGCTGATAAAAACTAATGCTACTGGAACAATATATCGGGTGGTTTGTTTAGAATATTAGTAGTTAAATCATTTTTACTTTCTGACATCGGCATTAAATTTTTTTTTTTTATTTTCCATTGCTTTAACACTAAACCTACCGACGATTTATACCCCCATTACAAATACCATTCAAACCCGTCAATTTGGCCCGCCGGTGGTAGGTTTAGTGTTAAACAGGAATTTCGTACTGTGAGTAATTTAATTACTCGTGGTATGGCGTCGCTATATGTTCTACTTATTGCTCCTAAATAAGAATTTAAGTTGATCCCTATTCAGGTAATCATGCTTCCTATTATTGTTTGGCGTTTCTTTGCCAACAGTTGATGATACAATCATTTTTATGGTAGTACGCATAAATTTGCATGTTATAGAAGGAGTCCGATTCAGAAAGTGAAACGCATTTTCTTTTCAGTTAATTACCATTTACATTCATTTTTGTGGGTAAATATTGAGACAATTTGCGTAAACGTTTTCGTTAGTGTTAATGTGTTATTCTCTCTGTTAATTATTGACATATAAAGTGAAATAAAAATAGTACGAATAAAAAATCAAAATAATCATGCCCAAAACAACGAACTTTGAACGTATAATGATAGTAGTCAATAAGGAATATAAACAGACCGCATCTATTTTTTTAGATCTAAATTGGTGTATCGTCATTGAATGCTGTCATTCTGCGTTATACACGCATGTGAAGCTAATATAAAGACATATCGGAAAGAATAATTAATAATATCCAACAATTCTCTTAAACTTGAATATTTCACTTCCAATGGACGTGCCGGCCACGTACCGATTTTTTATTTTAGTCGGCCTTTTCAACTACCCGTTATCTCGTTTCTTCTTCACCATATTTGAGATTTCAGAAAAAGATCTATGTAGCTAGTGGCGCTACTAGTCAGGAACTATTCCCTCATACACATTTTCTATTGCAGAATCGGACTTTCACGCAGAGATGAGTTGGGAGATTGCTCACGGGCTGGGTCNATCTACTAAATACGTATTTTTACGCGACCCTCGCTCCAGTGACAGACTGCAAAAAACGTGAAAATACAATGCCCGCCTGACAAGTGTTAACATTCGTTACCAAGTCCAGTCAGGTTTATTTTGATTAAAACCGCCCAGAAACGCCCAGGAACGCCAGAAAACGCCAAAAACGATTTCGAAAATGAAAAACGCGTATCTCCTCTGAAAAAAATCGCATCCACTCGCGCGAGAGCTCAATTTGAAGATAAGAACCTTCCCCGTCGAGCTGCGAAAGTCGCAGTCGCGACTCTCGAGCACCCAAGTTGTAGTTTTGCCTGTATTTACCTGTGTGTAATAACATTTGCGAATAAAATAAATAAGGTATGTAAAGAGTAAAGTCAAAGAGGGCGCCACGAGTTTTTTTCCCTTACCATCAAAAGCGAGCAGTGTCGGTAAGCGTAGGTAAGCCATCACCGTCAACTGCTGCATGGTATTACCATCACGAAAACGTGAGCCGCCAACGGCAACTGGTAGATGGCACAGCCATCGCGAGTACGCGAGCCCTTACCAGAAACAGCTCTGGTTCGGTGCACAACTCGAGTTTCTGGAGTTTAATTAATTAACAGCAGTTTTAAACTACGTATAAATTAGTTAAATTTCGGTTAACTCGAGTTGTGGGACCGGGCCTTAGCTGTCGTATCACCGAAAGTGACAGAAAACGGTGCTATATCGTCTGTTTAACTTCAGTATGAGCCATGTATGGTTTTGTGTTGCTTATAATGTATGCCACGTTGATGCCGAAAAGTTAATATTCATTTACTGTAAATTGAACGAAACAGCAACAAATTTCACCGACACTGTTGACACCGAATGAAAAGGCGTCCCATGCGGTTTATGAAAATCGAATGTGAGGTGGCTTGTTCTGAAAGTAGTTTAGAAATAATTACCCGAATATGATGACACTATACCTGCCTGGCATAAGGTTAAATTGTGCACAGGTTAATGAAAACTCATGGATCAGTTGCGGAAGGATAAGTAAGTTCCAAAAAATTTGAATTATAATTTCGTCCACGATTGCACAATTAAAACAATTCCACTTATTATTCTAGTAAGCCAGAGCGATCGTAATTAACAGATCTAAAAGCGTCCTCCACTAAATCCGTAAGACATCTCACTGCTTGTAACAAGGCAGCTAGCAATAAAGATAACGAAAGAGAAATTAGTTTACTAGGCACTAAAGCGTTTTCAGACGAGGATGTCCGGTTTATAATTTTCTTCCTTTTCTTTTTCTCGTTACTTAATGGTTTATTATTAGGAGAGACATATTTCATATCTTGCAATCTTTCCGTAGAGGCGTTATTTGTATTAGGCAACCTGTCCTGAGAATTTTCTCGGTTTTTCAATAGATCTTTACTATTCTTTGTAATTTTCTTTAAAGTCTGAGGCAGAACGGATCGGCGATTAGATATAATATTACGAATCTTTTTACGAAATTCATCAGCTTTAGCTTCAACTTTTGCTAATCTGTTTTCCTTAGCCTTTCGTCCTGAGGTCATCGAATTTTTGTTTAAACTTATTTCGTCGTTACAGTGCTCTAAAGTATCTTCGGATCTAGCCTTGCTTGTAGCACTCAACAAATTCTCGATGCTTTCAGAAAAGAGATTTTCTAGCGACGCGATACGTTGATCCGTCGAATCAGAATTTTGGAAGATAGAATTTTTATCAAGTGAATTACACCTATTGTGACATTTCTTCTGATTCAATAGTTTTTTGGCTTCTAAACAATGATTAAAATTATAATTCATTGAGTCAATTCTTCGATTTTCGTCGCACACGTTTCTTGAATCGGTACAATTGAGAAAACCTACTCTTATATTGTCTTTGGTTCCATCGATGGTACTTCTAAGTGGAGTTTTTCCAAGACTATTTGGTATAAAGTTGACGCTTTTGTCGGTACCTTCGCGAATGATCGAATTTAAAACATCGGGTACACTCGAAGAGACGTCAACTAGGTCACCGACGGATCGATCGTTCATAAATTCAAAGAAGTTATCGTTGTTTGCGAAAGCGTTACGATCAGGGCTTTGCAAATCTCTTTTTGACGTTGCATCGACCATGTTTCCGGTGCCATCTTCCGATGCCAAAGAAAGCGCATCGTGCCTCTTAGCCGATCCAATATTGTCCGTGTAAATTAAGTCATGAACTCCAGAAAGGCTCCGTTCGATACTTGGTTTTGTATGTAGTAATTTTTTAATTTCTGGTATGTTTAAATCCTGAACATGAAGAAGATTCTGTTCGATATTTAAAAGACTCTCCTCGATCTGTATAAGGCACTCTTCGATGTCACAAGTGGTGATGGATTCCTCGGTACTTTTAGAACTGTGGCTAGAGTTACTTCTAGTGAAACTAGTGACGGTACTTTTGAAGTCCGAACCAACCGTACTTTGAAATCCATTATCGTTTTCCGATCGAGAGATATTTATAAAATTATCCTTCGTGGTAATAATATCTCTGTCATATCGAGTTTGACTATTGTAGAAGATTCTATAATTGCTATGACTATTTGCGATCTCATAGTTCGTTTCCGCTTCTGGCGGAACAAGTCGTTCGCACGATCGATTTTCACCGTCTACAAGAGTCCTATCCGAGATCTTATAGGCTCCATGACTGTTTGCCATAGAGTAGGAAGATTCGCTATCACAAAAAGTCTCGAATTTCCTTTCAGAAATTTCGGACCGTAAACTGTAGCACCCGTGACTGTTGGATTCACGGAATGTATTCGGGTGACTGTTTGCTGCAGTATATGGCATGTTAGCATCCTTTACCAATGAATCCAAGCTTCGAATGCCGCCATAGAGTAGATTATAATTATTGTAACTCCCAGTATCCGCATAAAGTATTTTCTCTTGGGTTATGTCGGCTCTTGATACACTTCCTATCGGAATATATTTGCCGTCCAAAATATTGTCATCGTCGCTGTCTAAGTCGAGCAAATCTCCCTCGGGCCGGCCGTCACGCAAAGCGTCAATCGTTGAATCTTTAAGATCCACGTGGATTTGTGCAGAACAGGGATATTTGTCTAAATTAGGTTTCCGAGATTCAGCAATTCCTATGCTATCATCTAAGAAGTCGAAATCTCGAGCTCTATAGCTGGAACAAGGCGTATTCACGGGCGAATGAGAAAGGAGGTTGACATATCCACTACCGCAGGTAATACCCGATCAAGTAACACTCCTAGGAGATTGTGGATCATCTCCTGCGTTCTGGCTCTCGGCCAGCATCTCATCGTTGTTTCCGAATTGACCATCCTTGTACGCAACCTGCAAGAATTATACTTTTTTGTATTATAACGGGACTGTACGAGTAATTTACCTTCTGTTTATATTGCCTTGGGTTGAATCAGCTGGATTTCTCGAAACTCATCCGTGAATGTCAGTATGTAAGCACAGAATCCAATTGCACAAATCCACTCAGCCACGGTGCTGACAACGTGCAATTCCCAGCCACCGTCATCTTTATACCATTTTCTTGGATTTGTTCCTATTGACGGAAGAGCATTTTTTTAACGTTACAGCATCGATATATGTGTAGTATTTAAAATTCACGGTTAAACTAGCTCCCACGTGTAGCCTAAGTATATCCCATTTTTATTTGGTCAAGAATTCAACTTCCCTTCGACAAGTGTCAAACATCTATTCTTACCATTGTACGCCATATGCGCTAAAATGCCCGTAACGAGAATAACGAAGAAACACACGGTGCAAAAGGCAGACAAAACTAGCCGCAGATAGGCGATCCTCAATGAACATCCGATAGGATGCATATAGTACGAACACATTGCCTGAAACAAAGAATCTACATTTCACGATGCTTCTTCTTTGGTACAAGTTTTCTTAACAAGGATTGCATATTTAAAGAAATTTTAATACAGCAATGAAAATATCATATCGACTAATAGTAATCCGGAGTCATATCGATAAGGATGCTGAAACAAGTTATTATTTCAAGTAAGATAGTAGGAAATAGTCATATTATAGCTTATAACAAGATTGTTATACTGAGATGGTCACGATCGATTCATCTTGCATGGCACGAGTCCTGAACTCGTGCATTCAAACCATAAGTTGGGCGTCAGTTGGGCATCGGTGCGAATGGAAATCCGAAACACTGCTACGCGAGGGCAGGGACCGAGTAGTTTGATAAGTCGTATCGATAACACGGAGAAGGGGTGGGTCAGATATTTTAATGAACCGACCAGGGCAAGTCATTCTCGAGACAAGGAATGAGTTTATTGGGATCAGAAAAGTCGCAAGCGGAGAAGAACGGTAGATTACGAATCTAAATACTCACAGTTCGCGTTCGAATGGCAACGGAAGTACCTAGGCACTGACGGGTCACATCCGGATTGAATAAATTTCACGAATCGGCTTGAATCGAGGCTCGGAGCCCTTCCAATACGCCCTTCCAAATTATAAGTGTAAAACTGATCTACGGAACAGGTTTCGATTTAAGGTGGTCGTACCGTGTGATAGGTCCAAAAAATCTAAAAATATTTCATTTCATAAATTGCTTCTATAATATGTCCAGAACGTGTAGAATAAAGGACCTTTCAATATTTCAAGTCGTTGGGTAGTTACAGATGTAGAACGGAACAGGTGTTCGGAGAGAGGGATGGAGCACCGGAGCTTCTGTTAAGATGAATTCAATGAATTCGGCTGCTACCTAAGATCTTTCTGACTAATGCTCATGTAAAAGGGGTACCAAACTCATTAGAGATCCCTTCCGATGTTAAATGGGACACCAATACAGTAACGGTTAGTCTAGTTTTGGCTTAGCGTTCGAGCGGCGTGTATTTCAAATTTGCATTTTTTCAATTGGCTGACACGATTTCTCAAAAACTACTGAATCGATTTTGCTCAAATTTATATGGTATGTTTAGAACACGTATAGTTTTCGCTCAAACTAGGATAATTGAGATATCTGTTTTTTTTAGCAAGCTAAAAAATCGAAAAAAAAAGAAAACAATCGGAATTAAATTTTCAAAACCGTGCCAAAAATTTTTTTTCCAATATTTTCATTTGATCCTAGTTCCGGCTACAACTACAGGTCTACGGATTAAAATGCCATTTCATTTCCTGATTTCCGATGAACGGAACAGCCGGAATCATGTCAGCCGTCAAACTGCTTATTTTTTATGCGTGTCTTTCGAACGCTAAAAAGTCGATTCCAATCTATATTTTGGTTTCAAAAAGTTCTGAGTGACCGTATAAATGTTAATAAATATATTGTAAAAATTTCAAGATGGGGTATTTTCGTGGTTCGTTAGAAAAAAATGACAAAAAAGCGACAAAATACAGCCGTTACACGGTACGACTGCCTTAATGGTCTGTCTAGAAGTGTTATACCCTGCACCAGAAAAGTATACATCCACCCCGCTTTTCCTTGATTTAATTAAACTGAGAGTTTATAGACTAAATTTGTTTATTAAAGTAATTTGTTTCATTACTACAAGTAATTTAACAAAAAATTGGCAGTACAATAACTTGTTAGAATGACAAAGGTATTAATGGAAAATTGACTTCTACAAAAGTATACGTCCTCGTAATGAAATTATAATTTATTATACGGAAACAACTTAGAAGACCAAAAAAATGTATAGTTAGTAATCAGTGTATCCTCCGTTACGATTAATAACCCGAAGTAAACGATTATTCATGGGTGTAACTAAATAGTGAAGTGGATTCGTCTAATTCTTCCCAAGCGGTCAAGATTGCGTCCCTAAGTCGATGAGTAGTTTGATACTGGCGATTATTTAAATAAACGCGTCGTACGAGAATTCCCTAGACATTTTCTATGACATTAAGGTCTGATGACCGCGCTAGTCAGTCTAAAAGAGGGATTTGAGTAGCTTTGAACCAATTTTTAGTATTTTTCGAAATATGAATTGGCGTGTTATCCTCTTGAAATGTAAAAGGAATATCGTCGCGCTCCTCAAGAAATGGAATTAGGCAATCTTCGAGAAGATCTTAATAATCCTGTGAATCCATTCGAATCGATGGAAATGCAAATCGAACTTTTCCATGCACGCTAAAAGCTGCCCAGACCGTAACGGAACCGCCACCAAAGTTACGACGGTTCCTTCCTCAAATCGCGCCAATAATGTAATGACCCGCCAAGCAGTACTAAATAAGAAATCACTTAAAATCACATAAGTAATTAATAAACTATGAATTACCTGAATCCAAAAGTATGCTGCACCGCAACCGAAGCACAACAGTGCACCGATAAGATGTACCACGATCACCGAAGTTTCTTGGAAGTTTGCAACTATGGATAAACCAAGATTTGACACTAATCCCAAAATTAAAGCTGCATTATTCCATCTTGGCAGTGAAGTTTGGTGTCGGTATATGATGGAGCACATTTTGACTTGAGAGTACCTAATGTAGATAATAAAACACACTGCGGAAATAACAGAAATATTACACAGAGATTAGTAGATCTCAAACAAGATTCGGTAGAAACGATTATTTGTGAATTATAAATGGCCTCGATTATGTACTAAAGAAAAATGTGACAATATTGCATTAAAGGTATACGTTTCTATAAGATAATCAAGAGACGCGATAACGTTTCAGACAAGTTTATTAACATCGACTGTACACGTGTCGACTGATCGCTACCGTCTTTTACTCTAAACATCGCTCAAACGGGCATTTCATTTTCTTTAGACGATTCAATGATATAGAGGTTAAGATCTAAGCTGTCACTTTTCAGGTAAAACATTTCACGACAGAGAAAATTAAGAATCCTGTTTAACTATTTGACAAAACGTTATTTGTGGTTAATTACGTTGGAATAATAAAATATTGACTTGAATATTCAAGTCGTAAGTAGTTGAAAGTCTAGTTCCAATTCGGAACAGTTAGTCGATGGATGTTAGCTCAATTTCAGTCATGTATCGACTATTCGATATTGATAATAGTGACAAAATAGTTATCCTAAATTCAATTTATTTATACATTTACGAATGTCCTTACATTTCAGTCCAAAGATTCAAGACCGCAGGTAGAAGAGCACATTCACATAAAAAAACCACAAACCTACTGAATCTTTTTTTTCATTTTTTATACCAGGTCGGCAAACATTAAAACGGATTAAACACCTTTCCAGATAAGCATCTGTAATTTTGAAGCTCTTATTTTTCACCGTGTACAACTTAACACATAAAATACATACAACAGATAAGCAGGGCGCCCCAAATTTTTGACCGGCAGGGTATACCGACTAATAGAGTTTCCTAGTTGGAGCGTTATTATTTATCGTGTCTTCTATTAAAGTCCCACTACTTACTGAGAGCAGTTATCATGTTGATGAATTGAGCAAAGATACAGCTCTCCGGTGCATAAGTTGCAGCATCCGAGATATATGGAAATCCAGCCTCCACATGATTGAGCAGGACGGCCATAATATATCTACCGATAAAAATTCTAATGATCCAACACTTTCACCTTAGTGACGATTACAAACCCGTAGAACGTGCTCACTTTCAGCATTTTTACTAGATTTGACGTACAAATTCTGACCCTCCCGAAGATTACAAAATCGAATAAATAGGTTTAGTTGAGATGAAAGTTCTAAAAGTGATCACTTTTACCAAAGACACAAAATGGACCCCCTGTTTTAAGCTTACATCAGAAAATTATTACATAATGACACAAATATTCATATTAAAGAGTTTCTGTCTCCCGTTTATATGAAATAACGGATATCAGTTATTGCATTCTTTGAGAATTTTTATGTATACCGAATATGCGTTTTATATCTTTAACGGCACAACGTACTTACGTCAAGATGAAGGTGGAGGGTAGAGCTACGAAGAGTATTATGGGTAGATAGTGCAGGTCAGATAAAATTTCAGGTTTCTCCATGGCGACCAAATGTTATGTATAACCGGCAAACTAATGTCAACTGGGCTCAACTCAGGTAGAGCGGTTTGCAGTAAAAACAGCCAATTATCACGATTTCCGACGCTGACAGTTGAATGAGTCTTGACTCATATTAATCGCTTTCTGGCCTTCTCCGGATTGATCATGTCTGCGGGTCGGCGCAGGTCGTTAATGTCTTCACAGAAAAAGGAAAGCATATTACTGGTCATAGAGGTTGTGGTATTTATATTAACAAATGTGATTAACGTTAGGACCGTTTGTGCAGGTCATGTAATCGGTACCGTCGATAAACGTTACGGTCTCGTCAGAACTTGCGTCATAAGTCCCATCATTATGACGTCCAGTTGACGTAAAACTGACGCCACTACTTCACTGCCTAATGACGTCAATACATTATGTTACCTGACCGATTAAGAGAGATAAAATAATCACTAAAATAAGGAATAATAAATCTTTGATATTAAATTTATATCGTTTATGAAATATGTTAATCTTCATATAAATAATCGATAAGGTTTAAGAACACGAGGCTCACCTTGAAATTACTCAATAACACTTCTCTATGTTTTCAAATGGTCTACAAATGCCTAAGCAATCGAAATAATACATTGCTTGCCTCTAGAGACAGAACTAATAATTTTCATAGTCAAAATGCACCGAGTGGCTCCCGAAGCCGGGAAAATTTTGCAGATTCCTCCGAGCGGTATACCGATTGTAGAAGAATTAACTCGTACGCACGCGTAACTAGCTTATGAATTGAGAAATACGGAGAGAATGACCCGAGCGGGTAGGTCAATCTCTTTGGTGGGATCGATAGGTTTTTGGTTCTCAAAGGATGATTGGAAAGTTGCAACGAGGACTCAGGAGGGTTTGTAAGGTTTCTTGAGAATTAAGTAGTCGTTTCATACTAAATCGAACAATTCTATTTGTAATGCAAGGGGTACAGGGTCAATGGGAGTAAGGTGCGCATAAGATACGTTGTAAAAGAACGGGTGTAACGATTTTTATTCATGTATTAAAACATTGGAACATTATTATACAAGATGATTTATAGTAAGAACTTCAATTTATTCTTCTATGTATTTATGAGGTTTATAACCAGATTTTTCTGTCTTTAAATTTTCAATCAGAACTTAAAAAAGTGGAATTTAAGTTTATTTTAATTAACGTGACCCTATCAGATCATTTTCGGAACACATCCTGAGCTGTCCTCTGATTCATTTCGGAACTAGCCTTTTATTCAAATTCGCCTTGAAGGACAAACCGGTCTTGGATGCGTAGGTCGTGAGGACTTTGCTTAAGTATAGGTTCATACGTGAGGGAAGACGGAGACGACGACTGAATATAATTAATTAAACTGACGGTACTGAAATTTCAATTTGATCCAACTCATGAATGCCTTCGTCGATTACAATGGTTTGGGTCGCAAATGAAAGAGAAAAAAATTAACGGAGCCGTCGATGTAGGCTAAAAGTATATAGCATCTTCTAATAGCATCATTGGTCGTTTAACGAAAATTAAATGTCCTTCACAGCAATGTTTGGAGTAAAGAGACGTAGCGCTCAGCTAAGACCCATGTACTTGTCTGAACCTCTTGATTGAAATAAAAATGTTTCTGTTTTCGGGACGCTCTCCCAGGCCAATATTTCGGGATAATGAACTCGAACTCGTTACGGCCATGCCATATACTCGGTTCCTCTAACTCTGCCTGTTGATTTTCTCATTTTTATTTTATTATTTTATTATTAAAAATGCACATGCGCGGCTTTTTACGTGCAGAAATGAAATACAAATGAAATATGAAAAATGTCATAGCAAACCCCATTGCGTATTTATCTCCAAGTTCGTTACAAATTATTGCAGAGAAATACCTGCAACTATTACATAATGGAACTCGCCAAAACGTTTTTTATTTTTCCACTTCGGAAACGGTGCATGTATGTAACAAAAAGAACCAATTTCAATATTTTCGTAGGGGGATAGGTACCGCCCTTCCGTTTTTCTTAGATTCAGTATTTTATCCGTGATATTGATTTGATTACACCGAAACCCTGCTACCCTTCTACGCTACTATCCTACTACTTTATCAAAATGTGCCATATCCTCCTGCTGTACAACCCTACAACCTGTCACATAAACTACTTACAATAGAAAAGTTGTAGGGTGCTCCAAATTTTTCACCGGTACTCTACATTTGGGAGGTGAATCGTAATTATTTAATTTATAACGGAAACAAACTGAACTGATCTTACCTTTTCGCATGTATTTTGCAAAAGTGATTGACTTCGGTGTTTTTCTTGGCGGGTGAGTGAATGATACGCTCTCATACAAACTCGGTATTCTTTTTTAATAATACTGATTTTATTACCTTTGACACACAAATTTATAAATAAGTGTATTCGGTGCAAGGATTTTTTAACACTGAAAGTGTTTTTTTTTGTGCGAATACGTACACGAAGAAGAAAATGTAATCGAACTTCTTGTGAGATTAAGATTAGCAATTGATAGTTTCGTATTACTGATTTACATTTCATAGTAACAGAAGAAATGATGTAAAAACAAGTATTTGTCGATTGCATCTACTGCGCCCATAAAAGTGGATATATTGGTGTATCTTACCTAATAACCAAATCAGTTCACTCGTCGAACCTTGTGACACGAAACGACCTTGGTAATACGAAATCGGTTTCTAGAAGTTCGATCACTATCACTTGGTGGTCACTTATACTCATTATGGTTTCATGCAGACGAATCGTTGAGCTTAAGTATGCGCGTCTACCTCCGTAAATGTTTTTTTTTTTAAGAAATGCGAGGAGGCTCAGACCAATGGTCGCGTTCAACGCACAGAGAGGGTAGACCTCGCACGAGGTCTGATCGATTTTCCCCTCTCAGCCTGTGCTGCGCTTCGAGCTACCTTGACACCGTACCAAACATCACTACCACTGATGCGATTGTCTACGGTGTGTGGTGGATGAGTCAACAGTCGTTGAAGACGCCGAAGAAAGATTGTCAGGGCGAACGCTTCTCGAGTTCTTAGCGAAATGACGAGTAATGACAGTTTCGCTCGAGAATGACATCACTCGGCACCGGCGCAACATACATGTCGCTCATGGCGGACTCCCACCAAACCTTCGTCAGCTTGCGTGGCGATAAAACAGAGTCGGAGTATCGAGGGTAAACTCAAACGCTCGAGGACATCTGTTAGCAAATTCTAGAATTGGCATTGCGTTCTATCGATTCTACGGAGATTTTCAAAATGGTCTTAAGATGACACGAAAGGCGCAGAGAAATTTAATCGAAGTCGATAAAATAAAATTCATCTACACCCTTTCTGGTGGTAATGCCATTTTTAACACTCGAGGGGTAACATAAGCTGGCGCGTCCCGTTACCGACATTTATATTATTGTTGAACTCTTTTACAGTCTGTGTTGAAAATGCAGTAGATATAGTCACTCGTAACATATTCGTAAATTAAATTTTTAGCGTGGACTGAATACTAATGGAATTGAGATAGGCTTACGTGTATCTAGAGTCTCCTAACACACATACTACACACGCAATAGGCACACGATAGATACCATTTTTAAACCAGATATTAGAATCGTTACTAGGAGTCCTCGCAGAATTTGAGCGCACCGGCACCTTTTCTTAAATGAGTTCCATGTTTTTAAAAGCATGAAGTCTTTTCACCGTAATCTCTGCACAACCGTTTCACACCTCCTGGGCCACTACGTCAGATTTTTCCAATGTTTCTGGTTCATGATTTTTATCCAGGTAGACCAACTGAAACAAATAATTTCTTTTCCACCAAATCGTATTTTTCATACAACATAGATCTGCAGGCAGTGCAGGCAGAAATACTAATTAACACTTCAGTTCCAATATAATTCCAATCCAATTTGTGTCGGAACATAGGCATCCTTGGGAGTACTTATTTGGCTGTAAGTAACTTTACAATCTTCACTATTTTTTTTCTTCAACATTTCATAAAATAATTTAGGTACGTAGCAGTTATGCTCGTGTACGTAACTTGGGAGAGAACAATTTACCGTGTATAATGTTATTATGTTACGTCTAAGTAATTTAGCGTATGGCTTTGGATCTGTATGGCATGAAGCGATTGATCCCAAACAATAATTAAATCACGGCGCAACTTTGGCTCGATATTGCACGTCACTCGTCAAAGTTAGCCAACCAAGCTTGGTACAGACATGGAATGATAACAGCGATTTTAGTAAGGGCGAACTTATTTGCCATAAGCGCGGCTTTAGAGGGCTCGAGGCTCTCGAGGTTCCTCCACAAGGCGGAAGCACCGTGCCGAAGGGAGCCCTCCCAGGTCGCCCAGGTTGCCACGTTGGAAAGGAAGGACCCTTCCGGACCCCTAAAGGGCGTGGCGGAGTCGACCGGACCGACCGCGGCGCGTCCGCGAGGTCAGGTCAAATTATCTATGTCCTACCTAAGCCTTGGCGGAACCTCGGCGATTATTGCCTGGGATATTATGATGTGTACCCGAAACGAGTGTTCGGAAATATTTAGTTCGGTATAAATGATCGATCGCATGAACGCTAAAGTGAAGGCGGTAGTCCAATCTTTGTCGAGTATCAGTTATTTGAATATGAAATACTTGAATGATTTTAATTTTCTATTGAACTTGGACAACTATATAAATGTTCCTTACCGTAACTACGGGAGCAGCGAAATTAATCAACCGAAATTCAGGAACGAATGTTAGCAGAAAAGCGCAGTAAACTATTGCCAGTATCCATTCCGAAACTGCACTAGCCACGTGCCAGCCCCAGCCACCATCAGTCGGTAGCCATTTTTTGTAGTCATCTCCTATTATAAAGAAATATTAATATTATTGTTAATATATTGTAAGTATTTTGTTTCTTTGTGAAAGATGTCCTGAGGTGATGTACGCGTAACCCAGGGAAAGTATACACAAAAATGACAAAATTAGTAAATAATTAAACCTGTACTTTCAACTGGAAGGTCTTTAATTTAATGTTCATTTATAGAGAGTGCAGCACACCGCAATCTTTATTCAATGCAATTTTACATTTTCACCCACACCTTGAATCCTTTTTATCCGGATTCGATGATGAACCGGCAGTCTGAGAGTTTACTCCCTATCCAAAAGTAAACCCTTCTCGGAAAAACGAAAACGATTAATTAATTGTCAATCGAAGCTAATTAGAGAATCTCGGCGCGTTCGAGATATCGAAACACGAATTCAACTCGGAATCGCCTGGGATAAGTTAAAAAATAGAAAAAAATGGAAATTTTGAAAGCGTCGTAACACTAGGCCGTTGGCGCCGCAGGTTAGGTGGTGCCCTGCACGCCCCGGTCTACGTACGGTTTTCGTCCCGAGGCAGTGGCCGTTCGGAGCGTCGGTATTCGCGACTTGGGTCTGGGGGAGTAAAAGTAGTCGAGGTCTTTAATGGAAAATAATAATAAAGGTTTATTGTCAACTGAGCTGCGACCCTGGCGGCTCTGCTGCCGAAATCTCCGTCGCGGAGCTACAAAGAAACAAAAATGCGCGTTACTATGATTCGTCATCCCCAAATAGGATTACGTTCGAAATGACGAAACGTTCGTAATTGCTACTCGATCGATCGTGGGTGCTTATGATTACGTTCCTAATCTTCGTATCAAAACCTGTCCCACTTTATCTCGTCTCGTCTTGTCGTGAATTTATTCGCGATCGTCCGGAGCCGAGGTCTCGTTCCGCGGCCCTGGGTTTCAGAAGCTTCGGAATCGGCACTTTGGGTTTCTTCCCACTAATTGTAAGCAGGCGCATGAGTCGCATCTCCGAGCCTGGACTTTCCTAGCCGGGATAACCGGAGGATCTGCGGCTTGAGGAGACATGTCTGGCGCCCTTAAATAATGATACCACATTTCCGGTATAGTTGCATTGGGTTGATGCATAAGTAATGGGTTTTTTTACGAGTAACGTAACGTTTAAAAAAACGCCGTTTTACTTATGCATTGATCAATAATTAAAAACAAACTGAGATTATGAATTCACCCCCAACCGAGACGTTACAGTACTTTCCGAGCTGTTCTTATACGGAATTTAACCATTTTTTTTTTCCAAGTCAAAAATTGAAGGAGAAATTTTTCTAGTCGCTGAATGCTATCCGTGAGAAAAGGTTTCCTTCGGTGAACTTTGGCGCCGCCATTTTGTAAAGAAAAAAAATGGAAAAAATCGGAAATACATTTCAAAGTATATACAATAAAGACATTTACAGATTTTGTCTTTCATTTACAATATTTCGATAAAATAAATTATAAAAACGAAGCTTTTTTCCAGACGGTAGGATAGCCTTATATCTTAATAATATTCATAAAATGTATAAACTTTTAGTACATTAGATTGTACTAAAATTAAAATTTGGTTGTTTTTAAAGTGAAATAGTACACATTTACTATAAATTTCTAAATGAATTTATAATTTTATGATGACAGTATCATTTTTTGAAATTGTGTCGGAAAATTAATATACTTGTCCCAAATTTATGTCGTGTGCTATAAATTTTATTTAAAAAATATATAAAAGTAACACGGTCCCTGTCTGAATAAAACTTCTAAAAAATGTTGTAAAATTACAATTTTTTTTTTTTAACAATATCCTTCAAGAGAATTGTAATAATGGACGTGTACGATTAGTGATTCATTTCATTTAATATTTCTGTATCTGTAAAGTCTGTAAAATTTGGAGGAAAAGAGAATTTCCTTGTTCCGTACTATGACCTGCCTCAATTCTTCATATAGATGAGTGTGCACTCACCTCGAAATTCTGACATTGATACATATCCAGGAATTATTGTAGTAACGGTCAGGACAAGTGTAAGCGTTGAGAGAATAGCACGGACATAAACTATACTCATTCCGTTCACAGCAGGTGCCATTTTGTAACTGAAATAAGTCTAAAAGATGAAGCAAGCAATTAGATGTATGTATTTTCCTTTTAAGGTGTTTAGCCCAGGAAAAATACGAATATGGTAATGACTAAATTATGAAATAATTTAAGCTAGATAGACATTTTTTTCACGAATCGTTTCCTTTTGCCATATGATATAAGTACGAACAGTTTCCAATGTAAAAGGTGATTGAGCAATGATTTACAGGATATCGAAGGTAACGAAAATAAGTCTCGCGGATATTTAACAAAACACGTGCATGTACAGAAAGATTCCTCGACTAGAAGTTGAATAACGATAAATTGTCTGTAAAAAAGCGTTTCTTCAATTTGATTGTAAACTTAAACGTCACGCCGGAAAAGCAAGTCAAAGTGGCACGTTCGGATTGATTTCCGCACCACCAAAGTGGGGAGGATCACTTCCACGGCTAGATGGGCATTAGCATCGAATACGGTGGGAGGTAACCAAGACGTTCTTTCTCGCTCAGCTGCGGTGAAACGTGACGCGTAATGGGCGGTGTTTGGCGACGATTGAAAAATATAATTCATATCCACGGGTGTTCGGAAACTGCGTCACTTAGTGTCCGGATACCGGGATCAATTGTGCGAACATTGGGTCTTCTGGTGTTCGAACACAACGACGCAATGAATAATGGCCGTTCGGACCGATTATACATTCGACCGTTACATACTTCTCGCGGTATATATACTAAATTATTCAATATTTCTATGTACATAGCATGTGTTTTGGAAAGTAGAAATCCTAACCTTTGCGTTCATTTAAGTAATTTGTACTTCGTATCAGTCTCTATATGCTAAATCTTTATCGGAATCTAAACGGCGTCTTAGGTGCTCGGCCACTGGTACAATTACCTTAGTGTATGCCATTCCATATGATTCTCGACGTAACGAGACACAATTCTCTATGAAAATATAAATGTCGGAAAGTTGGCGCGCCATTTTATGTTACCATTCGAGTATCCGTTAATGGCGTTACCGTTGACACGCTTGGAGACCGGTGACTATTTTAGATGATACGACGATTGAGAAAACTTTATTTATGACGACATCAATATTTCCTGCCATCTTTCACGTTACTTTATTAAATATGATTTGACCTCCTTAGAAATATCATACGCTTTCGTAACGCCAGCAATTCGGGTCTGTTTTTACAAATTAACTTACCTGTAAGGAAAAGTACATCGTTCCAGCGGTAAAACAGGTAATGGCACCAATCATATGCGCTGCAACGACCCGAGCTTCTTGAAAGTTTGCAAGAATGTCGAGACCAAAACACGCGAGAATACCACACCAAACGGTTACTATAATTATTCTTCGATCTACAAGCTCGTGACCTCTCTCTATCTGCCATTGCTCTACCTGACGATGCCTGATGTACACGCAGCAACCAACTGAAGGAAATATTAAATATCTATGTAAGGGAATAATGTATAAACGTTGTCGTGAATTCGATTCCTTAACCATCTCTGGTAATGTAAAAAATATATATTATATCATAAATTTAAGCATGGTAACGACACGGAACTAAAGAATAATCTTTACGTAGACGCGTTTGAGTTTCGGTTATTCATTTCTTCACTGTAAATCAAACATTAAGAGACTCGATAGAATTTCGCGCTAAACACCCATATATATATATATATAGGCGCGAAACACTAACCTAGTCGTTATCTACGATGTTTAACCTAGCGCGTCAAACTAGACGGAGAATGTCGTGTTATGAACCTCTCGAATGAGTAATGCCAACTTTAACCAGGTCATCGAGATTGAACTATTTTTCTGTGATACAGAGGTCTCGTTTATGAAATTTTTCTTTCAACTGGATATATCGAATCGTTTCAACTTTACAACGTGAATATGAAGGCTTGAAGGAAGGTCTTGGCACCCATGAAATTTGAATTGTTTAAAAATTCGTTTGTAGGTATTTCTTAACTTTTTTATTAAAAATTAAATTTCATGGACGTCAGGATCTTCTTTATAGCCTCCATATTCACGATGTAAAGTTTGAAACGATTCGGTAAAATCAGTTCGGAGAAAAGATTCATGAACGATCGACCTTTCGGATGCCATTTTCGCATCCCCTTAAGGAGTTCATAATATAGTAGTGATTCCCTTGATGGTTTTTGAATTACCTATATTCCTCCTGTACCCATTACTTTACGGATATGTATTATCGGATTCTCTCGTAAACGAAAAGTTGTCAACACCTAATTTCGGTACACTAAACATTACACTTTGAAAGAGAAAAGCATGAATACCGTATTACTTCTTCCACTTTGAAATTAATCATTTATAAATGATTAATTATTCAGACTGGACAAATATTACTTCCATTGTTTTTTTTTTTATCGGATTCCGTCATTTGACGTTGATCAGCGAAATACTGTAAAACGGTGTAATCGGTAATATAGTCTACGTACGCAGTAATGCAGCGATATTCAGGCATTGGGCAAATATGCAGGACTCGGGTGATAACGTTCCGGTTTCCGATATGTAAAGAAATCCGGGTACGACGTGATCCCATTGTACCGATATCGTATATCTGAAATATGATTTTAACGTAACATGAACAGATCGATTCAACGACAACGCTGATACATGATTTACGAAAGAATGGAATTTAAATTAAATGGTAACTTAAATTCATGAAATGTAAGATCGATATCCAATTAACATACTTGGATGAATACCTCATTTCGTATAATTCTCAATCTAGAGTGTAATATACGTTGATACGAATATAAAAGTCGGTAACGCGGCGTATGTTACCACTTCGGGATCCAAAATGGCCTTACCGCTAAAAAGGGTATAGATGAATTTGATCTAATCGACATCGGTTAAGTTTTTCGGCGCCGTTCACCCGAGTTTAAAGGCATTACACATGTAATCGCGAATATTCATTACACATTCCGTAATCCTTTAAAATTATATATTGATTTAGCATAACCACGGATACACAGAATTTAGAACGTAAGTTACATTCTGGGAAAATTGACGCAATAAAAATGCAATATAATCGTTGCGGGTCATAGTAAACTACGGTTGCTGAATAGTCGTGTGAAATATTCGCGGCATTGCTACTGTACCGAGGTGTCACTGCACCCAACTGAATTCAGTTTATTTCTCAAACATCCATAATACCCTTCATGAAACTGAACGCCGGTTTTGCAGGAAACTCGCGCCATTGTTCGTCGGGTCATCTCTTTAGCGATCGTGCTAGCGAACTATACTTATGGTAGGGTCACATAAGTCAATTTCCTATATCGTCAGGGGTTATTGAAGCTGAGTAAGCGGAAACTAGTGCAACATTTTATAACATTTTAAACATCGGCTTAAGCCATTATCTACATAAATAACAATTTGCACCTACGACTGCCTTACATATAATAAAATAGATGTAATGATATAACGGTGACCTCGGATGATCCAAAGATAAAACTGCGTAAGGATTTGTTTATGTTTAGAAACGTAATTATTTCCGAGAAATTCAAGTTTCAAAGTATTATTCTAATTGCTGAACGCACATAACTGTTATTAACGTTTCTCCATATTATTCAAATTCAGCAGATAAACTAAAAATGTTGCACCAGTTGGCAATGGGCATGGGAAAAACAAAGTAAAGAGTATACTTACGTAATCATAAATGTTACTGGAATCAGGATAAAGAGACTCAACGGTAGCACGTGAAGATGATCACACGTCATCCTAGAAGTTACATCTGAATCAGGAAATGAGTTATCCGCGGAACCATGTGCGGTTGAATCTTGTTCGGGTTCACCATGAAGAGTCTGTACCGGATACTTGAACCTGTCCAGTGTTCAGCTTTGCATTAAAGGTTTTTGTTACCGTAATGCTTTAAATCGAACGTTACTGCGTTTTTTCTCCAACCCATTGAATCATATGTGACGGTATAGCTTACGTTATATACTTATAGTTTCGACAATCGGTCTGTGTGCAAAGTAATGGAGAAACAATAAAATAACATCCAGTCATGAACTCGATTACGATATTCAGGGTAGTAAAACGAAGCTAACCACATTCGCGAATCCAGGGGATTTCTGAAGTTTTACAAATTAATTTCTCAACCATTGGTTTTTTAAATGTTGTTAAGCGTTAAAAGTTTTTCCAAAGAATAAGCAATTTGACATAACCGAAGACTCAGATTTTCTGATGACATGGAATGGTTGTCGTTTATATATTTTATTGAATTGCAGTATTTTTATTTACCAGGAGGCTCGTTCTAAATAGTGCACTACAGGTATTGGCTATGTTTCGTAATTAAAGTGGACTCGTTGCTTTTCTTACCTTTTTCGATTTTATGAAGAAGACGGATCAGGAAGCGTCGCTTCCTTTTTCATCAAGATTTCGTCGAAGAACTTATTTCGCTCTGTTCCGAACGAGCACTCTCCTTCGTGGGCGCCTTCCAAGAGCACTCTGATATTACCGTAGTACACGCACAATTGTACACGCTGTACAACGCGTCGGTCACTGATTACGCACACAATTCTACATCAATTAACGCTGCATAAGTGTAGCAGACTTATTTGAGACGGCATGGCATTGTTGGGAACAATTATGCGCGTATGACCCTCACGATCGGTTGATAAACTTCAAAAATGCCGCACATTCATTCGCACTATATCAAAGTGCATCATCGCACAATGGGATGAAACTTCATTTGCTGCTGATACATTTGTGTTAAAAGATTCCGAAGCTGAGATAAAATTTTGTAAGATTTGCGTTTTAAAAGAACGTCCGTAACGACTTCGGATATTACTCTACAGAGTTACACGTTTTATGAGTTTAACAATTTTGAAATAATGAATTTGGCGTAAAAAATATCCAATCTATCCAGCGATACTTGTGCGAATATACATTCTTATTGCTCGGTAGTAAATTCATTTGAGCGACAATTGCCAATTACTCATTTTCCCTGATTACGCTATCAAAGGCCTTGATTAAAGTCATACCAGTTTTCCCACATTAGTGCCACTTGAAACAATTACGAATAATCGATCGCGCGTATTCCTGATCGCGAGATGTTCTACTGAATTATTGTTTCTAGGAAAAAGCGTAATTAATAATAAAGGGTTTAATTGTATCAGTAATTCAAAAGATGGCATATCCGTTATTTGAACTAACATGTCAGGGTGTCTACACGTGCATCTAATTATAGCCTTCGATTTCTGCCATGTTGAATTTAATAATTACTTATAGTTATAGTATACCAAAAAATTACCTTAATTTTTGCGGGATATCATTATATGCTTGTACTTAAATTTCAAATGTATTATTTAACTATCGGTAACTATTGGTAAAAAAAGTTCCAATTCGTGATCCGAATAAATTTGTATAAGTCAAGTACCGTACTCGCAGAGTAATTCTCGATTATTTTGAAATACAAGTTCAAATCAGTTAGTCGATATTAACATATACCATTTGGTAATCGTAAGATTCCTCGAACAATGTGCATTGTTCATAATTGAAGTCATATCACTTGTGCATTTTGAAGTACCTTATGTCAGAATTGCTCGATATATAAACACGAACATTGACCGTATGCTCTTAGATCGCAGAATTTTATCGGATTATTGTCCCTACGAACGCAGCGATATTTCGATCCACTAACGGAATAACTTCTGGAGAGTAGCGTCATTTCGCGTCTTTCGTTTCCATGTCAATTTATCTGCTGAACGGTGATAACCCCGGAAGACCTTGGATTTTCCTTCATGCTTTTTATTTTTCACAATCAGCGAACGTTTTTTAACTCATTAAATGAACTCACATTGGAGCAAAAAAGAAGCTTACTTAATTGGCACATGTTGGACCGAATAACGACATTCAAAGACTTCCCGGAGATTAAGCTTAAAAATGACGTATGAAAAGTTTAATATTAGAGTCGCAAGAACAGCTCGGAAGAGAAATTGGATTTTGCTATGCAGTCCAGAGGCTATCGTCAACTGACTAGATAGCCTTCTTTCCCTTTTTTCCTCTTCCTTCATTATTCTCTGCTTTGAGAATGTATTATTCTACTCTGGGAGTTTCCCAACCATTTTTCAAGAATATTAAAGGTTTCATTACGGTCGAATAGCTAATTGTACCTTGTAGGTTAATCATTTCCGTTGAGGTATACTTTCAATCCTTACATCAGAAAATGTCCAATAAATTTATTGGAAATAAAATGAACATGTGATATTTTTCTTAAAGGATTATTATCTTGGCTATGAAATTATGAAGCACGTTTGGGGAAGACTATTCACATCGCTAACCAAATTAGCTGGCAAGGAGTAAAACCATACTTTTATATTATCAATGACATAATATTACAATAAATGTAGCGTGGGACTTCTATTTGTGATCTGTACACTTTTTGAGATAGTATGTGACATAAATCGATCAAATGTTTTGTATCGATAGTTTTAGAGCTATGTGTGTATGGGTGTTTTGACATTCGAACGATGTTTCATTTGAATTTAATGCTTTACAATTAAAAATGCTGTAAAAGAGTATTTTACTGTTGAAAATTCAATTAGATTGTATAGGCAGCTTAAAATTGACATTACATTTTATTTTGAAAATAAAAATACAGATCGGAAACCTCATTAAATGGCTTGAAGGGAAATTAAACGAAATTGCTATTTTGGATTGAAATTATAAAAGTTTGCAAACCAATGAAATGATTATTTCATAATTTAAATTGCACTCTTAAGCTCAAAATGCAATGAAATCGTTACTTTATGATTCAAAGTGCAAGAAAAGTGAGGTTTGAGATTTAAAATGATTTTAAATTGTAAATGCAATTTCAGGGTATTAGACGCTTAAATTATATTTGAATTATATTATAACCTTAAAGATATAATATTAAACCCCTTCACCCCCAGTTTACATGATCCTCAGTTCCCCTTGAACATTGAAGTCATAAAAACTGTTTATAAATCTCATTGATTCAAAGAAATCTGGCAATTCATCTTATTGAACGGATTTACTTTCTAAATTACACTTCGATTCCTTTCGGCTCCTTCTAATCGACGAGCTTTCGCTATTAAACTCTCTATTAAATTTCTCATGTGCATACAGTAATACCGCAATTTCATGATTTTCAGCTTCAAGCGCGACCTTTAAAGCTGAATTCCCATCTAAATCAATAATAGATGTGTCACAGTCACTTTGTGAGAGTAACGATCTAACTAATTCTATATTCCCATGTTCTGCGGCACACATCAATGCAGTGCTTCCATCTTCATCTTGAATGTTCAATGAAGCTCCAGCTTCGATTAGGAGCCGAGTCATGGATTTGTTTCCGTGAGAGACGGCGAGCATCAATGCGGTCTGGCCGTGCTAAACAGAAGGAAGTACGATTTCTTATAATTCTCTATTAAATAGATTTTGCATCCGATTAATTAACCGATGTAGGAGCGGGCCCTCCCTGGAACATGTTGGGATCGGATAAAGTTAGACCAATCGTCTGTCTTACTTGGATTCGATACTTTATACCAGTACCTATTGTTATGGTTATGTTTGTTATGTTAATCATTATTTTACCCATAGTAGAAGCAAACAAAATTGCCTTTACCTTTTTGCGGCCGTAAGAATCAGGGCATACATTTGGCAAAAGTAACCGATTTCATTGTTTCTTTTTTTGCGGATGTCGCCCAAGATATTTTTGGGGGGAAATGAGGATAATTTCAATTTATTAAAGATCAATCTTTACGTACCATTTTTGCTTTTGCATTCACATCGGCAACCGCCAGAAGTTTTTTCATAATTTTCTCCTCTTCTTCATTTTTTAGTTCAACAAGAGCTGCTAACATAATTGCAGAATATCCAGCAAAGTTAACTTCGTCGACTCTACAAACTCTTGACTCCAGCAAAACCGAAATAACTTCGAAATTTGCGTTTGAAACTGAATAATGAAGTGCAGTATTTCCACTCGAATCGTTTAAATTTATAATAAAATTTAACAATGTATCAGAAAAGGAAGAAATTGAAGTTATGCATGAGTTTAGTTTAACTGGATCTGCGTCAATATGAGTTGAAAATTGGAACCAGAATTGTTCAACGAGCTTCAAAGCGTTTTTGATGTCCTTCGAAATATTTTTTTGAGGAGATCTGACTAAATTGTCATTTAAAACTTTCATCGCTGCTTTGATTTCCTTCGGAAGTTGAAATTCTTGAATAGATTTGATCTTTTCGAGAGAAGTTAGAGTTTCTTCACTTTGTATTTGCTCCGAAGAAGGTGGTTTAATTTCCTGGGAAGTCAAATTTCTTTCGATTTGATTTGAAAGCTCCATTTTTTTTCTGAATATCCGTTTCTTGTGACAAACCGAAGTTCGTTCGCTCTGGACTTGCTGGCTTTCGTGTTCTGAAGAGTCTAAAATTGTTGGCTGTGATGCCAAGTTTTCATTGATTTGCGTGGAAAAATTGTTTTCAACGTCAGTTTCTATATTTTGATGCTTCGAAGAGCTTGAAGTCTTTCCCTGTGAACCCAAATCTTCCTTGATTTGATTTAAAAGTTCACATTTCCTCCTCCATTTTTCAATTTCAATCAAATTTTGAGTCTCTTTCCTTTGAATTTCCCTCGAAGGCTCAAATTCTTTTTTCAATTTCTCTTCTGGCATCAGATCTGAAGTTTTAATATTAATTTGAAGGTTTCGATGCTTCGGAGAGCTTGAAACTGCCTTTGAACATTTTTCATCGTGACATATTTTAAGGTTTTCTTCCTCGATTTCCTCTAAAGGATGACACCTATTTCCCGACATTAAATTTAAATTTTCTTCGATGCCGATTTGTTGGCTTTGAAGTTCATTTTCAGCTTTCAAAGTGAAACCATGCATTCCCAATTCTGTTTGAACACTGAAATTAAAGAAATAAAAGCATTATGATTTGTTTCCAAACTTTGTGATGAAGTTATTTGTTCCAAAATAATTGTATAATCATAATGTTAACTAATATCGAACAACGAAAGTTGATTCAAGACAGTTGATTCAACAGTAATAATATATCCTTCGTTAATACGTTTTGTCGCTTCAACGCCTACAAATAGAAATAAGAAGTCTTAAGACAAGTATTTTTGCTACTTCAAAGACTTCGAATAATACGATAAGTCTTTCAGTGATATTAGTTATGCCTTAAAAACTACAATGAGTAAAAAAAATCCATTATTCAATATTTTTTATCAATAGAAGGTTACGAATATAAATAATAACTGAATGACAAGTGTTCTTGGAAAATTTAGACTTTGAATGTCAATATTAAATCCATTCACCACAAATTTTACCGCTTTAAGGACTTTTATTAATAGTATTGAATAAATTCACCTTTTCTCTTCTGTCTCTTCTTCTAATCTCCTTTCCAACTTCCTGCCACTTACCGACCGCGTCGAAACGGACTTTCTATCCTCAAAATTGTTTTTTAAATCCTCGGATATCTTTTCGAATAATGATTTAATTGTCTCTTTACAGCTATCACAGTAATTTTTAGTACAACTAATTATTATGTGAGACTTGACAGAGTCGCCAACTGAAACGTCAACCAACTTTTTCCTCATCGGAGAAGTTCCAAAGTGTCTTTTCTTGGGAATTAAATTTAAAGTGTCCGTATATTTTGTCGAAAACTTGATTAAGTCGTTTGTATTTGTATATTTTGTTGAGGATTTAAACAGTCCTTCGGTAGATGTAAATCTTGAGCAGGAAGTAATTGAGTCACTGGTTTGAACTGAGACTGATTTTCCTAACTCAACTTTCCGTTCCGAAGGATTAATCGCTCCGAAATCTAGGAATTTATTCGTTTCTGGAATTTCTTCGATCTTAGTGGTACTACGTCGCAATTTGTTCAATCTTGAGTTCTTAATTTCCTGTAAAACTTGAAACTTCGAAAAATCCTCTACCGTCAATGTTTGGTCCGAAATATTAAACGTTGAAGAATTCACTTCTAAGTTTCCGAATCTATTAACTTGCGCGTCAGGAGGAATTTCTTCGATCGTAATTTGACTTTTTCTCAGCACTTTTTGTCTTCTGTCTCGAAATTCTTTTAAAATTTTAGACTCTAAAGAGAAATTTAATCCTAATTTCTGTTCCGAAGCGTTAAAACTTGAAGAATCAACTTTGAAGTATGCAGATTCATTAATTCTTGAATTTTCACATATTTTTGAGTCGGAGAGAATTTCTTCACTTTCAATTTTACTTCTGCGCAATTTTTTCCGTTTTACTTCTTGAAATTCTTTCATATTTCGCAACTCCAGAGTGTTTTCTAACTGTACTTTCATCTCAGAGTCAACGAAACTTGAAGGATTTACATTAAATTTCTTTATTTCTGGATCGGAAGGAATAATTTCAATGTTAATTCCACTTGTTCGAAGTCTTCTTCTTCTTTCTCTATTGATTTCTTTCAATATTTCGGACTTCAAGAAGGAAACATTGAGATTGTGAGATTTCCTTCGATTCTCCTCAAAATTTCTATTTTCATTCCCTTCGAAGGGTTGAATCGTAGAAGTTGTAATCACTCCGGTATCCCTCGTCCTAATCTAAAATTAAAAGAGTCATTCAATTAAAATACTACTACCGATTGCTTATAAATTATGTTGAAGCTATTTCACAGTGGAAAGGGTTAGGCTCACGGAGAAGAATGACCGAACAAAAGCTAACAACAATTAAAATAAAATCTAACCCAAGTGTTTCGTCAACACCCCAATCAAAGACTAAATTCCTCGGAACATTCCTCGAAAAAACCTAACGAAACCACCAACAAATTTTCGAATAACCTCTAAAATTCTGTATAAACTGTGAAAGATAATCAATTAATTAACAATTCCACTTATTACTCCTAAAATCGACAATTTATTCTAAAAATATCCACTAATTCTCTAAGAATAATCCTTACCGATTGACACGAAACTCCAACATCTCTCTTCAATACTGTACAAAGTGTTCCGACTTCTTTTTTACCCAGGAAAGTAGAATTATTTAAACAAAATTCAGTTTCCAATCTCTGTGTACCGTTAGTCCGTTCTCTTTTGGAAAGGTCTCCGATCTGAGTTAAGAGCTTTCGCTTCTCTTCCTTCAAGACGGAGAGTTGAACCTAAAACGTAAAGGTTGTTAATCATTGAAAACAATGTATTAACAATACCTTACAAACTAAGATGTAAGACTTTCCATTTTATCGGTGTCAACTTCCAAAGGAAAAATAATTAAAATTCACTCTATAACTCTAAGAAGCAATAAAAATTCAACAAATAGTATTTATAAACAAAAATCGTTAGAAAATGAAAATAACGTAAGTAGAATGCTTTATTCCAATTTTTATTGGTTTTCTTCGATTAACCAACTTTTTGGTCTGTCAAAGTAAATGAAAAACACTTTCAAGCAAATGTTTAAAATTTGATTAAGAAATAATTTGAAGTTAGTTTAGTCATTGACATAAATTCTGGATTTATAATAAAAATTTTCATACTTGCAAAATGGGAATCATTTTGACTTGCTCTTCCAGATTTTTCGTCCTTTCAAGGGAAACTGCCATTTGTTGTCTAATAACCTAAAAATGAACGATAAATAATGAATTAAATTTAAACAACAATGTTTAGTATATAATAAAACAATATTTGCTTAAATGTTTATAATAATATATAAACAATTAATACCTGTAGGGCGGCTTCATTGAGGCTAGCGTTTTCATTTCCGGTATTATCGACAATCGACTCCTGATTAGCTGAATCTGTAAAACGATAATTGTAATTAACACGCACCCACGCACGCACGCATAAATCATTAATTGAAATTGAATTCTTTACTGTGAAAATATGTTAACCTATATATACATATATATTTTTGTATATATGTCAATGTCTATATATATGTATATATACATTGAATAATTAAATACTTAAAAATAAATCTGGAAAATAATAATAAACGTGTACGTATATGTATAATTAATTATCTATCAACTAAAATTTATTGAGTTATTTAATATGAGGTTCATTTATGCAAATAATGTGTGTATACATTCATGTATTCCTTAATACATATAAGTAAATATGGTAAATAAGCATATATATATACACAAATTTGTACAACTATAATAATAATTATCACGGTACGTATATCTAATTAATTGTTAATAATGTTTGAACGCTTACGATATCTCCTCCTGTTTTTGACTTTACAAAATCCGAATCTTTTACTTATAAAATTTTTAACTCCCATTTTTATACGGTTTTATTAACAATTGAATACATTAATACAACAACATTTCCAATTCTGCAATTTAGTAAATAAATTAAATAAATTGAAATTTAATTATAAATTATCTCCATTTACGTGACTATCTCTAATAAATTCTTATCAGCGATTATTCCGCAACTTATCGCAGAGTTTGTTGTGATTATTACTTGAGTTTATCAACTCTCTTGACTTGTATGTATCGTTACCATGGTTAGACTTTACTCGATTTGTCATTTTGTTTGGGCAACAATCGAATATATATCGCAAATATATTTATTAACATTATTGCACTACCGATACGTTGTGTTTATGAAGATATTAATAAATTCTCGTGTACGTCTTATTCCATTTTCACTTCGCCTGCTATTATCTATTCAAGATAATTAATAATTTTTTAAGCATTCCTTTATTTATTATTTTATCGTTTATCATGTTTATTATGAACTGTATTAATTCTTGTACAGTATCCTTCGCTTTTCTTATCCCGTTTATCCTCCGCTTCGTTTATAATCTGTAATTTAATTCAGAATATTTACTACACTATTTATATTAATTATTCACTTATTAATAACACCAATTGTAATTATCTTAAATGTTTCTTCGTCGGGAGTTCGACGATGACTGAAGCGTAGTACCATTGCTAGATTCTTTTGTACTTCCCACCCATGCGCGAAGAAAACTTTACAGCGCGGGATTATTCAATACATGCATATTCCCTAATAACACAGAATCATTTTTCTATAGTGTTTTTCACGTGATTAAATATCCGAAGCGACAGATTTTTTAAGACGTCTCGTAGATTTCATTTGAAGAGATCTAAAATGATTCAAAATGTCAATGACATATTCCGTTCTAACAATTTATAAACATATATCAGAATTAATATTTACAAACTACGATATTTGTAAAATATATTAAAAAAAAGACAAATATTTTGTGCTATTAGGGACGTTATTACGCCATTTATAAAAATTAATTAATTAAATTATAATAAAGGTATTTAAAAATATTTATTTAATTTATTTCTTTACTTATTGACTTCGTATGTTGAAATTTTTCTTTTTTATTTCCCCATGTGAGTGAAATTAGTAATTAACTGTAATTAAGGAGGTCTCTGAAGTAGGAAATTATGAGAGCGGAAGCGAGTCGTTCCGGCTTCGCGCTGATGGTGGCCACCGTTATAAACTCTTATTATTACGGTCGTTTTCTAAATATGACGGCATCTTCGAATCGTTAAGGTGGTATGAAAGAGTCAGCCTATATATATTTGAGAAGTCAAATCATTCCTCAAAGTATTCTTCGAATTGAATGAACCGATTCGTTTCAAACTTTACCACGTGAATACGAAGGCCCGAAGATAGGTCCTGAAACTCATGAAATTTAATTTCTTATAAAAAATGTATTTATCATTGACTAGAATCAACATAGCGTAATCCGTGCACGTTTTTGATGTTTTACACTTTTTGAAGACAGAATCGAAAAGGAAGAATTTCAGGACCTAACTCGAACAATTTAGAATTCCGTAGAAATGGAATATTGCAGAGTCAGATGGGAAGATATGATAAATTCTCCTACGTTGTTAAATTAGCTGATTATAACATCAATCTCCGAACGCGCAATAATGTAATAAAATTACAATTTTTAGCACATAACCAGCTTTCGTCGTCTAAATATCACAAACTGTTTTCGTATGCATGGTACAATAAATAAACATCAACTATCGCCTCAAAACGATTATCCATTACCTGTATAAACAATTTATCAGGAATTACTTATACGTACCTGTTTTCTCCTTTAAATAATTTTTCATCATTGTTAACGAAGTCGCCTCAAAGTCTTTCATAACGTCACTTAAATCGACCACATTAAAACTCTTGGCATTTTCCAGCAATGGCAGAGATATTCGACTTTCTCCTTCTGCAGATCCGAAATTCGCAATTTTTGCAGATTGTAATTGGATTTCTGGATTTATCTGGAACATTTTTTTATTAATTTTGAAATACTACTCTGTAACTACAATGATTAAAATAATTGTGTGATAACATTAACGGTTAAAATTAAATGGAATAAGTGAAAATGAATAAAAATGAATATAAATAAATAAAATGAATTAAAGATTAATGATTCAGTTATGAAAAGATGCGGTAGTTTATCACAAAGAAACTGTTCGGACTGTTTTATGAGTCTGCCATATCATTAGAGGGAATCAAAGAATGAGACATGTATTTTTTTGATCTGCGAAGATTCGTATCAAGGGGGTGACATTTGCCCCCGAAAATGAGACCGCCGGCCACTCGCAAGTCAGTGCGCCTCCATCCTGCCCGCCAAAGAGTAGTAACATTTTCAAACTCGCATATAATTACATTAATGTTAATGTAAATTGACATTGTGTTTTGAAGGTACTAATAAACAATTTACCAGTCCGAGAAGGACTTCCATGCTCTGACATTTACGTCTCCTCTGTCTCTTCTTTCTCCTTTCGTTTCCCGAATTTCCAGCGCAAATCGACTCGCAGTATCGAACGAAGTCCAAATCGATATGATATCCATAGGGGCAGCAGAGACAGGTCGAGAGGGACCAATCGGAGCGCCGAGACCCTGCGGGAAGTCAATCGAACAATTCCATCAGAAGTTAGGCATAAACATTCGGAAGAGATTGCAAAATTATTCATATAATCGTGATAATTCGGGAAGGGCACGAAAAAAATGACGATGCAACGATAGGTCGTTGGCGCTTCGGGTTAGGTGGCACCCCGTATTCCACGGTCTACGATCAGGACTCGTCCCGAAGCAGTAGCCGTTCGGAGCGTCGGTATACGCGTCTAAGGTCACTAATTATGTCAAAATTAATCGATATATTTATTCAATTGGCTGCGGCCCGTGCAGCTCCGCCGCGGGTGTCTCCGTCGTTGGGCTACAAAGAAATGTAACACCCGATTAGGTAAATGCAAGTCGTCCCTTCAGGGAGCACAAACGTTTCAAAAAAAGAGCGGGTGCTTAAGACCGCACGACCGAAGTGAAAACTTATGGACAATTTGTTAAATTATTAGGAATTTTAGGATGTTCAAAGACGTTGGATACAGCTATTTGGGGAGTAGGTTTTTTCTGGATACTGGTTCGACGAGTTGAACAAACTACAATGGAATGTTGCTGACTCGAGTGGACTGGGTTCAACCGCCACCGACAGACCTCCTTGTTTGTACCGAGGCCTACCATCGTACAGTTTGTAAATATTTACCAGACATTTTAAATATTTCGCTTTATTTTTGTATAAATAACTTTTAATTATAGTTTGCCGAATACATTATAAACGTTTTAAAAATATTTCAAATCAAAATCACATGTTTTGCTACCGTAATGACACGGCGGAACAAAAATATTGCAAAAACTTGTCGTATCTTTTGATACCAAATTAAGTGTCCGACAATAATCGTAAAAGAAAAGGATGTATTTTTATTATTTGTTTATAAATTATCAAGACTAAATATGTCATTGAGATTTTCAACAACTATTTTAGATATCTTCAAATGAAATCTACGTGACATCTTAAAAAATCTGTCGCCTGACATATTTTGCAAAGATTCAAGAAAATATTTAGGAATTATTCCGTTACTAAAGTATATTTGATGCAAGTGATTTTACACCGAAGGTATTTTTGTAGGGTCTAAAACAACAATAAATGCGGTCGTAATGAGAAGAACATTTATAAATGGACTCATGAGCGTTTCCTCTTGTCCTCCTCTTCTTCAAGGCGTGAGAGGGCAATGACTTCTAAATACGTCGCACAGGGTCGAAAACGACGAAAAAGCTGGCCAAAACCTCGAAAATGAAATTTGCATTTTGGGATTATCGATCGTCAGATTGGAATGAAGGGTAATTCGGACATTTTCCTAGGAGCACGGAATGATTTCTAATCCATTCTTTTCCAATTTTATTGAAAATAAAGATGATCGGTAAATATAAATAATACACATATTTACCGTTTAGACGGTTAGACGAAACCGTAACTGCCGCCATCTCGGATTTTATATCTTTCTTAGACATTCAGTCCTGTAAAAGAAATGGAATTAGTAAATAATCCTTCACTCACCACCCTAGTAGCATGGAATAATTTCTAAATATTTCTTTTGTAATCTGTGCTAAACATCTCAATATCTTCATATTACAAAAACACGTGGAGCTAATATTACAGAAATATTATAAAATAATATTCTAAAGTAAACGTTTTGCAAATATGTCAAACGTCTGCTAGATATTTACAAAATGTACGATATTCGCTAAATATACAGAAAATATAAGATAAATATTTTATGCTAGTAGGGCACATTCACGCATCGTTCATATATTCGAACCTGTCCAGAGTCGCCCACAATCCACGTGGGCGCACCTTGATGTTAGCCATTAAAGGAAGTTTGCACCGAGAAAGAGAGAAAGAGAGAGGAGGCGAGATGTACACGCTCAAAAGAGGTAAAACAGTCTAACCAAGCTTCATCAGTATTTTCCGAGATCTCACCTCTTTTCATCGGCTCTCATCACCTGTTCTCGTTTCCATCCACGTTTACAAATATTGAAAACTCGTAGTACTTGGTAACATTCGACGAACACTCGTGATACTCTATAGGTATTCTTCTTTTCTACCTCTTCTCTTCGTTTTTGGCCTTGGATGGTTCCCCTTTAAGCCAGGGTTTTACAGTGTTGTCGGTATGTATACTGCGTTTATACTTTCGGTTCCGTATAGACCTTAATACGTTATTGTTGTTTCTTTTTTCATTTTTTGTCCTTAGGTGAAGTACCCTATCATCCACAGCTTTGCTATGTTATATACTTTGTTTACACAAATGTTAGCTCATTCGATGCAGTTTATTCGCGAGATTTTTACATTTTCCGACGATCGCAATGGCGGACGAACCCTTCCCCTGTGTTCTTCTTTTGCAATGAAGAAATGAGAAGAAGCAGTTACACAACGTGAATTACGGGAGAGAGATGAACGCCACGGACAGTGTATACAATCCGAGTGTCCTCGGTGGACTAAAGGAGGGAAGAGAGAGTTTCTTGCCAGGTATTGGCCAGCTCGAGGGCGTCCATCTCTTCCTATCTTACGGAGCAAGATACGGTTCCTTCTCTCTCGCACTTATGAGCTATTACGAGGAGCCCCTTCTCTCCTGTGCCCACATCGTGGAGCTATAATGCCTCTTCTCTCGCTCTCAGATGTCCCCTACCCTGAGAAAACGACTCGTTTGATTAAGAACAAATATGTTTCGATAAAACTTATTTTTTCTTTCTTGTACAGTTAAACAAGTATACATTTCATTCAAACATATTTGTCGATTAATCCTATTTATTTGACGTAATCAAACGATTTGCTCGATTTGATTTCAATAAATGTTTCGTTTAAACGAACATTGTAAGAGAAGAAGAGATTTTTTATTAACGGAGACAAAAAAGCTTGGATGTCCGACCTATTTAAGAACGTGTCCTTATTATAACCGTTTCACTCTTCTTTCACGTGACGTTACAACTCATATGGCTGATTATAATTCTTGTAGCCCATTAACCCTTTGCGGTCCGAGTTTCTGAAATTGCCTTGTAATTGTCGAGCCAGGCTCGACATAGGACCGCAAAGGGTTAAAGTATTACCCATAAGGCTATTTACTCCGAAGGACCTAGCGGCACTTCTAACACAAATGACTGTGCAATTGATATGTTTAAAATAACTCTCCGAGACACGTTCGTGCTTTGGTAAAACATAAACATGTACGTTTCGTATGCGGCTACAAAATTTACGTCTCTATCCACGCAATCATTGATTCATAACACGGCGGTCGATAAATACGAACGTCGGCAACGTAGGTATTTAGAAAAATCTTTTTTACCGACGTCGATAATATCAAATTCATCTATACCCATTTTGGTGGTAGCGCCACTTTGAATACTCAAATGGTAACGCAAGCTGGCGCGTCACGTTACCGATATTTATATTTATATCTAAATCCGTTACACTCTACGTTGAGAATTATACGAAATGTAGCGTTCCATGTGTCATTTCGGTAAAGTAACGACGTAGAGATCGACGTAAAACCGTCGAAGTTCCGTGGATTCATGATTTTTGTTACCATAGTGAACCAATGGCGCCATCTGTGACGTTTAGCTGCAATTAAATTTACCTGACGAGATGATTTTTATTTTATCGACATCGATTAAATTTCTCAGCCCCTTCCATTTCACCTTAAATGCTCCACTCCGTATAGTAAGACCGATTTAGTCACCCCTGCAGTAGTATAACTGGCATCGAGATGTTAATTTATGCCACGGAGTGCGATCACATCGGACCGTTTCTGGAGAGCGTACCTACGAAGGTGTATCCTCTCGAGAATATAACGCGAGACTGGAGGTAATGCGCTGGCGCAAGCTCGATGCGCGTGTCCGGATTCCTACCACACGAAAGCAGTCGTTGCGGCACTGGAGCTTCCCAAATATCGTCCTCGGAGTTAGTCTAGCGTTGCGTGTCGTGCGCATCGCTGTCGCTCCCTTCGCGAACATTTCCAATGAGGTGTCGCGAAGGCGTTATAATTGCCTTACCGGCGGAGTCTTTGGAAGACAGATCGGAGTGAACATTTATGGTGAAGTTAAAATAACGAGTTCAAGTGTGTTCTAAACCGTGACGAACCCTTTAATGCCCGGAGTTTATTATTTATTACCAGTCTTTTCAATTTTACTCCGTTATCTTTTCGGGACCAAATACTACACATTAATTTCAGCACAGCGAACCGAACACCCTTGTTTCTTTGTACATTCAGTTTTGGAATATGTATTCACTTTTCGTTCATTATTTCATACGATCGATTTAAATATTCGAGCAACTGTAGATTAAGGATCAAAGGTATTATTTTGGTTTGCATTTTATGCGTTATTTTCTGTTCGACAATAAAGACGAAAGATCATCGTATTGTGTATATGCACTTTTGGTAAATTAAATTTTAAAACGTTTTATCTCTTTTCGTTTAACGTTATTAAATATCGGTAGTTTTAATTGCGTTAGCCTCTTCTGGTTACTTTTTGATAACCACATGGAACGAGTAAGATAGCAGATTACTAGATTTTACTCAAAGAGCTTTCCATCCTGATAACTTATTACGCGGGCATTCCGTTATATTTCGAGACGTACAATGCACCGAGGCAGATGCAAACATTTACTTTCCTTTTTTTTTTTTTTTCCGTTGACGAGTCGCCCGTAAATCTCACCTACTCGCGCACCCGTTAGTTTCACACGACCTCGCAAGAGAGAAACCAGGGATATTCACCATCTCTCTTTTACGCCGCCCTTCTCTTTCGCACTCGCCCTCGTGTAATTCTCCCCTCTCTCTTCCTCATCTTTCCTTTCCAGTGTACCGTACCGACCTATCCTCCATCTTACTTGCTGCCTATCGTTTCTCCCTATCCCTTAACTCCTCTTTCTTCTCTATTTCGGTCAACGGAAGAAAACACCATATCTACACAGGATGCTGTAAAATAAATGGTTGTATATATGCGAATATGTAGAAACATCTGCGAATTGTACGCTAATAGCAGACTCTTTAATAAAAATAGTCGATAAAATGTTGCCCTTTCTCTCTGCTGCTTTCTGTTTTATTTCATGTTTTGCTTTTGGTTCGATTTCAACGTTTTGTTGTTTCATTACACCAGGAAATATTATATAAAAAATATCGTTTTCTGCTTCTACATGAAGGTATACAAATATACAATTATATGCGTTACATGTATGCTAGCATAAGCCGATACTACCTTCATTAGATAAAAACTCATTCTTAGAAACTGATTGTATGAACCTTAATCCGGTGAACCATTGATGTATTAAATATTCAACTTCTACTTTAATATAAATCGATGTTATCGCTCAAGAATAAACGTGCTACAGTTCTGACCCTGGTAGCACGGAATAATTTCTCAATATTCTTTTGTAATCTTTGCTAGATATCTCAAGTGACAGATTTTTTAAGATGTCTCGTTGATTTAATTTCAAGATGTTTAAAATATTTCTTGAAAATCTCAATGACGTATATAATTATAAACATGTATGAAAAATATATTATTTACTTTACGATTATTATTGCAAAATTTTCGTTCCGCTATTTCATTATTGTAGCAAACCGTGTAACTGATTTTAATTATTTTTACAGCGTTTACAATTTATTCGGCAGATAATATTTAAAAAATACTTATATTAAAATAAAACGAAACGATTTGTATATCTACATGAAAAATATGACGAAAACACGTGGAGCTAATGTTATACAGATATTCTAAAGTAAATTTTTTGCAATTATTTTAAATATCTGCTAAAAATGTACAAAGTGTACGATATTCATTAATTATATATCGCAAATATACGACAAATATTTTGTGCTACTAGGGGAATAATCATTTTTCGGTTTTATTCAAAGCTCTTGACTGAGTTTTTATATTGTGTGCAGTTTTGAATAATAGGATGAGAATTAATTTGAAAATAACGGAACTCATTTTTATTACTCAACTGTTAGCAACTTTAAAACTGTAATCTAAGTTGTCGGCATGAATTGGTGAAAATTTATGTTCCCAAAATCAATTTCAGAATTTGTTGAAAATAAAAGCTATATAGGCATCTTTATAGATCTTTATAAAAAATCACTCGTTAGTGTACACAACATTATTATTATTGTTACATAAAAATACCAAAGTATGTCAACTACCTACATAATTTGAGATCTAAATTAAAGAAAAACTTTCACTAGGGAATATAAATAACCATTGGAATTGATAAAGGTACAGTAACTAAAGATGATTGACAAAATATATCTGACGTTTTACACTGTACATAGAAGAAATGTTGTATAACCTTAAATATATTTCGTTGTTATTTTTTCAGCAGCATCGTTTTATTGATTTACCCTTACTATATCAACGAGCGGATTTGATGTTTTGAAACATTATACATTTCCTTTATGCACTTTAATTTAAAGAATAGCATCGAGAATAGTTTTTCTCCTATTATAATACGTGCCTAATATTTTAACCATACAAACATTCTAAATGCTACGCCGAGCTCTAAAACACTGCATCATTTCAGCTAATTTGCATAATACTTAATGTTCTTTAGAATTTATAGTTAAACGACAAAAGACGTCTCTTGATTATGTACAATTTTTATGGAATCTTTCATGTTACAGAAATGAATCAACTTTTCTATATAAGTAATTAGCACCTCAACATAACTGTCAATAGCAATAACATAATACAAATAAAATATTCAGAACATATCAGTGTTTATATGAACCAAAAGATGTATATTAAATAAAGAAAAGAGAAAACTAGGGATGTGTTATTAATAACTAAATTATTTTATTTAATTTGTAGTTCATTTATTTATTACAATATTGAATACACAAAGATATTGATAATATTTGGTTTGCTGTTAACTCTCTTCGGAGTAATCAAATTAATCGTATTCGCTTCTATGCGAGTCCGAGATAACAAACTGATTTTGTTTAGATATACTTTATCTATAAGCTATTACTAACCAGTCTGCTACATAGACATGAAACTTTATATATTATTTGAATGAGAATATTACTATCGCAAAAGAAATCCTTGGTAATGAGCTAAATCTGAGTACGTCGTGAACGATAGTCGCGTGAGAAATAATAATCAGTATTTTTATGTTTTACAGCGAGCTAAAAATCGGACTGCAGATGTAATAATCAATTGACACATATATTTGCATATAAGTAATAATCATAATGGATGTAATATTTCATTATGTGGCCTGAGGAAAATATGATTGCCTTTAAGAACATTCTTCACATAAGCATTATTACACAACCTAATTGTCTATCCCGTTTATTGAATGCTGCTTTTTAAACGTTTTTTCTCATTTATTGCATTAAACGTCCGGTATTTACAATTTTATTATATTGGCAATAACTTTACGAAGTCTCGCAGTGTGGTGTAAGCGGTACTTCTTGTTTTATTCGAGTGATTGGTGCCACTAACATGAAATAAGACGTTTGCGGACGGACTTGTGTACTCATCTGCAAGGACTACCACGGAAAACGCGGATTTCGAGAGACAGGTAGTTACCGAAACATATATATGTACCTTCGATTTGAACATTCATGAAAATGTTGTTACTTGAATGATGGTTAATCGTTTCAAAAAATTCTCATTCGAACTATATTGAAAATTATACATTTTTAATCCATTACCTATTGCCCATTACCGTAAACTTGAACAAAGATGGACAGTCAATATCCGAAAACATTTATTTACATAATTATTTAACACTGAATTAAATACTTCCGTTAAGGTGAAGTGAAACCCTCTTCAAATCAATCGATTCGAATAAGACACTTATTTTTAAAGGTCGGACACCGATCTGTCCGAAACATGGATACATGACTCGTGATCGTCTAAGAATTATCCTGATACTTTCAAAATTGGGACTTTCGAAAAAAATTGCTTTGTTTTATCCTCAATCAGACTCAAAATGGCGTCGAGCTCTCATATTTTGATGAATATACAATTATTGAAGGCTCCGATAATGAGAAACGAAAGTGTCAGGATAATTGTATAACGATTCGAAACACTCGGGTAACCGAGAAACTCGCATTTCATCGGGATAAACGCAAAAAGTGTCTTATGCGCTTCTATGCTAAAACGATGATAACACGAGATCTCGGAAAGAAAATTTAGTTGGCACTAAAATCACAGAACACGCAGGGTGACACTCTGCAGTCAATTAGGGCATCAAGAACTATGAATCCAGGAGATTTCTGGAGCTTTACTTAGATTTCTTTATAATTATTCCACGAAAACAACATATGGAGTATGCAATTTAGTATAATATCCAATATCATTCGACACACCTGTTTATATAAATGTACAATGCAGATATATAAGAAGAATCTTTTTTACCGACGTCGATCAAATTTAAGGACGTGTTTCACTTCACTTTAATTATGTTTACATCTCTTATATAGTCCATTTGGTTCTCAGGTAACATACAAAGGGAGTTTTATTAAACTTTCAAATTTAATTAATGAGCAATGGGATGCACGCCAAATAACACGATGAACAATGATACATAAACCTATCACACGGAACGATCGGTAGAATATACGTATATTGGATATATATGGAACATCCATACATTTATCGAAAATCTATATCACGTATAGGCCTTCATTAGATATTCTCTGGATAATCGCAGATATCTAGGTTTGGTATATTGGTATATCTATGGTTGATGTGTATTCACATATACTATAATATTTAAATAGAAAAATTACATATACAAATTACGTCTTGTAACGTGGTGGGCTCGACGCCCCCTCACGTTACAGGGAATCGGGTCCATCGCAGGACGAGGCTGGTCCCCCGCATCCAAGTAAAGAATATTTAAGACGAAGGAAGTCCTCGGATTGCCTTACATCGATCACCGATTCCAATTGCCACCGATCCCTGCATAGAATTTTGCCCCAACGTGTCTCGTCAATGATAGTACGGGTCAGGTGGGAGATATTTGGTATTTGGAAATGGATACAGAGATGATTTGGGAGATTGCTCACGGGCAGTCACGTGATCGCATCCTGTGCTGCCCCCCGGTGGAGGATGCGGACGGCTAACGCACTTGCCACCTGTTATCTCTCAGAGGCGGCGCGATACATTTCTGGTGGAGGCTCGCGCAATCGCGATGGCAGATACAGGGTTTGTCCGGGTCTTTTTCGATTCGATACACGTTCGAGAAAAATTTACGTAAGATTGACCTCTCAGGTGCTCCTTTCTCGTCACCTTATCGGAATATCCGTATTTTTTGCGATCATTCAATGGGAATACCAGGGTATTTACAGGGTATATTATCCAGGTGCCTGAGATTAGGAGCCCACCTGGAAAAGGGACGGCACGCTAGTTATGTATTTCCGATTTGAGTCAAATTCCAGTCCCCCAACCGCCGACATTTTCTAGCGAATAAAATTCATTGGATCAACAAAAACCGACCCCACCCGCTATTACAGGGCCAATTAGAGTCGGTACCTTTCTTCGTGGAGAGCAGAAGAAGACTGCGTTTAGAATAAGCGCGTATCTATACCGTATGTACAGGGACCACTGGAGACGAGGCAAGCAAGTTTTCTTTCGTTTCTTGCGAACTTAGATTTTACCCCCGTGAATTCTATTCGCGACTCTAGAGTTTGCAGCCGTTGGCGGTGCATGGTGCGTTGCAGCTTCGCTGTGACATGCCAGGCTGTACTTTCTGACTTTCACTTTGCGACGCGCGCTTCCCCTTGGCGGCCGACAACGGGCGGTCGTTGGATCGTCCGGTCGCCTGGATCGCTAAAGCCTGCTTTTGCCTCGCGAGTCGAATCACGCGAATGTAGAGTTTGCTGACGTGACAATGTTCACGTCTTAGAGTTCGCAATCGTCGGTAGTGCACGGTATGTTGCAGCTTTGCGGTGGTATGCGAGATCGTGCGACCTAACCTCCTCTTTGCAGCGCACGCTCCCCCTTGGCGGCCGACAAGGTGAAGCGTGCGTCGCGGGTGGTCGTTGGATCGTACGGTCGCTCGCACCGTTAACGACTGCTTTTGCGTCGCGATTGAAGTAGAGTCATTCCTTTTTTGCATTCCGCATAAATGTAAAGTTTGTTGCCATGAAAATATTCGCGTCATTAGAGTCTGCAGTCGTTGGTAGAACATAGGGTGTCGCAGCTTTGCCGTGACATGCGAGACCGGGCGATCTGGCTTCCATTTTGCGGTGCACGCTCCCCCTTGGCGACCGACAAGGTGAAGCGGGCGTTGCGGGCGGTCGTGGGTCGTACGATCGCTTAAACTGCTAACTGTATCATAGGATAACCGAGAAGGTGGCACTGAGTTTGTCCCGAGCAAAAATTGTAGGGGTTGAAACTTCCGAATCGTAACAGGATCATAGGACAACCGAGGAGGTGGTACGGAAGTATCCCGGGCAAACATGTTCGTTTTTGCAGCGAGAAGAAATATTTTACAGCAAATTAACCTACGCGGGAGACCACCTTCACCAAGAGTAACACAGAGGAGGAAAAGAAATTTGCCAGAAGGGCCTATTTTCGATTCAAAACCAATCGTTCATAGTTCAGGCGACCGTACGACGTCCAACCGCCCGCCACGCACGCTTCACCTTGTGGGCCGCCAAGCGGGAGCGCGCACCACAAAACGGAAGTCAAATCGCACGGTCTCGTATGTCACGGCAAAGCTGCGACACCCTACCTGTATCTACTGGGTCATTAGTATATTCACAAAAAATCTGTAAGGACGACTGTAAGGATTTATATATTGACGAGTTATAGGATTATTTACTGTACGTGGATAATACAGGAACATAATTCGTTTACCATACTCCTCAGTGCAGGAAGATTCCGATGAGTTGCATGAGAGCGTTCGAGGTAAGTCTCTTTTTACCGCAATCATCCCTATCGTTATTAGTACGTTCTTGATCCACTACCGGTTTATTTTCAGTTTCGGTATTATATTTTCTGTCCACAGAAATTGGTGTCCACTGCTGTTCCTCGTGACGGTTGTTACCAGTAGTTTCGACAGGACCCAGTAGATGTCACATGGCATTCGTGTGACTTTCCTGCAAATGGTACGTATAGTAATTCGTTTGTACATAAGACCCAATACCGTTTTTTTTTCATATTTAAGTCGTAACACCGTTGTGCGTTACTGTTTCAGATGTCGATACTCCAGCTCTACTTAAAAAATACAGCCTTTAATCCGGAGACGAGAGAAGAGAAAGCACGATAATTGAGACAATCCACGCATCAAGCAATGAATAAAAATGTTCCTCAACTTCAGATTAAATCAATGTGAGAATACCGACAGTGACGTAGGCACATAGTAAGTGTCCATAATCACAGGAATCGATTTATTATGCACAAGTAGCTAATGTTTTGTCCAATTTGTTACAACAGTGATTCAACGTTAACCTGAGCTTTGATATACGCAAAATAGATATTATATGCAATTTATATTAGATATCGTATTACGTCTCATATGCGTATATGATAGGTATATGTTCTGTGTGGGAATTTCTGAAGAGAAACATACTTTCGTCCTATAAGACCTTCATAAGTTCGTTAAAAATCGACATACAGCGATAACTTTATGATTGTTCAAAATTCCTTGCGAAATTCTGATCATAACTAATGTAATACCAGCAAAGATATGACATCACGATGCCAAGATGACACGGAGCGAGGCCTACTCGCCCTGCCGCCTCGCGTCCGAGGGAAAAGCCACCCGGACGCGACGCCGGTCCGCCGAACTACCTTGCGTCCTTTACTTTTTATCCGTTTCTTCTTTCTTATACTTTTACCGTGTTATTTTTTCGAGCTGGACCAAGTCTGTTTGCAGGTACATTTCCTGTAACTTAAACCCCCAGAAATTGTAACAAGAAAATCGATTCTTCCAAATTCCTAAATAAGAAACCCCCCCGTGGTCTCGTCTCCTAACTTAATCTAAGAAATGCAACAATGATTTAGAAATTATAAATCAATGTGCAGTATTCTATCTTGGGAGATCACCGTTAACGCATCATCGAAATTGTGTTACAGATACGGCTAAAAGACTTTTCAAAGGTTTGCCGTGAAGATGACAAACAGACAGAGGAGAAGCCGGTACTTGACCATCAGCATATTACATATCATAACGATAATGTGCCAAGGTAGGTTACATTGATATCAATCTCTCTTAAAACGGTATGGCAATAGCAACATGATTATATAAAAAACAGATTATGTGTATTCGGCACATAGAGTCGCTCCAAAAATTGCGTCGTACTTACCGTAAATATCTACAATTTAATCATATCTATCGTCGAACTTCGGTTGCGAGCAATTGTGAAAAATGGAACGTCCTATGCCAAGGAAGCAAAATGGGTCTCAATGTCCAGCGTGACCTTGCACACAAGCCGCAGACGAGTATAGCAGACACGTGGGATGTAAAATACCCTTGCCTCCATGGTACATACTATACTTAATGTAACAAAAGCATGGATTACGACTCCTTTTGCACGTGTCCGGAACACAAATATGGGCACTTTTTCGACTTAGGACGTTTTGACTCGCCGCCAATTCAAGCCACGATCAATCAGGAAGTTGTTACATAGGTACCCTTTACGAAACAGTCATAACCCGGTAACCCGACAGGTAGCCATCGGGGTAGCCACAGGTAACCAGCTTGTGTAACATCCGCGCAGAAAATGTTACTTCTTGATCGTCTATCGCCTACAATTTCGAATAGCGGTGCGGCGCAGGAAGCGACTTTGAAATGCCGTTTTCTAGAGGCCGCCCCAGCAGCCGCGCGATGCTCATAGTGGGCGGCGAAAAAGCAAAAGGGTACAGGGATGAGGGAAAGAGAGGAGGCATACTTGACATACGGGAGTTGAGAGGGGCGCGCGTCAACCGCTCTCATTGAAAGTCAAATTCTATCCGTTCACCCCTTTCTCAGCGGTCGCTTCTGCCTATCTTCCGTCGTCTGGTACCTGTAGAAATATATACAGTTATATCAGCAGCATAAATGCTCGTCGGCATTAAGAGTGCACGAAATTTCAAGTAATTTACACCGACGCACACACGGAAAAATGCATCATCTAGACAGACAGAAATCAATTTTCCGAAAAATTATAAAATCAGAAACGAAGCATCGAAGAACATATTGCAGGATTGGTCCGAAAAGTAATGTCAGTGATTTAATTGCGAAGCGACTATACGTCGCAGCGCGCTGGACTGGTTTCGGAATTAACAAAATACATTTTAATGTAAATAAAATGTATCACACTTTAAAATTATCCGAACAAGTTTCATTTCCGGCAAGGGCCCTAGTAGCCCAAAATATTTACCTTATATTTTCTATATATTTAACGAATATCGTACGTCTTGTAAATACTTAGCAGACATTTTAAGCATTTGCAAAACATTTACTTTACAGCATTATTTTTATAGTATTTGTGTAATATTAGCTCCATGACTTATCCTAATATTTTTCTTATAGATATACAAAATGTTTCGTTTCATTTTAATATAAGTATTTTTAAATATTATCTGCCGAATACATTGTAAACGTTTTAAAAATATTTTAAATAAAAATCACACGTTTTGCTGCCTCCCTGAAATACGGAAAAGAAAATATTGCAAAAATGTCTCGTATTTTTTTTATATCAAGTGATACGTCCGATAATAATCGTCAAGTGAAAAATCTATTTTTATTATACATTTATAAATTACAAAATATAATTTTGATATATGTTTACAAATTATTAAAACAAAATATGTCATTGAGATTTTCAAAAAATATTTTATACATCTTAAAAAATCTGTCGCTTGAGATACTTAGCGAAGATTACCAACATATATTTAGAAATGATCTTGTGCTGCTAGGAGATGAATTGAAACACTAGGGTAACCGCCCGAGTACAGAAGCCAAGATTTTAATAATGTGAAATATGACTGATGGGATGGGATGTGACATATACATGTCGACAACTTTGTCCGTACATTCACGTCGAGCCCCTTGCGGATGTTTTGTCCTTTCTTTCAAGAGCTCTCGACCCTTTTTTCGAAATTCTTAGATGATGCGCAACATGTGAAGGTGTTCTAATAACCACGTACCCATCTCCTTATGAGTCACTGTAGCTATGAGTCATATCATTTGTCAAGTTTCAATTCAGGTGATGTGAAAGACAATCTTAAAGGCACCCCAGTAACATACAGTGTTAAAAAAAATATTAGAATTTTATATCATTGTTGCTGAAAGTTTTATTTAAACGCGGTATACTAATTTTTATAACATATTTTTAAATACAATTTAAAACATGTTATAAATGTAGTACATACCCAGGCCCGCGGAACGTGGAATATCCGTAAATTAATCGTATATTGAACGTATGTAAGATATGTATAGATATCTATGAACTCTATTTTAGATACACTCAAAGACTAGATGTCCGGATATGGTACGTAATATATACACAAACATACATACATACATACAATAGATGGTCTATAGATATTCATATGTACTTGAAAAAAAGAAATGAAATTCATAACACTTTTTGAGGAAAGTCCGTTTGAGAACCACTTTGTAGGAATTCGGCTGGCCCCACGGACTCCTAATCCACGCAGTTAATTGGTCGAGCAGCTCCTTAATTTCCAGATTTTGGCGGACTGGGCGTGCGCTGGCCTAGTTCCTGGGGCCGGGGGTTGCGGTGGCACGGTTGTGGCGGCGCAGTTACCGGGCAACGGCGCGAGCTCTGCGCGCGTCGAGCCACTGGCGATGCCCACGACCGTAGCGATCGGTGGCCCGTCGGGCCCCGGGGCGCCTGTTTTCACCTCCGGGGCAGATCATCCGACAAGCCCCAGGTACTCCGGTGAGAACGTGGTCGGTCTCCTGGCCCCGAACTCGTTGCTCCTTCCCGGGAAATGGCAGCCATTCCTCTCCCTGTCGGTGGTCCTCTCGGGAGCTCCCGCCTCCTGGTCCGGCTCCTAGTCGGGTAGTATTGGGCGGCCGTCCTCGACCTGCCAGGGTCCGTCTACGGCCCGCCCTTGCAGGTCGACTCGACCTTTCGGGTGAGCTCGACGGGTTGGCCGTGGCATCGCGGTCGGTGCGTCCAGTCCTGGTCTCTTGGGGTGCCGAGGCGGCGAGCGGTAGCGCATGCGCGACCTCCGTGAGACCGGAGTCTCGCTACGATTTACAGAAATTTGACGAGCTTTCGAGCATTCCGCCATATATTTATCATAATATTCCGGCAAATGCTCGAGCGCGCGCCCGGGAACGCAGAAAATGGGTGCATATTTTACAGAAAACTTGGGGAGTTCCCGTTAATAGCTAATTGAATCTGAAATAAAAGACGCAACAAAATTAATCCAACAAATGTCCGCTTTCCCCCTCCCCCCGAGTCGGTGAAGTCTGGGCAAATTAAACCGTGACGAGGACGACTATCGATACATGTTTTATTTGACGCGTTACAAGTGTTCTCGCAATTTTTCCTTAAGCAATAATAGAAGTTGACCTTCCGCGACAAGTAGAGTCCCAGCGAGGCAAGGGGCGCGCTCGCGTCACTCGGGTCCGGCGGTGTTCGGTTCGGTGCGTCGCGGAGTTCCGGGGCGCGAATCGCGAAAGCCTACCTGTCCCTCACAGGTAGAAGGGCGGCGGCTCCACGGGGAAATCCGGGAGATCGAGGGCGTCCGGGCGACCGTGGAGTGCCCTCCGGAAGATGGCCAGGACGGCCGGGCCGGACCACTCCCAGCTTTCCATCTTCGACCGTTGTATGCGATGCGGAGCGTCCTGTGTTCCCGGTGACGGTCCTCTCCCTCTTTACGGCCCAAAAAGCTTCTCGAGTCGCCGGGCGTGTTTGTGGGACCGGGGGCTGGTTCCGGTGGCGGCGAGGTCGGCCAGGAGATCGGTGCGGCGTGGACCAGGCGATGAGCTCAGGAATACCATTGTTTGGGGTCGGGGGTGGTCCGAGGAGGTCCGAGGCCGGAGTGCGAGGACTGCGCAGTCGAGGCACGACCCAAGCTATCCGCGAGGCGTCGGCTGGCCATGGCGACCGCACTACGAGCGGCGTCGGTGGCAACGGCGAAAGCTTCACCGGAGTCTGCGGGAACGACCGCGACAGCATCCTCGTCCGGGGGGCGGTCCGCAGACGTGGAGGACCACCTATGCGACCAAAGGGTCGAGGATCGTAGCGAAGACCACCCTTCGGCTTCGGCCCAGGCGATGAGGCGGCGGGGGTCCTCGACGGTCGGGCCTTCGGCGAGTCCCGCGGTGTCTTTGGCTGCGGCGGGGGCGGCGGGGGCGGCGGAGGCAGCGGTTGGGACCGCGACGGCGGCGGGGATGGAGGTCGGCGTGGGAGGTTCGGCCTTCCCGGCCTCTGTAATGGTACGGTTTAGGCCGTGCAAAATGTATCGTCTTTTTCACACCGTCGTGAGTCCGAGTCGTGTCAGAATTTTCTGGAAATATTAAATCGCCGATTTTCGAGGTGCGAAGACCCGAGTAAGAGAAAGGCAGGCGGGCGAATTAGAGAAGGATCTCGAAGTCTCGTACCGCGCAGGCAATGCTTCGGTTTCTTACGCTTCTCGGCTTCGGTCGCTCAGCTGATCGAGGCCGAAATTCTGAGTTGAATTCGGATTTCGATATCCCGAACGCACCGAGATTCCTAAATTAACTTTGATTAACAATTAATTGATTGATTTCGCTTTTCGAGGACGGACTTAATTTTGGACAGGAAGTGAACTCTCAGATATATATAAACACACACACACACACACACAATGACCCTTTTATATCACCTTAAAGGACAATAGGTTAGCGTTCATTGTTTTCGCACAGATTCATTGTATAAGATATACCAAATATACGACATTCGAGGATGAGAAGTTATTGTAGAGTTCGACAGATCATTTTTTTACTTATTAAATATATTTTATTTTATATGCAATTCCTAATGCACATATTTAGGAGAAGTGATTTTATAATGTTTGTGCGCGCAATTATTATTTTATGGATATGTAGATGTCAAATTTTATTTTGCATATAATATACAATGAATGTAATTGGCAAAAGTGACCGATTTTATGGCTTCTTTTATCTTAAGCGTTACTTTGTGGAAACATTTTCATAAAATATATCCGTATGAAACTATGAAATTGATTTTTTTACATTGAAGGTGTTTTTGTGGATAACAATTGTTTAGTATTAAATGAACAATTACATTTTTTAATCGTTCTTTAACGTACTATTGACATACCTCGGATAAAAGTAAAGGAACATTTTGTAATACTGTCCTATAAATATGTCGCATTTTTTGAATATATAAGTGGTATCGTTGTCTCAAGTTAAAGAACTGTCCTTCAACTACTTACATTAAAAAAACAAAATATGTATACATGCCCGGATAGACAAAGCGATGTACAATTTTAATGAAATTTTGTTGATAAAAGAACATTAAATGAGTCATAAGGGTGTTCCTTACGAGTCTTAACTTGGAACTCATATCTGCAGTACATAATGACGAACCAAAAATTCTGAAATATGAAACAAAGATACGTACATACAATGTCTCAATTTTTGGACGCACATGTACAGCTAAATTTATCTCAAGCATTGCCGATAAATAATTGCAGCATCTATAGCTCAGATTTGAGTCATGGCGTGATGGAAACGGGAACATGGAGCAATGTCATATGTAGCTCACATTTGTAGCCTTACCTAACTTCATACAATGTCCGCCAATTAATCATACGGAATGTTATTATAGGTTCTGTTCAATTTTCTATCGATTTTCAGTTCATAAACGTCGACCATGGTATAACTGGCATATGACTCAATTATGCGGTAAATATATTGCTACAATCGTTTGGGATAAATTTACCGGGAATTTTTGTTTAAATTTATTGTGTAATACGCGAACATATATTGCAGACATTTCATGCAGCAAATGGTCTGCAAATTGTTTGTAAATCGATTTTCCTCGTCATATGATGATCGTGAATGTCTATCTGGGTGATGAATTTAATAACAGTCAGGGTGTGAATAATAACTGTGGAAGTACTCTTGTTCTACCGAAACATATGTCACGAATATAACGATGTTTCTTTTGCGCTGTAAAACGTATGGGACTGGACCGCGGCTGCGTTCTAGGTGGTTGTGCCTTAAAATCGATTGCACCCAGACGTGTACTCGTGCATGGTACAGGGTGTGCCGATGCTTACATTAAAATTGCACATCTGTGTTTCGTACAGAATTTGTTGAAGGTATCGATGACGTCAATTTCTGACGACTGTCGCAGTATGGGTCAGATAACTTGCAGATTCGGCCAGAACTCAAAATATGAACGACTTTGACCGAAAATGCTTACTCGGGGGTTTCCGGGGTCGCTGAATTCGAATCTCTAATCAAATTTACTAAATTCAAAATGCCGGATTCAATATGTTGTCAAAATGCCAACGAGTCGACACATTGAGAGAAAAAGAGCTGCTAGACCGAACATCCTGACACTGCTAAAGCTTCGGATTCAATCCTCTTAAAAAAAAGTGTTTTATTTGGATCGACCGATATGAGGGGAGTTTCAGTTTACCTTGATACATCCGCAGATTCGATCCCGAGCGTCTAGATCGACACTTAAATTCGGATTCATTGGGTTTTGACTCGATTAATGCCAGATTTCTAGTACGATGATCCCTCCCAGCCGCTAAATTGTAATTTTCTTTCACTAAACAGGTTTTAAAAAAACCTAATCTTCCGGAAAATACGGTGAATTGGCAACACCGATGGGTTAACGGTGACCCGATGAGAGATGGGTAAGCGAGATCGTAGATGGTTTAGTGTATTCACCCTTTGAACACGGAGTCATTTCGATATATGGGCGAAATTCGTTTGACCGTGCAGGCAATATTGGACCAAACGTGGGGCGCCTTTAGGCGCTCTTAGTTGCCAATGGGTTAATAAATTACTCTAGTGCCTTAGAGATTGTCAATGCAACACAGTGTACATTACGTCAGAGTATATTGTTTTCTTTGCAAGCAGCTTAGCTGTGGAGGAGCTTTAGCTGATTCTAGCTTCAACCATTGTGCTCAGGACGGTTACGTGTTTCGTTAAAAGCTTCAAAACAGAAACGCACGACTTGAATACGGGAAAAAGAACAGTGATACTGTCGGAACAAATGAATCCCTGGACCATATTAAAGAGCTGTAAAGGATGTCCGCACTGTTAAAACAAAAAATTATTTTATAGTTTGCTGGAATTTTTATTCAGACATGGTATACTACCTTAATAGCACAGAATAATTTCTAAATCTTTCTTGTGATCTTTTCGAAATATCTTAAGCGACAAATTTTTTAACACGTCTCGTAGATTTCATTCGAAGATATCTAAAATATTTGTTGAAAATTTCAATGACATATTTAGTTTTATTAATCTCTAAACAATATATGTATATATAGACACCAATTTGCAATTTAATGTGGATATAATTTAAGTGGCAATTCGTTTTTATAGTAAACTAATCTTCAAAATTACCGTTCTTTTTCATATACCAAGTGTATGTAATCCTGTAATGTTTACAGCACTTCCCGAGGGTCCAGCATTTACGGAACCAATTCCTAACATTACGGTTGCACTTGGGAAGGATGTTAATCTGCCATGTGTCATAGAAAATCTAGGAAACTATAAGGTAAGAACTACGACATCATTTTTGAACGATGTCATTAGCTGTGTTTTTTTATCAATTAGCTTTTCTATAACTGTTTAAGAAGTCATGCTCGGTCAGGAGGTCTAGACAAGCGAAACGTATGTTATTGGGCGCCAGCCATCACCGGACGGCACTAAATTATCGAAATCTACACCTCCACTTCACAAAATGCTAACAAAAAATATGATATGAAATATTCGAGAAACCTTATAAGACACCTTACAGCGACGTCGGGTCCGAAACGTCAACGGCGTCGACCATTGAATGGTCGCTAGGGCGTACCGAGCTAGCCCGGTTTTTTCGTCATCGTCGTTGCTCTTTTCGTCTCGTAACGCCGTTTGAGCTATCGTTTATTTAATACCGTTTTGAGTTAGCTAAAGGACCGACCCCTTGGGCCTCACGCTGGGGCGAATTCCGACCAATTTGACCCGTGCGATTCGGGTCTCGGATTGCCCTTTCGGAAGGCCTGGCGCCCAAAAATTTTCCTGCAAAATTTCGCGGATGCGAATCACACAAGGTTGTGAAAAATGATTTATTTGCAACGCCGCCAGAGCGTCGGAAAGGTTAAGTTTCAGATTTCATTGAGAACCCTTGTTTCGTTCAGATTTTGAGTTCAGAGAAAAATAACGTAATACATGTATCCATACGTGTATGTATCCATTCGGGTTTGTTTTCATACATCTAAGTAGATAATGGATTAGGCATACTATTTAATATATTTTTAGTAATAATCGATTTTGAAATGCTTTGTCCTGGAAAAATTCAATTGATGGTTCCGTCTTCTGGAGGTTTACACGATCTGTTATTTCCAGGTGGTATGGATGCACATGACTCTCAATGCACTTCTTTCTGTCCACACAAGGATGGTCATCAAGATACCACGATACTCCGTCACGCATAATCAAAATACGTGGCTGCTAAAAATCAATAACGTGCAGAAGGAAGATAGAGGATATTATATGTGCCAAATTAATACTAATCCAATGATGAGTCAACTAGGATACGTCGAAGTTGTAGGTTGGTAACGCTAACAAGAGCCACATATAACTTTGTTAGAATAATAGCATGTGTATTATGGTAAAGAATTTGTTTGCGGTTACTGTTTTACGTAAAAAAACAGTTAAAGAACAACAAATGCGTTACATCCATCCAAGCGTCTATCAGACTTTAGCATATTTTTTTGAATATCGATCCAATTGATGGTTCCTCAAACGGTTCTCCCATTTCGTAAATATGGAGACTTCGAAAAGCAGAAACTCAAGTCAGTGACGTGGTGACTCCGCTGCGCGCGCAGTCACGCTACTGCTTGCTCGAGAAGAAAAGAGGTGGTACGCGTAGAGAGAGCAGCATCCATATCGCGCCGGCGCCTTCCGTGCAAAGCCGGGAGGAAAAGCTAATGTTACGTATTAAATATCCTATACATATTCGGATCCGTTGAATGCGTTTATATAGAGTGAAACATATTTCGTTATTAACGGTCTCATACAATTGCAATAAATTGATCGCAATCAATCATAAAGGTCTAGTAAACGTCTGTAGAATGATGTAGCTGACATAAAGAAGACGCATGTCTCATGTACATTGTATTTCATTGCGGTGTACCTTTAGATTCAGTTTTTTAAAAATGGGACGAGTTATTTTGTATACTAAGTATGCAATATTCTCTTCGCACACACGTTTTGAAAGCATTTTAATTATAGTTATTCCAATGTTAACAGTCCCACCAAATATAATAGACTCCTTATCGACTCAAAGTAACGTCGTAGTCAGGGAGTACCAAAACGTCACCCTTACCTGCAAAGCCGATGGATATCCTGTACCAATCTTAACGTGGAAACGTGAAAACGGCGAAGCCATCTTTGTTGATCGGCGAGAAAACGGTTAGTCCCTTTAAATTATACTCTTTTCGCGTATTAGTGATAGTACATAAGTTCTTCGTTGCAGCTTTATTACCGCGCCATTCATTTTTCGCTTAAAGTCAATCAACATCATGGTAGCTTAGGTTCGTTAAGCTCGAGTCAAGAGCATTTTGAACTTTTCGACTGTTACCGGCTGAAAAACGATTTGACTTCCCGAAAAAATGAATTATTCAACTACTACATAAAAAATGCTTTTTCGAAATAGTAGATCATTTACAAGTCGTTCGAAGTACAATGAAAAACATTTGGAAACGAAGAAAGTATAGACGAAAAATACATTTAGTACCCAAGCTCTCGATAGCAAGAAATTTGCGTCGAAATAAAGATATTTAACGTTAAAACCACCAGTGGATTTTTTTATAGGATGAGGCATTTCAATGAGGAATTCTTACTGATCTTGGTGGTTGTAGCGTTCAGATCCGTTCACTCTTTAAATGGCCACCTTCGATTAAGTTGAATTAAGTTCCCGCGGGATGTGCGGGGAGTGAAGACTTGCGAAGGGTCTCAATAAACGATAGTTGATAAATGTGTCGATAGGGTAGCTGAATTTCATCCGTTGGTCAAGGTATACTACACATAAGGAGCGGGAAATGGTTAATGCGATAAATATAATTCGTACGGGTTGCTCCACATCCTCGTCGCGGCGGTCCGGGCTTCGCGATAAGGTGCTTGCTCACGGACATCCGGGCGGCATCGACAAGCGAGGAAAAACACCACCGGCACCTGAAGGAACTCTTCGAGCGCCTGAAACAAGACGGGGGGGCTAATAAACCCGGCAGAATGTATTTTCGGCGCACCGGAGGTTAAGTTCGGCGAAGGGACGCGGTCGCTACCTGAGAAGGACGCCGTCATCGATACCTTCTCTCGGCCGGTCACCGTAAAACTATTACGACAATTCCTGGTTATGATTAACTTTTACAGGCCATTCATACCTAGGGCAGCGCACCTGCAGGCACGGCTACACGATCTGCTGCAAGGCAACGCAAAGGGCCTTACCTATAATTTCCATAGGCACTGATTACACCTACTCTTATGCTTTTATATAAGTATACGTAGTACCATTACATATGTATGCTACGTCGCAGACAGCCGAACACAGCCCTACCGGCGTCCTTTTCGCTATGCCTTCCGTCCGGGAACACGATTAATTGACTGTGCTTCACTTAGCTATTGCAGGAAATTTATACAATATAGGAAAAAATAGTAGAGGACCTTTCGACTCTTTTTTCAACAACGATAGAGCCGTATAAGCCGTGACTACGAGTTCTGTTACACCCTGTATATATTACATATGTATAATAATAATGTAAAATATGTACTTACATAATTATGGTCGAGACCGCTTGCGTTGAACATTCCTCCCAAATTAACAATGAAATGATATGAAAATTAGCCACTAATTGATTCTGGAATCCGTATATTAGATTATATTATTTGTGATTAATTGATGTATTCTCATTGTAGCTACCAAGTTTGATGGGAGCCAGCTGAATCTGATAAAAATAGGGCGATCTCAGATGGGTGCGTATTTTTGCATGGCTAGCAATGGAATACCGCCCAGTGTCAGCAAAAGAATTGTTGTCGAAGTGGAATGTAAGTATGACTGTCTACGGCACAAAATATGCAGTTGCTTCTTATGATGTTTTTTTGCAATAACCCTAGAAAATATTGATTCGTTGCAAGATTTATTCGAGATGCGATGAAAGGAGTCAAGATTTGTTTCTGCATATTTAGAGATGATACAATGAATATCCACGTGGAGATGTACCGTAATCTGGGACGACTTGAACTCCCTGAAGTAACTTGTTCATAAAAGGAACTTCTTAACCTATTTTGTTTTTCTTCGGTTTCTCTTAATGTTTGCAGGTTTCTCATCGTCGCTTGAGAATACGGTTGAAAAAAAATGTTACGGAAGTACGAAAGGATTTTATTTTCTACATCCTATCTAAATTTTGAAAATGAAAACTTGAATGAAACTATGAACACCTGTCTATCTGTAATGTAAAAGAAATGACAGCCTTGATATCTTATGCATATATTATAGATAGTGATATATATTTAGAATAATTCATTCTTTAAGAACTGGAGCCGTTGACGATTTAAAACTTTTTCCGATACGTTGAAAAATAAAATTATTCCCGCGCTAACAAAGAAGTTCCAATGCACCGTACCCGTTGTCTGGGCTCATCTCGGGGGGTCTAGTTGTCCTCCCGAGACCCCGCGTTCCACCAACGGATCGGGGCCACATCGTCCCACCGGCACCTCTCGAGGTCGCGTGCAGTGGAGTCCCGAGGACCACTCGGGTAACGCCACGCTAAAACGCTGCCGCCAACCTTCGGCATCTTCATTTGATAAACATTTATTTTTCAGTTAATAAAACTTATCATGGACCCATGTTTGGCATAATTAAAGTACGTTCGGTATCGTGGATCCTGTAATTTTCTTCAGATTTTCCGCGCTGCCGGCTCTGCGGTACCCTAGTCTGTAAATAATCAAGGTCACGATTCTCTCACTTAACGTGCTCATCGTCGGCTTTTGCATTCCGCAATCCTTTCGGCGCACCCACAATCGTCTTAAGTTGACAGCATATGAGAGAGCAATGTCTGCACTTACTTTAAAGGCTGTAGCTCCCGTCACATAGTATAAGTGTGAAGTATTACCAGTGTTTAATTAATTGTTTTTATGTTTAAGTTAATCCAATGATATGGGTACCGAATCAGTTGGTGGGTGCTCCCGCTGGCACTAATGTTACCATTGAATGTCAAACCGAAGCATATCCACCCGCGGTCAGCTACTGGATATTCAACGATACCATGGTTGGAAACGATACCAACACCAACGACAGGTATTCGACAAACAAAATGGAAAACAGCTACAGAACTCGAATGAGGTTAACCATACGGAACATACAGAGCAGTGACTTTGGCAATTATCGATGCATTAGCAGAAACTCTCTTGGAGAGACCGAAGGTTCGATTAGACTATACGGTGAGTATAGTTTTGCGGGTTCCAAATATAAATGATGCATTTTTTAAATATATGAATAAGTTTGATTCAAAGCACGTAAATAAGCGTAACCGCGACCATATTGGTTTTTCCATCGTAGACAAAGCTCTATAAAATATAAACCAACAGGACTTAACCGCTAAATTTTTGGATATATTCTCGAGACGATTAAACCCGACGATCGTTCAAACGGATCAAGAATTCATCCTCAAAACCAACCACTCCTCTCCCGCATTCGCGACCGTGGCTGTCATCCAATTATAGAATGTCCACCTGAATTCAAACTGGGAGAACTTAATCGCTAATGATTGTATATGTAAAGTCCTACTTTTCTTTTCGACCGCGATAACTCCGCAGTGGTAGAGTTGTGTTTTCCTTAGGATGGGTCGGACTGCGAATTCCCACCCGGGCGATCCCTTAGAATGGACGCACAGGCGTGGAGATGTATAACAGCCGCCCCTCGAGAGGGCGGGTTATTGTTAACAAAGAGTATTAGATACTATTAGATAGAGCGGAAGGTAAGCGTATACTGACATCAGCGCCATCTCGCGGGGTGGAATATGTACTAATCTCAGGCTGCGCAAGCGCAGTGGTATCCGTTGGGGAATCGTCGGTTTCGGCATTATTTGAGCGTCAGCAAGGAATGTGAGCCGACTTAAGGACGTTAACGGATTGAAAACGATCCAGACTCCATCATGGTGATAATGTGTAACCTCTGCACATACAAGAAGAACTCGAAGAATCATAAGGGACTCGCCTTTTCCCGTGCGCCGAAGGAATCAACAATGTAAGTAGGAGGATAATATATACCGTCATTTTATAGGTTATGTGCATTTTGTAAATGATTAATTTTAAATTTAAATTAAAATCAACTGAATTTTTCCGAAATGATTTTCAGAATATGGAAGTAAAGTGGCTCACTTTTTTTCTAAGTTATGGGGATTCTAAGTTATTCATCTCGATTGTAGTCAATTTTATTTACTAGCGTAAGAAAACTTTCTAACTAGCATTATGTATTTCAGTCGTCAAAAGTGAGTAGAATTTGCTGGGTGGAAGTATACTTCTTAACACCTTCACTTGTGGGAAGATCACTTCAACCCTGAATTAACATGAAAAAGGCAATCGCGGAGTCCTTCCCATCATACGAACACAGAAAATGTACCCACAAAGCAATCGAATTCGACAGACATCAGAAGTAAATGTTTATGAAAAAAATTGTGAAATAAATAATTTATTATATGAAACATATTTTTCATGTGTATTTTATTTGGCGTTCCTTTTCACCTATTGAAATTTCCCGCTGGATGAGGCACTGCGAAGGGGTGGGGGATATTTAGTGTATATTCCACTCACGAGGGAGCGCTGAAGACTGTACGCAAAAATACATTGCGGTCTTATGGGATTTCCCGCCCTAATACTCTTTGGTTGTTAAGCAGAGCGCAGTTAGTGGCTTATACAACACCTGAAATTACTAAAATTCAAATATATCTGAGCAATAAGAGAAACTTTTGAAAAATAAGTATTTTTTATGTTTTCTTGTTAATGAATTCTTTACTTATGTTTCAGAAATGGCGAAACCGTCGATAAGTCCGAAAGCTACTGAAACTAAAAGTAACACGAACAAAAAAGGTGAGTCGTAGCGCACACCTTTACACTGATCACGAAACTCGGTAGAGTTTCGCATCAAATATACTTTTGCATTCATATGCGTGAATTAATGTGTATACGTGAAACGCCACCGAGTACGTAACGTCACGTTTGAGCATGTTATACTTATTAGAATTGATATCTTATTATATATACCAAAGCCAGCTATCCTTTAAGGTTTTTTTATAACAACCAGACTCATTTCACTCGCTTCACGAGAACCATACCATTTATTCTTTAGACATTTTGTTACCTGCACCTGAGTTGATATTGTTAAAATAAATTTGTTAATGTTTTCAACTATAAACAGTCGCTATAGGCATGCAATAGGCGGCCGAATACAGCGGTTCAACGGCTGCACGTATTGTACTTGAAATATCTTTTCCTATCTTCTATGAAACGAACGTTTAATGCAAGAGAAAATGGAAAGTACAATGGATGAGAAAATGATCACGAATGCATTTATAACAATTTCGAGGTGAAGTGAAACAATTTCCTAATATATTTGCAGGTCGCAAAAGTACAACAGTCCCACCAAAGAGGCTGACAACAATTTGGCCCGCAGTTTACACGCCGTATTATCCAAAAAGGACAGAGCAACCTCCACTAGGAGCAGAAAATATTGAAAATCCAGAACTAACATTGCGAGAACAAACTGGGGCAGGTAAGAAGTATTAATATGACATTAACGGAACATATCGTATAACATCTTTATTATGTATTTGTTTCCTCGCGCAGTATTATGAAACTCAACAGACTTGTGACAAAATACATTTCTTGAACTGCGAAAACAGTTCGAAGAATTGGAGTTAGGCGAAATGGAGCATACATACCCGAAAAGAGCCCGAGGCTCGTTATCTCTAAATATCGCCCAATACAACATAGAATGTTCCTAAGAAGATAGTAGACTCGGAGAAAGCCGATCCGGAATCAGAGATCATTTATTCCTTATCGAATTCTTGAGGACCGACTTAAACGTAAACGCAATAAAATGGTGGTTCCGAAATCGCGATGATGAATTCCGACGTCCCTTCGAAGCTCACTTCTTGGTTAAAATGCGTGGTATCCAAAACAGTTCCTATCCCCGGCACCTGACTACACCAGTGTCTACATAAATGAATTTCATTGGAACCCGGATGAGGGAGGTGAAGAGGTGATATGAAAGGATCATTCTATATATTACGACGTTCAACCTTATTAATAATTTACACCCAATCAAATGCGCAAGACTAAATCTGTTGGGCGCCAGCCGCACGTCGGCGGCTCCAAATCTTAATTATCGCGAATCTCAAATCCTAAATCGAGTTGCGCGAGTTCCCGGCCGGAATACGGCTAGTCATTTACCTCACGGCCGTCACTCGCGGTACTCGCGTATCGGAATTCCCCAAAAATCGTGAATTCTCGCGAATTGACCCAAACTCTCCACGCGGACGTTCCCCTATTATCGCACATTTTTCCCTATGTTATTTCGCGGATTTCCTCCTATAATTTATCCAGGGACTGACCCAAGTAAGTCCCCGAAGGTCCGAATCATCCACGTCCAAACGTGGGATGCACGGGGGGTTTTCCAAAGTTCTCTATCGATTGATCGCAGGCTTTCCTGGGGCCCTATAATGCTTTTGCTTCCGGCAACGATCCACTTTCTTGGCTCTCCACGGAACGTCTGCAGGTCCCGGTGCGCGGATTGGCTCCTGCCCGTCGGCGCCGCGTCGGCGCCGCGTCGGCTGACCGATAGCAGCGCGGCGACCTCTGCCTCACCACGCAACACAGGATCGCACGAGGGACTGTTCACTTGGATATCAGTGAAAATCATTTCCTTCGTTGACAGCCCATTGTCTTTGAATTCATATGATAAACAACAATGCGATTCGCTAACAAGTGACGTTCAGCCTTAAAATTGTGACAGCGTTTTGGTGATTTCCGACGATTTCCAGTCATCTCAGTTTGCGATTTCCAGCGGATTTTCGCATGATTTCCCAAAATCCCTGCACTCGCCAGGGCCGCATGGGCGAACCCTAAGGGTTGCGTCTCATTAAGGCCTTATTACTATCTCCTCGGCCCCACCGCCCGGAGTCCTTCCTAATTCCCATACGAAACCCATAGTATTTTCCCTACCATCCCGTACGATTTCCCATAATTATTCCCCATAATGAAGTTCGGGCGTTCGCTAGCGTCGCTCGCGGGTCGGTTCGCGCTAATGAAAAATATGGCGGATGGACATCTTCCATGAAAACGCGATTTTCTTTTAATGTGGGGGGGCTACCGACCCACCACATTACAATATATATAATGTAAAAATATTTATGAAACTTTTCTCCAAACTTATTGTACCGAATCGTTGGAAACTTCAGCATGTGATTATGGAGGCTCCAAGAACGAATGTGATACTCATTAAAGTTCATTTTTAACCCAACATTTTTCTTATTTTTCCCAGACTTTCCAAGACTTTCCCAGACTCACCAAGAATGGATATTTTTTTCTAATGAAACTTCATGAGCATCACGTTCTTCCTTAGGGTCTTCGTAATAACGTGCTGAATTCCAAACGATTCGGAGCACCCAGTTTGGAGGAAAGTTTTATAAATATTTTTACGTTTTATATATATCGAATGATCCTTTCATATTACCTTAAGAGATGAGAGGGAGAGAGAGAGGTTCGAGGGATCCAGGGAGAAGCGTATGGATTGCAAGTTGTTGGAGGTAACGAGACTTCAATCGAACTCGGCTGTACGATTGTTTTCCTGTACAGGACTTGGCAATGAGACGCGACCGAGTGTCTTGATATAAATATCGATAACGTCAAATATTTCTTTCCCTATGTCGACTAAACTTGATATTTTGCACATCCCATTAATTCTTATAGAGTACTTTTCCACCGTTAAAAGGAAATCATTGAACAAGGTTTGAAACTTTTCACTCTAAGTTATTTATGTACCGAAAATCTAATGATAATGGATAAAAGGAATTTGGTGAATTTAACATGAAAAGATCGAGTATTGTTCGAAAATTGACCTATTTCGATCGATCAGTTCTGTAATTTATGTTGTCGCTGGTAGCGAGTAAAAATATGTGAAAGTTTCTCCCGAATATCTTGTAATCGATTAACCATGTACTTAATATTAATAATCACTTGTGATAATTATATTTTTGTTTTTCAGGAAGTGCCTACATAGTGCGGTGGAATGCACCGCAATTTATGGTCGTTGCGATGCAGTATATCCTAACCGGACCCTACATGCCTCCCTATATGCCGCAGAACACACTTTGAATTGACAAATAAGTCATATCCTGTAGATTCCGAATTGCTTAAGTTACCTACACATTGCCCATGTACATCTACGTTCGAGTAAATATATTTTTGCTGCATAGTTAACTAATTACTGATCAACAAAGTACGGCTAAGTATACAGTTGGTAACACAGAGTTGTGTGTATTTGCCGGAATTACAATGTTGGTGAGCTAAAGTATGAGAAGGTGCACAAGGACATTTTCACATAGCGGTGAAGTATCTGATATATTGAAATTATGACGAACAATAAGAAACGCATATGTAAATACCATTGTTCAGAACTTTCTTGCAGCAGACGTATCAACGCGAAAATAAGTCTATTGCAGTATCTACGGAAGAACGTTAATTTATATTATTTTATATTCCGCACAAATCGGATTTCGTGCGGATTTGTAATAATTTGTGCCTAATTTGTTAGTTCAGTAATCTGGGACTATTTGGACATCTCGGAGTAACGTGGTCGTACATGGGTATTAACGTTTTTGCATTTTCTTTTTCAGGCAACGTGAGCTTCAATCAATTCGATTCGAATAAAGCGCTTTTTATTAGGGTATTCCTAAATTTACGGTACATGACTCATAAAAACTTAAGGAATGTCTTGACATTTTCAAATTATCGATTTCATAAAAACATTCTTTTCATTTAGCCCAGATCAGAATCAAAATGGTGTGTTCCCATATTTCGATCAACATACAATCCTTCAAGATTCTGACATGGGAATAGAATGTGTCAGGTCCGTCGCACGAGAATTTAAAACATGGTTTTTAATGCTCTATTTAACCGTAGAGTGCCACCCTGCGCCATTTGTGATTTTTCTCTTCGCGATCTTTTTAACGTACAACGAGCTACGATTAAAACATTGAGATCACCCAGGAGGGTGATCTTGACATGTCAAGGTCAAGGTCATCGGGGGTTGGTCCCTTAAACCCCATATTTACCAGTTTTACAATATGAATAAGAAAATCCTAAGGATAAATATTGAATTAAAATGAATTAGACTGGAATATAGAGCAACCACGTTACTCCAGCGTGTCCAAGTAGCGTGGGTGAACAATGAAGAAAAACTGTAGAAATTTACGATAATAATATGTAAATTGTAAAGCCGGCGTAAGTTTCATCGATTAAAACATCTGGATGCTGATTAATGTAATCCCCACGAAAATACTTAATAATTGTTCATTCGAAATTTGTCATTACTGCGTTTCTAAGATATTAGTACAGTTTGGAAGAATTCGATGGAAAAAATGTTACTACAAAGTATAGACGCAAGAACAAAACGTTGAAAGTATTGTTGCTTTTCATAACCTAGTACTGTACTGGATCTTTAAGTTATACGTAATGTCTCAAAACTCGTAGTAATCCTGGAATTTGATGAAAGTTCAAGTCGAAATTTCAATTCATTCGAAGAAAGTACAAGAAGAAATTTTAAGTCAAAGATTTCATTTTTTCGGGTTCATTTAAAAGTATTTGCTGGTTATTTAATTACTTAAATAATGAGTTGTTTTAAAAAGTTGACAATTTTAAAAATAAAACTTGAATTTCGCACGAGTTACGTATCACTACTAAGGAATAAATTATTAAATATTTTAACGAAACGTTTCTTTAGTAGATAACATAAAATCAATTAATTCGCAAATTGATTTAACTTAATACTTTTGAAATCGAACATTTTAGTTTATAAACAATTCATCAAGTAACTATCAGCTAAAATTATTGCACTAATTCAATTCAATTATTAAAGTTACAGCTCTAGTAGCACAGAATAATTACTAACTATTTTGTTGTAATCTTGGATAAATATTTGAAGCAACAGATTTTTAAGATATCTTG